ATTACAATATATAAATACTATTCATAAATATGAATGCAGGATTATAAATAATGACATAAATAAAAAAAATACAAATTTGACAATCCTTCCTCTATTTTAATTTCTTATTGCTTCCTTCTTTTTTCCTATCTTATTTAAGCTTTCTTTCACAATTTAAAACTGAACGACAGCATATACATACATATATATATATATATATATATATATATATATATATATATATATATATATATATTATTGTGTATATATATGTAGGCAGCAATTTTTCATTGACAGATGTTTCATTAAATATTATAGACAAGTTTTTCTATTTATTTTAAGTAAGTTCCATTCATATTGTCTGATAAGCTTAATAGCATTATCATTGAACAACGAAAGGAAATCACCATATTCATACATGTTTAAACCCATGTCCACCCGAGAGTGAAAACGAGAAGTATTAAGTATGGGAAACCGTTGGTATAAACCAATGGCTTCTGTTAGAAATTATAGGCATTTAAGAATATTTGTAGAGATTTCGAGTTTATTTTGTTCAGGTTAGGTTTCAACTGTTTTTTTTTGTTTTTTTTTTGTATATAGCTTCAAGAATTTTTAGCTTTTGTTTATTGTTTTCATATTTCGCGTGGTCATGTTTGACGTCACGAGCTGCGATGCGATTTTCGCTTCCGCGTCTCGTATACGCTAGTTTGTCGTTGCTTTGAATTTTTTCATGCAACAAAAACAGACTACTATTGTTTTGTCCGTGTATTGTTTGATATATTGAAATGAAATTGTTATCTTTGATATGTAAGCCGAAAGATTAGATAGGATTTAAAAAAATAGAGAAAGCTTGTCTAAATTATTTAATGAAACATGCATCAATATATATATATATATATATATATATATATATATATATGTGTGTGTGTGTGTGTGTGTAAGTTTTGTTAAAGACGACTGACAAGACATAGCGTTTAGGCTTTTTATTTAATGAAAAAATTAAAATCGCCCTTTGATAATGGCTAAAAGAATAGCCGAAAGCGCTCAAACATGAAGAACATTTGGACAGGTCTTACACATTTTGTGTCTAGAAAAGAAAATACTAACACAAGAAAATTGAAATACAAAGCTTAATCCCAATGTCTTGTCAGTTTTCTTTAACGAAACATGCATAATAGAGGATTGATGCCAAAATACACAATATATATATATATATATATATATATATATATATATATATATATATATATATATATATTACATTATACATACGGGTATAATAAGAATATGCATATATGCACATATACTTTCACGTAAATATATATATATATATATATATATATATATATATATATATATATATATATATATATATATATATATATATATATATATATATATATATCCCAGGTTACAAATACAGTACTCAATGTTATATAACAGAGCAGTTAAGTATATATTAATGAATACACATAATATCCAACGTCCATAGCACGGAGTTTCAAGAAGTTTTGCAATTTTCAGGTGCTGGACACAGTCAGACCGTTATATCGTTATGAAATTCGCCTTCTGGAATGGAAAGGGAGACAGATGAAACCTGTGTTTGTTGGAAAAGCTTATTATATTAAAACACTTACATAATCCTTACTTGTGAACACAAGAAGCGAATTGAAGTCTACATGGATCCATAAAACCAAACATCTGCGCAAACATATTGTCTCTGATTAAAGTAGATTTTCAAATAGATTGTACGAATATTGATATATGTAACACCAATTAATATTCATAGAACCAACATTAATAATATTTTTATATATCTATACCCATTTCTAATCCCATATTACAGTACTTGACTAATTTATAACGCGTGTATACGTAATTTCACTTTTGTAAGTAAAAGGCTTGGTTTCAAACACATTAGATAAATAGTCTCAACCTATTATTATATTAACCTCGTGAGTACTAAGTTTACTCCATTAGACAGTACTTTAAATGTTATAACAATGGTATTTTATGAAAAAGGAGAGTTATCCGCTTGATATATAACGAGTTTATTTAATTTATAATTTCAATCTTTTCATTTTAAATAATTTTTCATTTTAATTTTTTATTCTTCGTCTTTCGAACTTAAGAATTAGAATGATATAAATTATAAATAATCGACATATAATATTATCGGCAACAATAACAAAATAAATAAGTCCTAGCACACAATTTTAAATGATCATTGCGAGAGAGTGAATTTCATAACGCTATAATGGTCAGTCTGTATCTAGCACCTGAAAATTCCAAGTTTGCGCATGACACTGCGAATCATGTTATCGACGTTGGATATTATGTGTATTCACTAATATATATATATATATATATATATGAGAGAGAGAGAGAGAGAGAGAGAGAGATGTTCCATTATTTATCTATGGTAATGGCAAGATGTATAGGGTTAGCCAAAAATTATTTCGTATTAATACCGGATATTTATTATAAAACTATAATTATTATCGGGTATTTTTATAAACCTATAATTAATACCAGTTCTTTTTGCAATTAAGATGTTGTGGGCATTAAGTGGATTAAAATGATTTTCCATTTCAATAGCATGAAATAAAGCAAAAACATTAAACCAATTCGGAAAATATAATTTTATTAAATCTTTTATTCAGATGAAGATATATTCTATAATTTGAGCTGAATCATTATCAGTCCAAGTCATGGCATCATCTTTCATTATTTTCTTTTTCTTCGTTGTGGCGGGGGGGGGGGTAATAGTAAAATTATTCTTCCCAAATGGAGAAAAGTATGTGAAAGTAAAAGCAGTAAAGATTGCATTCATTTAGACCAGTTGTTTTTTTTTTCTTCTCTTATCATTTCAGCTAGCCTATCGCATCCGATAACCTACCTGGAATGTCGAACAAACTTTTGTTTTTATCCATGCGAGTATGTTTTTACTCAATGTTATATCCGCTGATTTTTGTAAGAAACAATAATCAAAAATGAACTATTGCTTAACGTTTCGTACATACGTTATCACAGTATCTCCTTGGGATCTAGGTGTTAAATTTCTGGTTCAGGTGGTGTAAAAATACACCTTATCTTAGCAGAAAATCGGCGTCATAAGAAATAACTGAGAATTTTAATGTTACCTTGGAAATAGAATTGAACGTTATTGGTAATGAGAAGAACATAAACACATGCATAAAATAAAAGAATCTTAAAATGTTACTGACTTCGACAAGTATTTTGATGGAAGCTGAAGTGTAGAGCGCTTGAAAGATCGTGATAAAAACAACAACGATGGAGAAGCTAGTCAGGATGGAAATAATAACAATCAAAATCACAGAAGAGATCCATTTTTTCTCGTTCCGAATTTCCCAATTTTGGAAATATTTCCTTATTTTTTTTTTATTTTAGCACCTTCTTTTGTTCAGACAACTCTACCATTGAGAGATGCGAAACGAGGTACAGGTAGCAACGTTTGTAATTGACGGTTATGGATTACTTATATAGAAGAACCTACTATAGAGAAACGGGAGGTTTTAGATTTCTGTTATATTTTTAGGGTAATGGCATTTGATTTTCTGTCTGATATATTCTTAAATTGCACACACATATATCGAAATGCCTTTGTTCGTATGTGTACATGTCTGTGCATGTGTGTGCGGCGCGCGTGTGTATGCCTGTGTGTGCTTATTTGGACAATCTCGGGTTTAAAGTGGGTTGTAACGTGACGCGTAAGTGGACTGTGAACAAAAATGACAGATGACCCACCGGTACTGTCTCTTTTTAGGGATGCCACAGGCCTCGCCCCCGAAGGGAAAGCAAATACTGGATAGACGAATCGTGAGGTAATAATATTGATTCGCAACGTCCAAACATACGCAAGACCTCTGCGTGCGTGTGTGTGTGTGTGTGTGTGAGAGAGAGAGAGAGAGAGAGAGAGAGAGAGAGAGAGAACAAGAAAGAAAGAGTTTAGAGAATCAGCGAAAGAAACCTATTCTCTTCACCTTCTCTTAGCAAATGAACCATGATAGCGATGACTATTTGGATTTGATGAGTGTGCGTGTGTTTGTGTGTACGCGTGTACTGGTGCGTGGTCTGTGTATCATTTTTCCGTGTGTGTATCTGTAAGGTGTGTTTGATGTGCATATGTATGAGTGCACTGTGCGTGGTGTATTTGTGTATGCTAGTGTGCGTGTAGTTCATTTTTGTGTGCATCTGTTTTGGTTCTGTAGGTGTATGTGTAGTTTATGTGTGTTAATTGTGAGGGTGTGGGGGTGTACGCGCATGCGTATGTATGAGAAGGTATAAAAAATCGTTCCCCCACTTCTGGTCTAGTTAGGGTTTTCCTTAAACATTTTTAGTGCCATTAAATCTACAATCAAAATACAAAATAAAAATCTACAAAAATTTACTTATTTGCTTATAAGCTGAAAGACATCCTCTTTTATCCACCAGGTTTCGTTACGGGTATGACCTTTCCATTAAGGCTTTATAACCGTTAGTCAATGATTCTATTACAGTAAAACTGCTACAGCTACTATTCCGATCTTCATTAACTGATACAATGATGACATCTTAGGTCAATAATGGATTTAGGATTGATTTTGTTCTAATGAAATAATGGAAGGCCTTTTTACAAAAAATCTTTTTACTTAGAAAACATTTAAGTGTCTTCTTTCTCAGCCCATAAAAACATGTCTCCGATTAATTTCAGTATTTTGCTACCCTTTTTCTTCAAGCATGTCAAAGTTTTCCGTGTGTTTGTTTTTTTTTTTCATTTCAATCATCCAGTTTTGACAGCTGACTGTTATTAATTTTATTTGCTAGTCAATTAGTTGACTTAATAAAGAAATAAATTCTGTTAGAATTGGAAAAACAATCTTAACAGGAATAAGAATGAAGACTTGAATTCGAGAAAAATAATTTTGATATTTTTTCTTTTTTTAAAACACTTGTTACTTAATTATATTTTTAATATTTGGCTGTTATGAGTAGAGTATTAAAACATTTAAAGGATTATTTTACATATTGTCATAATTATAGACATCTGACTCCGCTTGACTCATAATTCCAGGCGTAGTTGGTGATTCAGAAGCAAAGACGGCGTCCATCTGCTTTAAGGCTTCAGTCGGACTTTCTGATTTTTCTGGGCTGGTTACAATAACCGGCACTGGTTCCATATCATTTATATCGCTTCTCAAAGAGGCTCGCATCGAATGCGGTCCTGAAGAGCTATGTATTGAATGAATCACACCTGACGACGCACGTGACAGGTTCCCTGAAGCGGCACCTGATGACGAATGCACAGAATGAATCATGGAAGACGACTGCCGTGACGGAGATCGCGACAAGTCACCGGATGACCCTGCCGCATCCATCCCATTAGCATCAAGTATATCTACAGGTTCTGTTTCGATTACAGGTTCAGGATCCATTAAACTCGAAACAATGACTGGCATAGGTTCAGCATTCATTTCTGACGGTGGCATTGGAAGTGATTCCCTGTGGGGAACAGCGTAGATGGCAGGATCATTTGGGATTTCCAGAGGTAATTCTATAACTGGTTCAGGTTCTAACGGTAGATCTGTGTCAGGGACGCCAAACATTTCAGAATGAGACTTTTCAACGGTTGAATAAAGTGGTGAATCAATCATTTCAACTTGTTCGATTGTCTCAGTCATATTGTTGTAAAAGACCTGTGTGAATTAGAAAGGAAATAATATCTAAATCAGTTTATATAAAAAAATCTTGAACGTATAATGAAAAAAACAAAAAAAAAACACAATAATAAGATCTTGAACAAACCCCCATGCCTAAACAGTATTAATAAAAACCCTGCACTTAAATCAGACAATAAAAGGGGAAAATTATGTAACTGTAGAAACCTAGAAGACTGCCCATTAGAAAATAAATGCTGCATTAAATCTGTGGTATACCAATGTACTATATCATCCACTGAGAGCCCTAGTACTAATAAGATATACATTGGGTCGACGAAGAATGATTTTAAAGATAGATGGAGGCAGCATAAGTGTTCTTTCAATAATATAAACAAAAGAAATCAGACTTCCCTATCTAAATATTTTTGGCATCTGAAGGAAACAAATAGGACACCTAAAGTTAAATGGAAAATTATTAACAAGGCTAGAACATGTAAAACTTGGGATGACCCATGCCCTTTATGCCTCCATGAGAAATTGCACATAATTAAGCTTCTAAATAATAATAATCTTTTAAACAATAGACACGAGTTAACGGTTTTTGTAGGCATCATCAGATTTTGGTTTGAATTATTAGCTAAAAACTAGCATACAATATAATAACTTGTTTAATCCATAGCACACTCATCAGATTCATGGTTTGAATAATTAATTAAAAAACATGCATACAATATAACACCCTTCATAATCCATAGCCGAAATAAATAGTTTAAATACCCTAAAAAAGATAACCCTTTATGAAGTCGTCAAAAAACAAACGTTACGACAGTTTTTTTATATGCACAAATCCTTTCATAAAAAAAATAAAATAAAAAATAAATAAATCTCCATAGACATGCAAACTAGACGAGAGTTAATACATCTTCCGTTTCAAATTTAGACACCCCCACCTTTCCCTGACTTTACATCTACGAAAGTAACTCTATACTGATACTTATTATTAACACCCAACACCCGCCTACCCAACTTAAACAATTCGCCCTAGCTGTTACCATGGAAATTTTGATTTCAATTTTTAAAACACGTAAATTTCAGAAACACGTTATTCCCAAAAAAATTTCGCTTGAAGATGGAACAGAGCTTATTTTAACTCAATTTAATTTAAATAATTATATTGAAGTTTTCGGCTCTTGTTTTGAAACATGGGACTTCTTATGTCGCGATTTGGAATCATATTTTTAAATAAATAATTATATATATATATATATGTGTGTGTGTGTGTGTGTGTGTGTGTGTGTGTGTGTGTGTGTGTGTGTGTGTGTGTGACTACACACGTGCACGAATGAGGAATGCTGGGAATTTTACATCTTATCTTTTATTTTTGTTTTTTTTTTATCTGGCTGATTTCATAGATTCTTTTTCTTTTTGCTTCCATCCATCAACTTTGTCATTAGATATCCTACACTGTGATAATAGAAGTTTTGCCAGAATAAAAGTCCTAGAGGAAAAAATGCGTCGCGCCAAAATTTTTCCCACTTTGTCATATATATATATATATATATATATATATATATGTGTGTGTGTGTGTGTGTGTGTGTGTGTGTGTGTGTGTGTTTGTGTGTGTGTGTGTGTGTGTGTGTGTGTGTGTGTAAAATGTAAAAAAAAAACTTTAACTAAGTAGACAAAATTTGGTGTGACGCGTTTCGTTCTTTAGTACTTCAATGGACCGTGGCGTTGCTCCCGCTGACTTTTTAAAAAGTTTTGCCACTTTGTCGAAAATTGTTCTTAATATATAAAAAATAGGTACCCCCAAAGATTCGCTGGGAATAAAAAAATGGACAAAATATAATTTTAAAAAATAAACAAAAACTTTATTATTATCAGGAGAAATGACCAAAGGATTTTTTGATTATTAAATTATAATTTTTCTTTCTTTTTAGAAATAATCGCAATCAATTTACATTCGGTTTGAAATACAGAAAATTATTTTTATTACTGGAAATATTAAATTTAATTTTTTAGTTTAGAATTACAACTCAAATAAAAGCTTCTAATATCCTTTCTCTTTTTAAAAATTAAATTGTATCGTTTTTTTGGCATGTATCTATATACAAATGTATATATTGTTTTCCATGTAAAAATATATTATTTTGCCGTATATAAATATACATGGTGTACATAAAGTTTCTTTACAATTAAAAAAAATATTACAAAAGCAAATGAAGAAAGCAAATATGCGGAAATTGTTACAAAATATGGAGTAGATATTGAAGTTCTAATTTAATACATGACTTTATTGGCCACATTATTTGCACGAAGCACGTCAAGACGGTAATCGATTTCTTGCCATGTTTGCTGTAGCATAGCCTCATCAATGTGATATCTCGATACTTTTAACATAACCCCATCGAAAGAAGTCCGGGGGATAGATATCTGGTGAACGAGGTAGCCAAGGAATTAAGCCATTCCTTCCAATCCACAGGTCTGGAAATATTTTATTTACGAACCCACGAACATGCATTCCCCAATGTGGTGATGCACCATCTTGCTGGAAAATGATGATTGGTTGAAGGTGCCACATCATGTGGGCTACATCTCTTGCCACATGTTTTGCGGTGACACATTATTTGCCTTTATGGATACCCTGTATATATGAAAACATTAATTTCCCTGAGAACTTTTATCAAGTCGCACAAAACAGTACTCCATGCCTAATTTTTAATAAAATTGCTGTCGGCATTTCGACCGACTGCCTGATGATTTCTCATCTAATGCCCATGAAACTTTAAATCGACCCACAGTTAACCGTCCTATCGACACCATTTTTTTAAGTGTCATGCATATATACATATAATTTAAAAATATGGATTAAATCCGAAAAACGATTAAATAATGAGCAAATTAAACCTTTATAAATTTAACTTTTTACCATTTATTTAGTTTCAAAAGGTTTATTAAGCGGAAAGTGGAATTACTGGGTGTTGTATCGATTTTGAAATTTTTTTCCACTTCCAAATATTTCTGATTAAACAAAATAGAGAAATATATTAAATTTATAAAGGTTTTCCTATTGCTTCTTATTTAATCATATGTCTATATGTCTGCGCATGAGTTTGTATATTAAATTAATAATACAAAACAACAGATATAGATTAAATAAGGGACCAATTAGGTGACCACAAAAGACAATTTTATAAGAGAAAAAGAAATGATTAAGTAATAATAAACTAAATCTTACACAATATATATATATATATATATATATATATATATATATATATATATATGATTGCTCATTCTGAAATATTTTAAACCCGTGAACATTTCAAAGTTTTCGTATTTTAATATTCTGATGAATCTTAATTCTTTACTTAAGGATTGAGTAAGTTCATAGCGAGTTGTACGACAATAAAATATTTGTAGAAATTCCAGATAGATAGATAGATAGATAGATAGATAGATAGATAGATAGATAGATAGATAGATCTGAAAAGAATAACAAATGTGAACTTACATTGTCAGCATTAAATATGGCATCGTCTTGTATAAATGCGCTGTTGCTATACACCGCCATTTTCTGCCACAGAAAAAAAAATCATACGAACGTTAAAGTCTTGTGTCACTTGAATTACAAATGATATGAAGTGAATTAAGATTCTAACTACTTCGCTTCAAAAATCATTAACTTCACTGTCGATACAAAATCTGGAATTACAAATGCTTCTTGTTTTTAGTGAAATTTCCGTCAATTACATAAGTTGGACATCTTATTGACTATTTCGTTCCACGAGAGTTTTCCCTTCATTTTTCAATCCTATTTATATTTTTTTCTGATTTTTTCTCTCTTATTTCTATTTTAATCTGCTCTCTTTCTTTAAAATATTTTTAGAAGGGATTTATTTGTTTTTATGTCGTTTTTTATGAATGTCTTTTAGCATTGATCCGAAAACGATGCTCATTGATGAACATTCTCTGAAAAATTGTCTTCTTCAAGTCTTAAATTTTTTCTAAAGATATTTTCAACATACATTTCTCCACTTTTTTTGCTATCTATTTATTTCCAACCAAAAATTTATTGAGTTTTGAGTCGGCGTTGTCTATTAAAATTTAGTAAATATAACAAGACATATTTCATTAAAATATTGTTAGGTTTTATTGTTTGAGACCGAGTTCAAGTACTTCAACAAAGAGTGTCAATCGATTTTATTATCAGAATAAGTTTGATTTTTCCAAAATTAAACAAATTTTGAGAAAATTGAAAACAAACTGTCTCTTTTTCTAATTAATATTTTTAATTTTGCTCTAATTACTGTATATACTCGTGCACAAGGCGACTTCATGCATATTATAACCCTTACACGTTTTGCAGGAATTTTAAACACCCCAGAAAATATCTACCTGTATATAGTGCAACCGGTCATCCAAGATGCATGATTGTAACCTCTTCCAAAGAAATTACCTGTGTATATTGCTACATTCATAAAATCTTGCACTGTACTTGAGTACATATGGTATATATTTACGTTGATAAACGCTATGATTTTCTGTACTGTTTTTGAAGTTCTGTGACGGTGAATTGAAATTATTACATCAATTATTCTTTTTAATTGAGCACAGCATATTTCAAAACTTACATGTCTCTTACGTTTTGAGTAGAAAAATATTAATTGATTTATTATTTGCTCGTGCCATTATCTTTTTTAGACATATTTTTTCGAACCTTCTTCCTAATGCTAAAATCATTACATATGACTCCTATCTATTTATATGGCAATTTAAGTATAGTTTAGATGCAACACAAGGCTAAAAGTATGAGACACACAGTGAGGATCAAACTAACTAAATCGTAATTGGTCTAGGGAGACAAGTTTGCATCACAGGACATATACCAGTTCAAACGACCGGGTCAAATGTGAAGGTTTATCCCTTGTTCCTTTTCTGGATTAAACAGGAAAAAGTGTTTGTGTTTCCGTTTCCTTCTAAAGTCCCAGGGTGGTAGCACCATTTAGGGTCCCAGCTATGGGCAAATAGTGACCCCCCAAATTGGATCAAAACACTATAAAATATGAAAATAGATTTTTATAGTAAAAATACCAGCAAAATATTTTTGAAAAAAAAAATATTACCATCAATACATTTGACTTTTTTTTTTACAAAAATACGTCAATGAAACCTGATCTATAAACTGCTTTTTTACAAAGAATACATATTCTTTTTATTCTAACCTATCCTAAAAATCTTGTCGGCATTAAATAACCCATTGAGGTTGTATGCCGTAAAACAAAATAAACCAACCAATCATTTACTGTAATATAGGAATACTGATATTGCGTAACAGTTTAGTATTCTTTTTTGTTTCTTAATAATTTGCTTATAAGATTATCAGTAGCTAAATTAAAAAAGTATCTTGCAGAATTAGAACATATCTTCTCTATAAACCTATTATTTTCTCCTGAAGCCAATTAATTCTGATCTACTCCTACATATGTCATAAATATCATAATTTTATTTTAGTTTTATCTTTTTCTATTCGAGCATGGTATTAATTTTTTTCATTGAGGCTTAGGGTATTTAATTATATTAAATAAAAATAGTGAACGAGAGATAAATCATCATTTTTCTACCTAAGCGTGTCCGATAAACGGTAGCCAAACCAATAAGTTACATTTCCATCCAACTTTTTCTTTACTTAATCGGGATGTTATGGGCATACAAGAATCTTCGCTTTTAATTGAGGAATATTTTCTTATATGAAGTTAATGGTTGCTCCTGAACTTTCTAATCTTCGATGGATTTCAACGAAGCGCAACTATAACTTGTATATATGTAAACCCTAAATGCTTTATCGTTCAAAATTTTAGCTTAGAATCTCGACAAATACACGAGTAGATATGACCCATTTAGGTGTCACTTACTTTTAAATCAAATTCAAAAATATAAATAAAAAAGTACACGCATTCAACAGTAAATAATAAGAAGTTAAAATATATATATATCTTACCTCATTTTCATTTCTGGAAATATGAAAGAAAAAGTTTCAGAGAAATAAATTAATGGAGACAGAATAAATAATCTTAGACAAATATATTTATACATTAATATATAGACAAATAATTATGCAACATACAGGGTTATTCAAAAAAGAAGGAGAAGATTTCGAAAATTTAATACAAATTAATGCTAGGAAACACATTAACACATGCCGGTTAATCCTAAAACTGCACTGATGCAAGTTTTTCAACCACACCGCTTAGCATCGAGATCAACAAAAAACTCTCATTGGCAAACATCGACACCGGCACACTGTCGATAGCGAATATGTTTCAGTTAACTTTTTGCTTAATTCCGAATTATTAATTATAGCACTATAAATTGTGTTTCAATAGCGTATTGGTCATTCCTATGACCTATTGACGCCCATTATCACGTATACTTCATGCTATACACAGACATGAATTTGTACGTCTAGCTGTTTGGCCACAAATGCTCCGCATCTTGCAGCGTGAGAATTTCATAGCTTGATGTACAACAATTTTCACTCCAGTTCCCGGCAGCGCTAGCATTCCCCCGCACGCCTCAAGCTCAGTGTTAGGGACACATCGGTACAACAAACTTTCCCTCAAGTGCGTTTGTGTCTTTGAAATTTTTCTTAACAAAAAAAAAAAGAAGCAAGATGTCTACCAAGAGGAAATTGTCCTTGTCTACTTTTCAACATACTAAGAAGGAAAGACAGGCTCTTGATCTCAACACAAAAATGGTAATTAAACAGTACAAAGGAGGAAAGAAAGTGAATGTAATCACATGTGATCTGAAGTTATCCCACTCCATCCTGTCGACGATTTTGAAGAACAAAGAATTTGTAAAGGCGTACAACTTTCTGCATCTATGCAACGGACCAGGCCCAGCCACGAAACTGAGAAATTGCTGTATATGTGGATGGAGGAGCAGATTTCCAAATTGGTTCTATTGAGACGAATGCTAGAAGACTATTTCTGATTGAAGAAAATCGCTGGAGAAGACTACAGTCAAGAATCTGTAGCAACTAATGGATGGTTCAATAGATTCAAGAACAATTCGAAATACTGATGTTGTGTGGAACGAAAGTAAAATAATATACAAAACAATGTGTAGACAGATGTTACAAATGGTATCAATCGGAAAAAAACCGTAATAATTCTAAAAAATGCAAAAATACCTAAAGAAAGATAAAAAGATTGAAAAATTAATTACAGGCCTACTTACGACCAGATCGATTTATGACTCCTGTGAGTCGTAACTAATCGTGGTGATCTGTATAGTAATATTACATTTAAATTATCAGTATTAATTTGTATTTTTATCATTGACCGTTTAATTAACTGTATGCTAATTTTGATAAAAAAAAATTAAATCATAACTCACATCATCATGTTTTTAGCTGTAATTAGAAAGAAATATAGAAATTAGTTAAACGTTATAAAATATATATTGTGTTGAAATAAAACATTCGTAGCGTTTTTAAATAGGCGTTGTTGAAGACGGGATTTCATTTCACACGTGTCTAAAATTTGTCATATTCTAATTTAAAAAGGTCACATTTTCAGCGCGCCTTTCTACACGTAAATGTTAAACGTTCCTATATTAAAAGTGAATATGAATGTTGAAATAGCTATATAAATTGATAAATGATATGTGCCCTTTATAGAGATGGTACCATAGCTGAATGTATCCTTCTAAGTGTTTCGCTAGATTCAAAAGTGGATTTTTTTTATCTAGAAGTTCAAGAACATTCCGGCAAATTGTTGACAAGCAAATCGAAACGTTGATTAAAGATAAGATGACGGCAGATTGTGGGAGATGATGGCGCATATCGGTTTGAATAAATTTATGTACAGTGTGCGTAAGTGTAGAACTGGAAGAAGTTACACAATGTGTAGATGATAAAATTGAAAAAATAAAATAAAATAATGAGATAGATGAATGCATTTAATAAAAATAGATGCAAAATGAAAACCATTTTGTTAATGTGTTTAAAATATAAGATATATCTTTAATCCGGTACTTCATGATCCGGTAACCTCGTATGGTCCGGTATTTTCATGAATCAGCCGCGATTATTTCGTTGAGCGGCTACGTCGGCAGCGCCACATCTTAACAATTTTCCGCAATAGCACAGTGTTCCGGTGATATGGTCATAATTTAAATTTCCCTAATAAATCATTTTTATCACCTGTTACCAACTATCGACTGAGTAAATACAATCATAGTATTGAAACATGAAAGCTTTTGTGTAGCGATGTAAAATGTTTTAATTATAATCTCTTAAAATTAAATATTATAATAATAATTTACTTTACTTTTTATTGAGCACTATTTTAAAAGTAAATGCTACGAACTGTGGATTTTTATTCTATCTGTTCTTTCTCTCCTATATATATATATATATATATATATATATATATATATATATATATAGAGAGAGAGAGAGAGAGAGAGAAAGAGAGAGAGAGTGAGAGAATGTGAAATAAGCTTACCGTAGGTTGCTTTTTCGATCTTCCTTCGTTTACTAAAACAGAAAGAATACATTTATTTAAGCGGGACGATGTCAATAGAAAAATTGAAATTTTGACTTAGAAAATTAATTTTAGGGAAACTATTTTAAATTATTATATTTTTTTTATCTGTATGCAAATTAGGATAACAAACCTATTAATGCATCGATGAAAAATTACTGTTTCATTATCTTTTCTATTTTTTTTCTTTTTTGCTTCTTTTGTACATAAAGCTGTACAATTGTAATTAAAACTAAACGCCTCACAATGCTTAGACATCAGAAAAGACATGGCCACTAATTTTAACATTTATCTATTAGATTTTCATTAATATATTTAATATCCGTTATTTAACACCACACCTATTTCTCTTTTTTTCCCGGCGGCCGTATTTCTGTCGAATTGGTTATTTATAATTATTATTATTCACAAGATTTCCAACTCACCAATCGTCAACAGTTTGCAAAGTCATTTTTTTAAAATTTTAAGTTTGTTTTTTTTTATTTTATTTATTTATCGAATTTATTATTTAAACTTCGATCTTTGCTCCAAATTTAATGCCGCCTATTTTTGTAGTCTCACTACGTCAAAAGCGGATGTTGGTTACATGCTTGAAACTTTCACCAATCAACCATAATTGTTTTTATTTGTTATGGATAACAGTCTGGCAAAATAGCGCCTGACATGAAAGTGCATACTAAGATGAAGTAAGTGAGCCCGTCGAAATTCTGAAAATGAATTAGTGGATATAAGCACAGCTTATGATTTAATGCGTCTCTGAACATGAGGTAGTTAAGTGTATGACAAGATATGTTTGAAGCCGCCCTGCATAGCTGTCAATCAACAAAATTAAAAGCGCTTCAGAAATGTATATTTAATAGCAGTGACTATGTGAAAAATTGTTTATAGCGGATAAATGTATAATAATATTACTGAATCTGCACCTGTTGCAGTCTCCGTGTGATGCATTATTTTCGGAGCGTTTTTTACAATGTCGCTATAGGCCAACAGTCAATGTCAGTGTGAAATTCGCACTAGTTGATTGATTTGATTTAATAAATTCGCTTTTCATGGTTTATCAATCCTACAAATATTATTTAAAGCAAGAAAATATCTTTTAGGTTGCAAGACTCTTTTTTGAATATAATAAAGATTTAATGATACAAGTCTTAGTAATTAACCCACAGCTAGGTTGAAGAAGAGATGGATTCATTCCTTTCACAAGGGTATTTGTGTGTAAGTGACTATAACGAACCCAACTGGAATTGGAATTCGACTTTCCGATTAATAGTTCCGAGTCATTATCCATTACACCACCCGTATATTCAAGCATAACTTTGATGATTGTATGGAAACTGATGTTTCAACATGATATGTTTCTTCAACTCTAGGCAAACACAGTTTCTTAGTAAGAGGACTTATAAAATTTGTGTGCAAATTTAAATGCGGAAAATCAACTACAAAGTTTTTTTTTCGAGTAATATAGAATTGTATTACTCTGTATATCCCTATTGATGACGGACATGTTGAAAATGAGCAATTCAAACAATAAATTTTTAAAATCCTCATAAAAAAGATATTCACTTATATCTTTATATCATTATCTTCTTTATTCTTATAAGAATAACTTTTCTTTGCTTGTGATAGAGTAAATATATCCATGAAGATATATCTACCGTAATGCACAGGCAGACACCGATTTCAGAAAACGATACACAAAAAAATAAAAAATAAAAAAAATAAAAACTTTCGTTCTTTCTCGTTTCCCTTAAATATACTCAGTAACTTACGATCGAGCAATGCACCAGCAAGCGACACAGGTTAGAAGCAGAGCTAGAATAATGAACAAAATCACTAGAATCATGACGATCAACAGAGGAATCCTCTCTTTTTCGACTTCTGATTTTTCAGCCATCTGCAAATAGACAAAAATCATAAACCATTCAAGCTACTTGGAATACTCCGAAATTAAAAGTAAAGAAAGAATATCCGTTATTGAATATTAGCTTGTATTTATTCATTCATTTTTTTATTTATTTTTTATCTGACAGCAGGGAAAGAAAAATAAGAATTTGTCATAAAAAGATGAAATCACTAATATCAAGATTAATCAAACATTTATAATATTTAATATTCGAATTCAAAATAATTTCAACTTTGATAATTTACAAGAAATCAAAAACGAAACCAAATACATTTATTATTTACTAAATTAAACACCGCACTCCGTGTAGACTTTTATGCTAGCTACACTTGTAGGCTAATTTGGCCTCACGTCCCAAACTAATGGGAACTCTGGTCAAAGCTGAGAAAATATCAATGATAATTTGATTCTTCAATTCACTCTATGGAACTACAAATCATTACTTATACTCTGATTCGGGCTATAAGATTAATTCCGCCCAAAAGGCAGATTTGGGCTGAAACTCCGATTTGGGACGAAATTCCAATTCAGGCTGAAAACTGAGTTCTTCAAATCACAAACTCTGCGGACCTTCAAAACCACTTACTTTAACACTGATTCCTTGTCATTTTGAAGAAATAAATTAATTTCGTCAATTCACAAAACTTTAAACTGTATTTAAATTTTTTTTTTTTTAATTTTCAAAGTTTTTGTGTTAAAATAAAAAAAAAACTTTTAAAATCATTAAATTTTTTTTCCGTTATTTCAAAATTTGATTTTTTTAAGAGTTCTATCCTCATCCGGACACAAATCCCAATGTTGGATGTTCACTCACCAGAAGAATGGTAGGTTTTCAATCCTGGGATCATCCTCATTCCAAAAAGAAAATAAGAATATATATATGCAGAGTAAGTATGGCCAGAGTTTGAGGGGTTTTAGACATAAAGATGAAAAGATAGAATTTACCGTTTATTTATTTAGATTATTCGTTATTTAAAATTAATCATTTTTAATCAATATCTATAACGGTTCAATACTTACAACCTTCATAGAATTCTCGTCTGGCTGATGATTATTTATTACTCTGCTATCACTTCGACAGGCGCAACGTTGTAAGCCTGTCGCTCGCGTTGATTCTCCTATGATAAATAATCGTATGAACCCCATTCTCTTGTCTTACCACTTCAGACCATTGTAGCTAGGATTTGTCTTACCACTTCCGCGTAAAGGATTCATCAATTTCGTAGAAAATATGTACTTCTACGACAAGAATCGAACCTGTAACTCCTGCCGGGGAATATAATATATATATATATATATATATATATATATATATATATATATATATATATATATATATATATATATATATATATATATATATAAAAATACTAATATTCACCCAGTAGAAGGTAGAGGGTTACTCTGTGGTGTTTCATTAGCATAAGAAGTACAATTCATGTGCTTATGCAGGAAAAATAACAGTTAAATTTGATGTGGTCAAGATTGTATTGATTAGGAACAAGCTGTCCGATTGGAATTTAATTCTTACTCATGTAATACGAAGGAATGAGGATGATGTATATGACATGGTGGATGATAGTTGTAAAGGGCAGTGTTGGTGGTCCATATATATATATATATATATATATATATATATATATATATATATATATATATTACTCGTAGTGTGTTAACTTGTTATATCACGTGCATATTATGCTAAGCAAAATTTAACTCTAATTAAAGATAACATATCTATTGACGCAGCACATTGTGACGGCTGGGAAGAAAAATGAAACAATCATCAAAGTCGTATTTTTGCGTCGAATAGTTTTTAAAACTTTATGTATTCATCGGATCCTACGTATGGACTATGAAGAAAATCAGTTTTCATAGCAGCTTTGTCAATAAATGGCTGTTGATATCATTTATAATACAAATACAATAAGCTGCAACTCCAAAACTCTCAATGGATAGCCAGAGCCTGGCAATTTATTTCTCCTCTGGTGGAGCATTAACGGTTCAGTGGAGGAAAAACTCGTTGGTCTCCTTTCAATGCCTCGAAATCCAAACTAGTGACCTTCCATCATCACCGGGCGGAACCTTAATTTTCACCTATCACGACGAATGGGTGCGTTCTAAGGGTGACCCCGTTCCTTGAGCGCCCATTCGGACTTAAACTCAACCAAGACCTCAAGTGGAACTCGTACATCCATCACTAAAGATGCTTTAAAATAGTCGGCTCCCTGTACCTCTCCAGTAGGTACCGAACTCCTTCCGCTATCATTATAGATTTACAAGAACTAGATGAGGCCGAAAATGTAGTTTTACTGCTATATATGGACAAGGACTGTCCATTCTTTCCTTTCCAGTCTCGATAGAGTTCAAAAGTGTCTCCACGTCCTTTTGGGTGATGGCTTATTTTTTACCTTACAGCCTCTTTCCTACACACGAACGTCGCAAGCGACTAGCTGCTCTATCGCTATTATAAAAGCTTCAGATGAAATACATTACTTAGTTCCCCTAGTGTAACCTTCGTGGCTAAGACCCGTCATACCACAAAAATTACAGAGAACCATCTTCATCCCCTTCGTATTCCATTGGTGAGATGTAAGTTCCCTTCGAGTAGCTTCTTTCCACGAACCGGTGCTTTATGGAAACGACTCCCGAGATGATACTTTCTCGAACATTATAATCTTGTTCTAGGGTCAACCGTTATCTTCCCCACATATACCCATAAACTGTGTCTCTTACACCGTATCAATATACTTCAAGTAGCTCCATCACCTTTTAGAAACGATGGAATTCTTTTCTTTATGCATCCATCAGGAAGTACGTATGGATTATCAAAAATAAAGCAAAACAAATTTCCTCTTATGGCGTGATTTCACAGTGGAGGCTTTTTTTTTTCTCACCAGATTGTTTTATATATTTATGTCTACCATTCGCATTAAATTTTACTGTCACACCTGGTCTGACCCTCCTGCTATATATGCAGAGATCCTTAAAGAAAGAATCTGCAATATCATTGGTCCTAACCTGGTATCTTGAGTTCAGTCACATTCCCGCCGTAATGTGGTTTTCCTCCACCTTTTCTATACTATCAGGGTATTTTTTTCTGATGAAATTTCCTCTATGGTACGCAAATTGTATGAATTTAAGCGAAGTACAAGATAAGTAGCATAGTCTCTTTTGCAGTTGAAGTGGCTCGATGTAACCTTAAGTTCTATGCTAACAGTTTCTTTTATCGCACCTATCGCTTGATTTCTGGTCAATTTCAATCTTCAAAGATTTAAGTGCAATATCAATCGTTATCTTTTGTCTTCTTAACTCTTATTCTATTATTGTTTTCTCTCCTTAAAATATCGTTTCCTCATGTACTCTAACACTCAATAAATTCTAGCGTCTTTTTGGTGTTGTTTCCTTGCTTGGGGTGAGATGATTAAAAAAGAATTCGAACACCGATTATCGGAATTTCAAATTATCGGAACAAAATTATAAGGACTCTTGAATATTTAGTTTTACGACTTAGTCCCGATTATAAATTTGTTATAAGTTCATAGGGATCATTAGTTTATTGTTGTTCTTTAAAGAAAAATTGTTACCCTCTAAACATAATAATTTTAATACAGAAAAAAATGAAAAATAAAAATGGTGGCCCAATAACTAAATTCGTAACTAATCAACTAACCGAAGAAAATATTACTCACAGTCTCGCTAGTATAAGTGAGTGCACGCATTTGTTACATACAGTGCATGTTGACCATTCTCAATGATTAAATTACAATAATATTATTAGGAAAAACAGTTTAATTTCAGTACCTCTATCTTATTCACATAGAGTCCGCCAAATGCTGATTCTTTCTTATTTTTTGCATTGCCCAGTAATTTGACAGATTCTGCGGCGAGGAGAGGTTGTTTTGTGTTTCTGCCAATAATGTACACAAACAAATCAGACCTGAAAGAAAAGAAATCGAAAGATGTATACAGTTACTTAGATGAATACTTCAAGCTCAATCGGTTGAAATAACCAGCGGAACTTAAAGTGCCCAGTGTTTATCAAAGCGATATGAATATTCTTGGGTTTGTCAAAGAAAGCAAAAATGGGCATAAAACAAAAGGTATCAACATTGAAAATTAACATTTCCAACAATTCTAACAAAAAATTAAAAAAAAAGATATTCTACAAACATCCATCTCTAAAGACGCACATAAAAAGCAACAGAAAGGAGAAACGTTATTAAGTCATTTAATTACTTACCAATATTGGCTTATTTGTCCATTCGGAAACATATGGTCTTTGATATCCGCTACGCAAACATAACTATTTCCAGTATTTTCTGAGATGAGTCTGAAAGAAGAAAAAAAGTATTTAGCATGATTCCAGGCATATTAAATTCTATCATCTCAAACTCTGTCATTCCAAACTCTTTCACTGTAAGCTCATTTTATCATTCCGAATCATAATATACATTACTTAATACGCTAGCAAGCAGTGATTACTAAGACAGTTTTACTGACAATGCTACTGAAGTAAAGTTGATACGTACCCTCCCCAGATTTGGTCTTGGATCTTCCTAAATACCAAAATATTTGATAGTAAGTCTTCCATGCATTGAATATTGCTGTCACATCTGGTCTTGTAGTTCTGCTATGTATTTAGAGATTCTTAATAAAATCCAAAGAAGAATCTGCAATGTTATCGGTCCTGAGCTTACATCTAGACTTCAGTTATTTTCTTGTCGCCGTAACGTAGCTTTCGTTAAACATTTTTATAAAGATTTTCATTTGTTCTGATTAACTTTCAAAATGGCAAAATGGAAACAGAGTTAAGATACCAAATGAGCTAATGTAAATTAATGTGCTATCAAGGATTGGGGAGAACAGTAAAAATAGTAAACAGTGCCAAGAGCTTCAAAGAAAGAAAGCTATGGAGAACTATAATCGCCCACGTCCATAAAAAAAATGAAAAGGAAGTAATGACGATTAGGCGAGCAGTTTCTCCCATGTCTATATTTGTTTAACATTTGATGAAAATATTATATATATGTTGTTTCTGAATATAGTTTTCTTAATTCGATAAGTATTGGGTTAAAAAGATCTAATAACATTTATTACGAGTACGTCTATTGGTCCAATGGATAAAGGCGTTGGTTGAATCCAGCGACTTGACCCAAAGAGTTCTGAGTTCAATACAGCGGAGATGAACAAAAACTTGCAGAGTTGACTTACAGAGAGAAAACTGATACTGAAACACTCGGAAGAGACCTGGCACGTGCAACTAGAAGAATCTACCCAGGTGAACAAAATAAAAGGTTCTGTTCGAAATTCCAATCAACTGAAGAAGGACTCAGCGTACAACGGCCGAAATATCGTGAATATGGCAACGAAGATGAGGACAAGTCCGAAAAATGTAAATAGGTAAATACCTCTATTCTCTATAGTACAAATACTAGGCTAGTTGAATAAATAAAATTCATGGAATTGAATATTGATTTTCAAGAGCAGCTTCATATGATATACCATGTTGTTTTAACAAAATCTTCTGAATCCTTATTTTAACAGTGGCTGAAATGATCGGTATATATGTTTCCGGGTTAGAAACTTTGTTGCTTAATAATGGTAACAGTAGTAATAGGTTTAAAGTTATGAGAATAATTTTTAATGTTCCGTAAAAATATAAAAATTGATATTTATCAAGTATATACATTCATGTCTATAGCTGCAATTTCCATGAGTTTGGTACCAAGTAACCCCTTAAAGTTAAAGAAACCATGTGTTCTTTAGTTACTGCTGACAAGGTACATACATGCTTTCTACTATTGAGTTTGAAATTCTCTAAGACACCTTTATCCTATTTTTGAGTTTCAGATTGTTATTGTTTCTGTTTGAATTTTTTTCTATTGTATTTTGTTTATCCACTTCGAATCAATTGATTCATCTTCTGCAAGGAAATTTGGTTCACTGTGTCGTGCAAGAAAATTTTCTCGTCAGATACCATCTTGTATGTCTACAATTCGTCTGTGCATTGAATACTGTTGCCATATCTGGTCTGGTGTTCCTGCTGTACATCTCGAGATTCTTGACAAAATCGAAAGAAGGATCTGTAATGTAATCGATCCTAACCGGACATCACTTTTTCACCAACGTGACCTGGCTTCCCTCTGTCTTTTCGACAAATATTTTCATGTCAACTACTGCGACGAATTTTTTTCCCGTGGTGCCCCGAGTATATGAATTTAAACATGCTACTTGCTTGGCATCTAGGTCCCACCCTTTTAATGTTGAAATAGCTAAATGCAACAGCCACTTCTACTCCAACAGTTTATTTTCCTGCGATTTTGAAACTCTCTTACGTTTATTTGTTTCCCTGATAATTACAATCTTCAAAGATTTAAGTGCAACATCAATCGCCATCTTCTCTTTTTGAACTCTGTTTCTTTTTTGGTCCTTTCCTCAAACCTCCCTATTCTCAGTCTTTTCATTCTCTTTCACTTTCACTCCCAGTAACTTCCCGTGTACTAGTGGCTTTACCGCCTTGCTTAGAATGAAATAATTGTAAAAAATGACTTGTTGTTTCTAGTTTTACGATGTATTTCCTGAATAAATGGATACATCGATATGAACATGGGCATTTTCATTGAGGTTGACTCTCAGTGACTGCTCTTACTTCCTTTTCAATATTACAATACTTAATATCTTGATTTTGCGTAGAAAGATTTTGAAGTTTCTTTTTTTTTACGATTGAGTGATTTTAATTAGTGAAGAAATATTCCTAAAACTTGCATTGGACGTTACTGGCGTTACTATTTATATCAGAGGATTTCGTGTCATGGCTCAGTGAGGTGAAATATTAGTAGTGACGTCTTGTGGCCGTAGCTTCCTCTGCTGGAGCTTCCTTCTCTTTGGCAGATTGTCTAGCTGAAAGGAAAAGCAGATGTTTCGTTCCAGCCGTATCTTGTCGGCATTGCTAAATTCAGTAAGGTGAAAATCTTACTCTAATTTCACCAAGAAAATTGTATCTGTAATTTATTTTATAACTATTAAGTTTTCTCTCAGTTATTAGTCTCACAAGAACAGTTAACATCTACAGTCCCTGTCTTTTCAATGACGAAAACACTTTTGTTTACTGGTTTCCTTGTAAAATGTGAAAAAAAGTATATGAACAATCTGCATTGTTTAGAATAACCAAGCCACATAGTATATCATAAGTCAGCACAATCTTAAAATGAAATCCCAAGGACTGGGGGTTTCTTTTAAGAGGTGCTTTTGTCTACTCAGTCGAAATATCAGTCGAAATATTTCACAGTAATAATTAATAATAATAGAAACGAACACTTAAACAAGATCGTAAAGGAAAGCGGGAAAATAGGATTAACTATTAATTCAAAGGAGCTTTATGTAGCTCTATGTGGGTTGGTTCTCGCCAGATCACCGAAGTTAAGCAACATCGAGCCTGGTCAGTACCTAGATCGGTGGCTACTTGGGAATACCAGCTGCTGTAAGCTAGTATGTGTGGATAGTATTATAGATAACGGCTCGGAATTTGAAATCATAGAGCAGAGTTCCAGTACTAGTCGCGTTCGTTTTATTCAGTTACGCGCGAATACCCTTAGGAAAGGCAATGAATCTGCCTCTTTACGCCCCAGCTATGGGTTTATTAGCAGTACTTGAATCAGTAAATCATTGTTATATCCAAATAATTCTTAATCTAAAAATATGTTCTGTCTTTAAATAACATGCAAAAGTTGATAGGCCATAAACAATAAATCAAACCTATATGGTAGTTAATAGTTAAGAGTTTCCTTACAGATGAAAAGCAGACTTGAGATATGGTTCTACAGAGAGATGTTGAGAATACAATGGACGGAACATTTGAGAGACGAGGAATTTTAAAGAAAATAGTGACAAAAATGATACTTGTACTTAGAACTATAAAGAGATACTTACAATGTCTGGGACATATAATGAGGAAAAATGGACGGGTAGATGACACTCACAGAGCATATTGCCTAGCAAGAATGTGTAAATAGGTGACCGAAAAAGAACGGGGAGGGATAATAACAAGAGAGTATACATTGCTTATTACGACAAAGGATAGAAGGATGTGGCGAGCCATGATCGCTAACGTACAGAAGGCAGATAAAAGAAGATTTTTTTGCTACTTGAAATGTAGAAGCAGGTACTTACTTCTTTATCTGATCAATAAAGAAATAAACATCGCCTGATGGCTGAGTGAGGATAACCTTCACTGCTTGACTTTTCTTTGTCACAAAAACCTGAAAAAGAAATGTTTACACATTATCTGTTCATCGTTCTTTTTTCTTTTTTTTTTTTTCAAATCTCTCCATTAATAATCTGAGAGACCCATCTATGTCTTCCATCAGCATGGCTGATGCTGACCTCCAAGAAAGTGAATCGTTGCATCTTCACAGCAGACATGAAGTGGAAAGACTATAATGCATCCATTACCATGTCAGCTGCTAAGAAAATCGCTTCATTGTGTCGGGCGAGACAATTATTCTCTCGGGAATCTATCATACATTTCTATAAATCTACCATTTGTCCATATTTAGAATATTGCTGCCACATATGGTCCGGTGTTTACTTACTACTTACTTTGAGCATCTCGATAAGAGTTAAAGAATAATCAGCATTTAAGAATTTAAATATATAATCGTTCCATGAAGCTTAATTTTAGTAGATTACACGAGACATCCGATGAAAGTCTATCTAGCTATTTAATGTGAATAATCTGTAAAATAATTTATTTTCTCATTTACATATTTTTTCATTCTCTCTTTTTCTCTCATTCTCATTTTCTCTTGTTCTCATCTTCTCTTATTTTCTCTTTCTTTCTCATATTCTCTCCCCTATGCTCGTATTCTTTCATTCTCTCTCATTCTCATATTCTCTCCCTTATGCTCGTATTCTTTCATTCTCTCTCATTCTTATATTCTCTCTTATTCTAATATTTTTCTATTCTCTCTCTTTCTCATAATCTATCACTTATTTTCATTTTTTCTCCCATTCTTATATTCTCTAAATTTCTCTCTCCCACTCCCTCCTCAGAGAGCTTTTTGAAACTCAAATTATAGCTACAAACAGATTAAGGTAGATTAGATTATCGAAGAGAATTAATCTTCCGTTGTATAGCATTTCCACCGAAAAACTTGAATATAATTTTTTTATTGTTTTTAACGCGGATAAATCTTCTCGGAAAGTTTCCATGATCGAAACTAGCAAAGAAAAGTTACCTGAATATCCGCATTATCTGTTTTTCCGAAAATGGCTGTATCGTTTGCAATTACATCCATAGCGAAGACGGAATTTTCATATTTACTCATAATCTCCGTGTTTCGAAGAATGCCATCTCTTTCCCCAATTAGAAACGTCGTCTGGCCACTCAAATAGTCACCATTTTTCTGAAAGTTCTTAATGGTATATTCAATGGCTGAACTTCCAGCCGAATCCTTATCAATGGCCTGTACTTTTAGAATGCTCTTCATTAAAGAATCCTCAGTAGAAATACCTGGAAAGATAAAAAAAATATTTCAGATCACACTCGACAAATCCATTCAATTAAAAAATACATTCAACTGGATGAAAAGTTTTCTGTGAACAGTCAGATGCCCGTTTAACTGGAAAGAAACAAAACCGTTACTAAAAAGAAGAGTTGAAATTAATGTATGCAAGATTTCATGGCTCCAGCATCTCTCATTATAGTCAACTTAGTGAAAAAGTATTATGATTCATTATTTAAGCATACATGTAAATATACATAAACACATTTCTTTATTTCGTTTTGTTTTTGGATCTGATGAAGCCTAGAATGGCGAAGAACTCCATTTAAATCCATTTAAATTTCTTATAGATAGATAGATAGATAGATAGATAGATAGATAAGACAAAGGAGAATATACTTTATGCAATAGAATTTCAAATAAAATCTCATTAGCTGTAAATGCAATTCATTAATTTTCACTCTTACATATATAGATCAGTCAATATACAATAAAAATTGAGCAAATGACGAAGTCTTTTGCTAAGTATTTATTGATCCACCTTCGATTGTAAATATAATTTGATAAAACTATAATGAAATAATAATAATAGTAATAATAATGTGCCCGAAACAAGAGAAATCACAGCCATGTTTGTTGAGTTACGATGATAATAGTTTGACTACGAGTGAAATAAAAACGAGTTATTTATTGCAAAATAAGCACATGTAGAAGATAGCTCACTTACATCCATAATATTCTTTTTGGGTGAATTCAGGTTTTTCGTCATTCATGTCGGTTACCAGAATATTCACTGTGGTTATACTGGTGTCGGTGTCATGTGTTGTTGGCTGCCTTATAACGTTGAAATCGGTGATGTTATTAACAGCTTCGATAACCAAAGTATACGAACTGGCAATTTCACGATCGATCTTCTTCATCAAATACAAAGAACCGGTTGAGACGTCTAATTGAAACACTCCTTCGTCGTTCCCAGCTGTCAAATGAATAAAGAATTTATAAGAATCACATATTATAACAATGTTTGCAATAATAACAGTAAAAGGTGTATCGTAAAATACAAATTAAAGAAAATGAGTGAAAGGACGGTTCTCCACATAATACTGTTATTATTTTAACTAACTTCACTCTTCGGCAATATCTATTGTTTAAAATGCGATAATTATAATTGTAATAAAACCAAAACATATTATGAAAATGAATTTGTACATTTTTGAGAATTTACAACAAAATTATTAACCACTATTTATTTAAAATTCGAATGGACAGCCTATTGAGTCAAGGAAAAGCGTAACACAATAAGAAAATATGCCACGAAGAATTATCACTGTCCTCGCAAACAACAAAATGAAGAATATATATTTCGTACAGTCTCGCAAAATTTGAGAATTTAAAATTCGAAATCTGAACATCGGAAAAAAGAAAATTGTTACAGAATATTAATATTTAATTATTAAATAATGCTTTACATATGAAAGCATACTTTTTAACGATTTACACATTAAATTATATATATATATATATATATATATATATATATATATATATATATATATATATATATATAAAAATGTTATTTGCTTAGTACACTTTATGATCTTGTTTATTTAGAATAGCATCATAGAGAACAGTCGGGAAATATACATGCATGTATGTAAATATACACACACACACACACATATATATATATATATATATATATATATATATATATATATATATATATATATATATTTTTATTCATGCTGCAGGTGTGTGTTTGTGTGCAGAGAGAGAAGGAAAGAATAGAATAAAGTATTAAGTGAAACGAGCATACTAATACATATCCTGTCAATACAAAGCCTTAAAATAAACAAATAAACCCATAGTGTTCAATATGTGATATCTGCCCTTCTTTTTGGCAGTGATTACTCGACGATCTCTTCAAGGATGAAGAGGAGACTTAAAGCAACAGAAATGTGGTTCTACAGATAGACGCTGATTATACCGGGAACATCGAAGTTTTGGAGAAAATGCAGACAAATGGAAAGTAATACTTAACATCAGGAAGAGACAGTTAAGATTTCTGGAACACATAATGAGAAAGTGGAGCTTAGAAGAAACAGAAGAGATAAGAATTTGTAGAAAGCCCTGATTGCCTACGTCATGAGGGGGGACACGGCACATGAAGAAGAAATGGGAGAGCGAAATAAGACAGGGGACCATAAAAATAACAATAACCAATAATCCGTCTAAGTTTCACGACAACCACATATATATATATATATATATATATATATATATATATATATATATATATATATATATATATATATATATATATGGTGGGCTCTCGCGCGTCATATTCTACGTATGTGGGTCAAGCAGTTCAGTTCCTAAGAACTGACAGCCAGACACTAGCACATACGATTTGATTATAGTGGTGAAGGCTTTGTGCAGAACCAATTACACAAAATACAGAGACCTGGTTCACTACGTGTTTGTGTGTGTAGAAAATAATGGACTTTTATATATTAATCCGACAGATTTTATCTATTTAAACGTTTTTTTTAAAATAAATACTCGTATAGATGTTCCGTTTATTTATTAAACTATGAACCTTAAACTATTAAACCTGAACATTATTAAAGAACAAAATTAACGACCTGCCCATACCGGCTCAAGTTAGATTCCTGCAGTAGCACTAATATGTTTCGTTCCACTCAAGTTAATGTGTTTCTGTTAAATCTTTATGATCAATGGGATGCATGAAAGGGGAGGTGGTTAGAAGAGAAGATTTTATTTTACAATGATGTTCATCATATACGAGCCACTTGAGGTAGAGGGTTACAGAGTAAGAGACTCCATCCCAAGCAAGAAGCTAATGCCACCAAGAGCTAAGAGAGCACTGGAAGGGAAAGGGAAGGAAAAGGCTTTAGAAAGAACCTGAAACCTAATCCTAAACAGGAAACAATGGATAAACCCCTACTCCTGTTAAAAAGACTAAGCATAATATATAAAGTTTGACCTTTGAGTTGAACTGTTCAGATGTCTCTTCCACAAAATAGAAATCCAGGATTTATTTCCATCGATTTATTTCTTTTCCAACTTATTTCCATAAATAAATAAACTCTTTACTAAATAAATGAAAAGAGAGCATGTATGTATATCCATTAATCCATATCCGTTTAAGCAGTAAAGCCCCCTCTCCCCTAGCGAACAAGAACAGTGGTCGCCAAATGTGCAACCACATAAAATATCGTGAGAATGTAACATATTGTACTTACTGGAAAACTTATGGGTATTGAACAAGTGGAATAATAAATAATGAAGATATTACTCACATAAAATGTAGTAGAAGTTAGTCGGGTTCAAATCTCTGTCAAAAGCCTTTACGTCACCAATATGGTATCTTATCTGAGCATTTTCTGGCACTTGGAATGAATATGGCATCACCTTCCCATCCTTTAAAAATAACATCCAGATCCTTTGTTGTAGTGAGAAGTCATTTTCATCGTTAGCAAGAATATAAGAAGATTTACTATTTACATTCGAACGATTATCATAATCGTTATTATTATTATTATTACTATTATTATTATTATTATCATCAAAACGTTCGGGTCGTTGTGCCCTCCGGCCTTCATCAGGTCTATATCGATATGGGTAGTCTACAGGGAATTCTAAACTGAATCCTTTATTTAATTAACGAGGGTAAACTGCTCTCGTTCCACTGCCCATGTCTAGAAAAATCTCGTTTAGTTCCTATTTTTTTCCGACAGAGTTACTGGCAGTGTGTACTTTAACTTAGAGGAAACAGGACACACAATCACTGGGCAGTACTAGAAATAAGGAATAGACGAGGTATACCTAGACATGAGCAGTGGAATGAGAAGAGTCTACCCTCTTCGATTAAATAAATGGTTCAGTTTAGAATTTACTGTAGGTTACTCAGAGCGATATGCCCTTAATGAAGACCGGAGAGCCCAACGGCCGAAACGCTGTGATAACATTAAAGGTGAGGACAATACAATGTAAACAAAGATAACTCATCATCCCAAAAATTAAGAAAAAAAGGAAAAAATCAGAAGGTTTTCTTTATTGGCATATCGATCCATAAATAAGGCAGTTAATATGAGACAATTTCCTCGTAGTTAAGAAAACTCAAAGTAACAGAGGTGGGGTTCTACAGGTGGAAGCTGAGCATTCATTGGACTGTGTATGTGAGCAACGAGATATATTTGAAGAGAATATGCATTTAAATGATGCTTGTGCTTATTTTAGAATGAGTCAGTTAAACTTTTCGGCCAGACAAAAATAAAAAAAAAACTTGAAGAATTGAAAACTCACAGGATATGTTGAAAATAATAAATAATGGGAATAATACTGTCTTCTTTCATGCGATCCCTCTATAAACGGTTTGAGCAATCATGGTTCTCCTCATTTTCTTGTCTCTTTTAGCTCTGAATAACGTCTAACTTCATAACATCAATGTCATTGCCGCTCGGTCATCGGTTTACAGAAGCTGTTTAGGTGGGTTACTCGATGTATTTCACTGCGATACTCACCTCAGTATATCCTGTGAGTCTCAGATTTTCCAAGCTATCTTTTCTCTTGTCCCAGAAATGTTGTCATTTTTATTAGAATTTTCCTTAAAACTTCCTCGTTACTCATATATCCTGTTCCCATCTCTGTTACCTCAAATAGTTTCTTCTTCATCTATGTTTTATATCACAGGAGAGAGAGTTTTCTTTGTTTCTAACAAATTTCCCCTTCCTCTTTATACTTTGGTCCGCTTTTGCAAGGCATATTTCGTTATTCTAATCCGTCCTCGTATTTTGACATCATTCTCTGTCGTTTCTTATAACAACTGCTTTACTATGACACCTCGAATTCCTAACTAACATATTGAGTTGTATTTTTTGTTCTTGTTAACAACCTTTATAATTGTTTCTTATATTCTTTTATCTCGTGTTCGTTTAATATATATTCTAGGTGTTTCAGTATTTTTCTTACTGTGTCTGTCATCAAAGGCTGTCATTTGTGTATATTATATTAATAAGATTATTCCCATCAATAGGATATCTTGTTCTCTACTCATCGCTGTATAGGATAAACAAATCCGGTGAGAAGAAACATCCTTGTCTTATGACCGTTTGTATTTTTGTGTACTTGCTCAATTCATTTTTATCCAAGTGCAGGCGGTTTGTTTCCAGTAAATGTTCCATATTATTATAATATATTTCTTAAATAAAGTTTTCCTGGCAGCTCAAATATATCTTACTTCAATGATCTTAAAAGCATCTTATGTATGTACTATTTTATTGGTCTTATCGCCCGTGAAGATATCTCTTGCCCCACTAGTTGCAATAATCACAAAGTTTCTTTGGATTAGGTTATGTTTATTGGAAGCGCAATATAAATAATATCGTATAATTATTTAATTTATGAAGATATTCCTGACATTAAACTGAAATTACCTTTTATCGAAGTGAAAGCCATGTAATAAAACGTCGGTTATATATATATATACCATACAAAGTTCATCGTCTTATTAGCTGTTATTATTTACATTGTTTTAATTCGGACTAATGTACTCATATTTTTTGCTATTATCACAACGTTTCGAATGTTGTGAACTTTCTTCAGATGTCTGTCAATCCGGGCAAATGACAGAGAATTTCGAACTGAACCCTTTATTTATTAACAAAGTCAAGATTGTCTCACGGTTCAATAGCTGAGTGGATAAAATTGTTGATCCGTGAATTTAATGGCGTAGTAATTGCAAGTTCAATCCCTGTGTCGAGTAGACTTAGTGGAAACAGAGCGAGCAATAATTGATCCCTACTAAGAGAGAACAAGGCGAGATATTCCAAAATATTAATAGCGAAGCTAACATTGTAGAATAAATAATAGCCTCATTTCGAAATTCGGTTATGGTTATCTGGTTGGTAATACGCCTGAAGAAGGCCGGAGAGTAAAACAGAAAAAAACAAACTCTGTGACAATAATAGTTCTGCTACTTTTGAAGCATTTCGGTACTGTTTTCTTTCTAACAATATTTACTAACAAGTTTCATCTGGTTAAATTACCAACATTACCCATCTTGATCAACCATCATCATAGCTGTACTTCTAATCAAGGCAGTCAAATTCATGAACGTTCAAAATCTGACCAAATATCTCTCGCCCGAGTCCTAGATATATATTAAAATTATAGAGGGTGGGCCAAAAGTAGGCTTACACTTCATAGGTATGCACTTCACATTTTTTAAACCATTTTATTACGTTTATATTTATTTGTTACAATCATATTTGTTCAAAACTGTTTATGTATATTTGTTTAACACTTTATATTTTTTTAGCAGAGGTTAATTTCTTAAGTGCTCAAAATGTCCTCCTTCAACATTGCAACATTCCTCGAAACTTTATGACACACATCATCAATTTCAATAAATACTTCTGAGATGTATTCTTAATTCGTCCAATGTGTGGGGATTTCTCTCATAAATCTTGTTCTTTACTACACCCGAAAATAAGAAATTCATTGGTGTTAGGTTAGGGGAATGTAGTGGTCATTCCATGCTGTCTCTTCTTCCGAAGCAACGCTTTTGAAAAGTTTGGCTCAGGTATTCCCTTACTTTCAAAGCATGATGGAGAGGTAGAATACTGGTTTGGAATTATGATTTGGATAGATCAAAAATAAAAGATGTGAGAAAATATTGAAGCAATTGTAGCCTACTTTTGTCTCAAACTGTAGAGCTAAATCAGATATTGAGGAATTATCAGTTTTTCACTTGGCAGCATGCATTTTAGTAAATTAGTCTCTGTTTTCTTGTGTCGAGCATGAGATTCTCGCTGACCGTACTAATGATTTATGTGACAAAGATTTGGCTTTTACTGATATTCAATAATATTTCAACTTTCTTTAACACCTTTCCCTGGTGTAAACGTGTATATAAGTTTTAGTGAAAATGTATTTTTCAGATACAGGTGAATAAACACGTTCAAAATACAACATACAGAAACTAGCTACATACGTCCATCTTGATTTCTTTTATACCCCTTCTGATCTGGAAACGATTCTAATTGTCAGCTCCTACGTCTGACAGAAGTGTTTGCCACCGCACGATACTTTACGGTACCTCAGTTTCTTAGTTTAAAACAAATAAAAAGATCTTCTGAGAATGAAACGTTTTTTTTTCCTAAAATAATCGGCGGGGAAGTGGTTAAAATACATTTTATTCTATGTTCTCTCTTTATTAAGAACTATTCCCGGCGAATTAACCGAGTCTGACTGGTGACGGCAAATATAATTAAGTCGATACTTCAGCCAAGATTATGTCCAAAACCTTTTTTAAAAAGATGAAGTGTAATTACAAATATTGTCAATTGGGAGGGAAAAGAAATCATTATTCCTACCCCTGAAAAAATACTTGCAGACTTAAATCAATTCTTTAAAAAAATGTGCGCGCACAAATTTAAATCCAACAAGCAGCTTGCACTAAAAAAAAAAAAAAAAAAAAGAAATGAAGAAGTGTTTATTTCAACCCAATTAGACTAATGATTTCTTTTCATTTCATTAGTGTAATTAATTGGTTTTCGTTGCTATCGAGTAGATTGTCTTAGGGGTATCAAGAGTAGAAGGTTCAATCCTGGTTTGGGCAAAACTGAGGGGATTGACTCTTTTCGCTTGTTACTTCATCTGATAAAATTTTGGTCTTTCCGGTGAAGGCGCCAAATGATTTTCAACACTCCAATCCACATTATCGTTTCTAAAGGACTGGGGAAAATCCTTACCTGAAACATTACTTTCACGCCCGTTAGACAACCGTACACGTACATATGGCGTGTTAGCTTCTATTAGGTTGACTCCGTCTACCAGTATGTCATGTTTACAAGTACGGACATATCTGAGGTTTGAATAGCCTCTCCTACTTGTGTGTTTCGGTTATGTTATGTATGAAGGAATCTTTCGTCTTTTAAAACTTATAGTTAGACGGAAGAGTCCATCACACATAAAAATAGGGAGTTATTTTTCAGTCACACTGTACATAGTTACATCACTGAAATGAAAAAAGAACGGTCTCTTCTAACCTCAAGTCGAGGTATAGAGACGTTCCCATCTGACTGCTGGCTTACACACTAGAATTCGTACTAAAGGTAGATTTCGTAGTAAAGGTAGATTTCATAATTTTAACATTATATTCTAATACACTTTCAACTAACAGAAGAAATAAATCATGAAAACTTACCGACATCGGGAACTGTGGTTTGTTGTCATTCACATCAAGAATTTTTATTCTAAGACGCCTGTTACTTTCCTGTGGATTTTTGCCATGATCTTTGACGACAAGCATTAACTTTCAATAAAAAAAACAATAAATATAATTATTTAAAACTTCCCCAGAATAAATTAATATATTACGGAGTTCTCATTCAAACGAAGATATTAATGTTTTATATTTTTCGTTAAATTGTCAGAGTTAAAACATTTACAGTAAAATAAATCAATGGAATTGTTAATGATGTGTTATTATTGCTATCAGCAACAATGCATTATTTGTCCTTTTTCTCTCTTCGTTTCATATCAGGAAAGAAATACCTAAAAGGGAATCATTGATAACAAAGAAAGTAAATGATTATTACATTACGGTTAAAACTATGAAACGATACAGATGCAAATGTCAATCAAATGCAGAATATTGACTTCAAAAGAGTAACAATAAAAAAAAAATAAAACTATATATTCAACAGTCAAGAGGAGCAAATTATATCCTCGGATCATGCATGCAAGTTGGATTAAAATATACAATCTGACGATATATGCATAAATTGGAAAATGACCTAAACGAAGAAATGCATAAAATAAATAGTTGCATCTACTGCAAGGAAAGGGTTCAATGAGTCGTGGAAGATCATTTTCTCGTCAGAGTCTCTCTTGCACATCTACAAATCTACCATAGCTTCGTGCATTGATTCTGCTGCTATATCTGGTCTGGTGTTCTTGATATTCATATCGAGGTTCTTGACAAAATCCAAAGATGGACCTGTAATCTAATCGATCCTGACTTGACATCTCAAATTCAGTCACATTCTCACCGACATGACATGGCTTCCCTCTGTCTTTTCTACAAATATTTTCATGGCAACTGCTCTGACGAGATTCTTTCCCTGGTGTTACGTCTACATGAATTTAAGATTGGCATCTACGGCCCACCCTTTTACCGTTGTAATAGCTAAATGAAACCGCCATTTCTACTCCAGCGGTTTCTTTTCTCGCACTTCCCGTGTGTTGAACTACCTTCCGTTTACTTGCTTCCATGATAACTTCATTCTTCAACAATTTAAATGCAACATCAATCGCCATCTTCTATCTTCTTGAATTCCATCCATCTTTTCTCCTCCTCCTTTCCTCAATTCTCCCTACACGCATTCTTTTCTAGCACTTTCACTTGGAGTGAAATCATTAAAAAAAAATTGAAAAGTAATAAAACTAGGAAAATGGTGTTTACCAGAGAATTAGAAAATAAAATGCGGATTATGAAAATAAAACTTGTGTCCATCATTACTGGCGAGCTTGAAACTGTTACAAAAGTCTCCAAAAATGATAGAATAAAAAGGAAATCCAAAGCAAAAATGAAACATTATTATTAATATCAGGAAAATATTAAATGCGATATACTGTCACTTGATCAAACAAAATTGACAACAACTAGAAACCACTGTTGGGCAAACTAAATGAAAGGTAAATCTAAAAATATCCACACTGATGCTGTAATATTAAGTGATATCTATGGCCTTTCTTTTTTAAAATTAATGATAAAACCTCTGTTAAACATATTAAGTAATAAAACTTTAGTGTCTGAATCTATAGTGTATTATAGTGTCGAATATACTACTAAATAATGGGCCCCTTGAAAGAGATCCGAAAAAGCTGACCAAACAATTACAATTCCCTTCAAAAATGAAACATTAAAGATTATAACAAAGTTAAAATCAGAAAGAAAAAATAAGAAGTGGGTTGGTGAATTAAAATAACTAGTTGGCGCCTGATCACAGTGATAGCAGACAGTTACCTTAGATAGAAAAAATAAGATGAATCCCAAGTAAATGTTACAAAATCCTACTTGAGCGATAAGAATTATATGAGTAATACTCCCACCCACCAACCAAATGTACGAAGGAGATCGAAAATAATGTGCACAGGAAATAAAAGAGAAAACTACTAAAGATAGAACGTTATATATATTAATTATTTATAATCATAAAAGGGTGAAAACATTCACGTATAAAAGTAACTTTCTCTGATTACAGAGGGAGGGATGGAAAGATTTAATATACATAGTTTATAATATGTTTAAGTGGAAATCTGAATGGGTCTGGCCATAGGACCGAGCACACTGATGTTAATTTAAAAAAATATGATCAGCTATCATCGACCAAAATGTGTTTAAGCAATTTCACTTTTAAATATTGCCTGACATATTTTGATCTATTCTTACTTCAACCTCTGACCAGATCTACCTATATAGTCAGCGTCATATTTGACATTTAAAATAGTAACTTACAGAACGAATATAGTGTGGAGGAAGAACATATTTACGTATTGAACTTGACATTTTTTTGCGCAGTAAAAACTATACACTTCTGATCCAAAATTTTAGACCACTTGAAAAATTTTGGCTGCCTTAATTTGACTAGAAGAAAGTCCACTGGCTTTCACAACAACCTGTCTTATTCTCCTACTCAATGCCGGAGAATTTTTGGGGGCCTACCAGTAGAATTTGCGTTTCCATAATTCGAACTGTCCTTTAGATCGCCCGCTGTGACAAACCTTGATTATGGAAATCGAGAATTCGACCACGCTCAACTTCGGTAATTTTGCTTGCTTTAGGCATGGTGACACCTTTATGCAGTGATTGCTAATCTCTAACAGAACTAAAAACATTAGAATTACCCTAGATCTAACAATTTATACCCCCTGATCTTATAATTTTGATCAAGTGTAAAACGCTTCATTTAATAAAAATGTAAATTTCTCAATAAAATATTCGGATTATAACTTTTTGTCTACATAACCTTTTAGATTATAAAATTAGTAACCTTAATTAAGAAATGTTTAAAAACTTTCCATGAAAAACAGTCTTTTTAAAAAAATTTCAAGTGGTCTTAAATTTTTGATCAGGAGTGTATATGGATTGGCAGGTGAATAACAATTGTTCATAGAATGAAATATTTGCTTAGCACACCGCGTTCTAACATCACTAATGCAAGGTATACGCACGTTTACAGGACACTTTAGGGGTAAAAATTTAACTCGCGTTTTTAAATTACGACATTTCAGCAGGAATGTCAAGAGAGTTTCACTTTCACCTAAAATATTCTTGATAGATTCTGAATATTTCTGTATTTGAATTAGCAAGAAAATACAATAACCCTAAGACAAAACATCTCTTTGCTAAATCATTTCACCCAAATTTTTTCTTCATGATCTGACGGTTTAAATGTAACAACCCCCAAAAGAAAACCCTTTTCAAAAGGCTAAAGATGTTGACGAAAGCGATTGGGAAAATGAAAATTATTGAAAATTTCTGTACTCCCTTACTCCTAATAAACGAAAAAAAAAAATGTAAAAATGCTGGTGAAACTACAAAAAAAAAAAAATTAAATCTTCCTTGCCTGCAATATTTAATGAAAGGTTCTTAAGAGAAAGTTTTCTGCCCATATATATATATATATATATATATATATATATATATACTTACCATTTATGAGAATTTTATTTTTTCGCGTTATCCATTTTCCTCTGATTTTAATAAACATTAGCGGAAAATCTGTCTTACAAACATTTTTATTAATAAATTTATTCATAACTAAAGACGTAGAAATAAAAAATGAAATTGACAACATTTTCTATTTTACTGAAACAAACATTAAACACATATCTTTCCTTCTTTCTTTGTTTATTTCTATTTTCCTTTCTTTCTTTCATTTTCTCGCTTTCTCACTGAAATCCAGTAGCGTCTCTGATATGACAGTTTTGTGTTTTGACGCGGTCATATTCATACGGAATAGTCCATTATTTATGAGGTATTAGCGGAGCGTAACGGTCGTGCGAACTAAGAAATTAATTAGATAACTAACTTAGGAAAGGACATTCAAAATCATAAAGATGCATGTTGTTACCTAATTAAATTATTCATTTAATAATTTCTACCCAACATATCACAGTTTACATGAACAATGATAAAAATAATAATAATAATAATGTTGATGTTAACGTCTTACATTATAAATGTCTTTCTGTTCCCGATCAAAAACTTTCTCTGCGCGTATTACACCTGTTATAGGATTTATCCTGAAGTCCGCCGTTTTCTGAGTTACTGTTTTGTCTTCTAAAAATGAGTAAGTCATTAGTCCGCTTGGCCCCTGGTCAGGATCCTGTGCTTTCACTTGGTAGACAAACATGCCAAGGTACTGACTCTGGAACGAAACAAAGAAAAAACATAAATCAAGGTCTAGAATTATCTGTCTTAACATTTTCTGTTTGTTTTCTTTGTTTATTTCTACGCTTTCTTCTTACATAGATTATGAGTTTGTGTTCTGGTCATGTAAGCATTATTGTTGCGCTTAGGAGAGCCTATGGTGACTTGAGATTGATGCCTAAAAATTTAGAATATGAAGAATAAGCCGTTCCGTAGTTTTAAAGTGAATAAAATGATTACAATTTCAGATCGACGATCACATTCGGTTTCATTACGAGTTACCAGCCACACGGTCTTCAAGATATACAACGACTTGAATAAAATAAATGGAATAAGCCGAATTGACTAAAATATTCACTCTATCTCATTGTAATATTTTGAAAAATAAACCACAGGCTTCATTTAGAAATCGGCTTAATATAATTGAACTATTGTTACTACAAATAAAAATGTCTTTGCCGTTTTGGATTTATTAGAAAAAAAGGTATACAGCAAATTTAACATACAATTAATCCTCTAAGTAATCCCCATCGGTATTCAGAACCTTTTGCAACGTGCCTCCAGCTGAGCAATGCCCTGGCGGTAAAATTCAGGTCTCTTGGACGCAAAGAAGTCTGTGAGAAGGTAGTTGCTAAGGGAATGGAAGGGGTGGCAATCTGGCAAGATCCAGGGAGTAAGTTGGATGACAGTGTCTTCTAGCCTAGTCGCCATATGGTACGCCTGGCCATCCGTGCCATACGAGGGCTGGCATCGTTATTGAGAAACTACATTCTTCATTCTTCTGATTAACCAAGACTGTCTACTACTGTTTTAGCGCCTGTTGTATACGTTCTAAACTCTGTGATTACAGGCCCACGGTAATGGTTTGGCACGTTGGTAGCATCTTGCACCTCTTGTCGAATAGTCCACCAGAGACAGAGAATGATCCTGGGTGGGTCTTGTGGTGTGTGGCAAAGGGTCCCGTGTATACTACTAACCTCTGGCACGTTTGTGAGTGTCCGCCAGAACTCACTTTTCGGCACTGGTGAGCACTCGATCAAACATGGGTACGTTGCGATGCCAAGAAAACAAAGAGATAAAATATGTCACACATTGTTGCTTGTTGGCTTCCGACAGCGTGTAAGGGTACCCACTTGCTCACTTACTATGCCTTCTTCATCTGGTACGGGTGAAGCCTGAGTGTTTCATCAGAAACATCGGAGCGTTCGATAAGCTCACTACAGATTTGACTGTTGTTCTTATCTATGGCCGTCTTCAGGGCCTCATCATCCAGGACCTGAGGACAGCCACTTCAGGGTTCATCACAAAAGGACAGATCTCCCGACTTCAATTTCTGGAACCAATGCCTGGTGATGTGTTCACTCACAGCGTTATCCCTAATGGCTTGACGTATTCGGCAACTTGATGCACCTGTGGACAAAACTACCCTAAAATCATAAAGCATATAACACCGAACGAGCTGCTTTGACAAGGCTATGTTCCCTCGCCGCTGCTCGTTCTATGACTGATGTGTGGGCGCAACACACCTTCATTGGTCAAGAGCAAAACCCCCACACTCATTGCTTTCCTGGCACGTGACAAATTCATTTGCTTATCAATGATCACTTCTTCCCACCGATGTAAAAAAATGATAAGGACTGTTTATGTTATTTTATACATTATCTACTGTTAATTGTAATTAGATTGAATATAATTGCTTCATGAATGCAGATATAACAAGTGAGGTTGTTTTATTTAAATTATTAGTTGTTATTTCAGTGTTTCTATTATCAACATTGTACGTGCCTTTATCAATTACATTTAATGCTATTTTATCCAAGATGTTGTCCTCCTTCAAGATTCTGTGCGTATAATTTTCTCCAGATCGTGTTAATCAAACTTTTTAACTAACGTATACTGTAAAACGGATAGTAATTTTATATGAATCTTCACATTGTTTTGTACCTGAAAGCTATGTTAAGTCAATGTATACAATATTAATCGTCTGTATATAGCAGTGGTTCCCAATCTTTTTTTGTCTAGGCCGCATTTTCGGAATTAAAATTTGCTCATGCCTAACCAAATTTTATGTGATAAAAAGTACAATTTAAAACAACCGCAGATTTGAAGTCAGAACATTATCATTGATAACTCTCTCTTCCAATTTGCGAACCCTAGTTATATTCTTAATACTTAATATAATACAAAAATATCACAATTATAAAATCGGTTAATAATTATTTATAACTATTCATACTGGGACTCATGCATGTAATTACATGTAATTCATAATATTTTAAATTCTGGAATCATATTTATTTTTGGCATACGAATTTTTAAAAACTGTTTTTTTGGGGTTGTCTATCAATCGGAATGATTGATAGACAACCAAAAATCACCTCACCTGCTATCTTCTTACGCTGCACCTATGAGCACAGTCATTATAGGTTAGACTAACGGTGTGTAAGTTAAGTTAGTCTAGTCGATAATGACTGTGTTATGAGGACTATTAACTAGCACTTTAGGATATATGTGCTGCACTAAAGCAAGCTTAGTGAATGTCAATACATACTTACCTCTAAGATTGGGACAACTAAATTGTCTGTCGCTGGAATAACCCATTTAGGTGGGATGCTGGCCCCTTTCAAAACCTCAATAGTTACTTGTGCCATATCCGTGTATACACCATCATTAGCATTTACTTTAAAAGTATAATTGCCGATCTTATTCATCAGTGTCTTTTTCACGCTGATTGCCCCATTTTTGGACACGCTGAACAAATCTAATAAAAGTAGAAACAATCAAATTTATTAAAACAATCAACATTCGTAATCATTTCACGTTTTAGCAATTTGAATTTTTTGATGTATCATAATTCTCCTTTTCATAATTTTTAAAGTTTCCTTTGAACGCCGTGACTTTAAAATACTCGTGGAAATGTCCCCTCCACCTCCTCGTGAGTATGACGATAAATGATATCCAGCAGCAATGCCTCTGATCGGGAGGTTTGGAGGAATGTGTAACCACCTATTAATTGATGTTCTTCCCTGGTCTACCCTGAACCGAGGTTGGTAATACATGTTAGGGTCCAACTTTTTTTTTTTAAATTATCAGTAATACTTTTTTATAAAAGTAAAAACTTACTATCATTTTTTGTAAAAAAAAAAAAGGGCTAGCAATACTTTTTTGTAAAAGGAATTAATGCTCCCAAGAAAATTAAATTTTGGCATTAAATGACCCATAAGGAGTTGATATGCTGCTGCTAAAAAAAAACAAAAGAAAAAACCAGAAATTACCACATCCCTCGTTAAAGATTTGAGCTTAACAACTAAATTTATTTGTCTTTAAAATGTACAGATCAAACGGAACATTGTTCAAAGACGAGATTATTTATCTGAATTCTGGTTTTAAATTGTAGTCTTTTCCTTTCCTTAGACTGGTTGTCCTAGAAAAGCTAACGAGCTTATGAGTGTCTGTCTTTTTGACTGGAATAGCTAGTAAGAATGGTCAGAGGAGACCATCAATCTGGTTATTTAAACCATAGTTGGATAAAAAAGGATTGATACCTTTTTCAAGGACATCAGTGGGAAACGAACGAAACCGACTCAGACAGAATTTGAATTCAACACACCAATTTCAATTTCTACTCCGGTAACCCAAACATCTACTGCATCTACTTAGAAACAGTATTCGAAATCATACCATTTATCGAAGCGAGAACAAGCTTTTGGCTTGAGTTTCAAATACAGAAACAGTTCAGTTAGTAAAGATTCGTGTTAGATATATTTACTAAACCTCAATTTGTACTGCTCATGATCAAACTGAAAAATAAGTGAAGTAGAAAGATTGTGTAACACAAATCTTCCAAATGTGCTGGATATGCCTGATAAATTGGTGTTGTAAATCCTTGCAATTTTCTGGATTCTAAATATCGATCTATAGCCTCAGTTGAAGATGAATATATATCGTAACCACGAGCTTATCAAATTCTTTACAAAAGTGAATATTGTAGGATAGAAAGCGGCTCGACACTTGAGAAAATCATTATCCAAAATACTGATGTTTGCACAAGTTTCAATTGGTATCTGTAAGAAATATGTACCCATTTTCATCGCGATGAATTCACAGGTGATTTCTCTTTGAAATAATCAAAAGAAAAATCTTCCACGTGAGATTCTATTCGTTTTCCATTAAAAAATCTTCTTTCACACAAACTCTATTGTTTGTTTTTATATGTTATATCTCTACAGAATTTGGATAAAGATAGCATTTCACAACTTCCTAGCCGTTCTGATCCTTACTATCACTCAAAATAATTTTCCATTTTTTCACAAGCTCGTTAATTTGGTTACTAGATTTATCCCTATATTCCTTAAATATATTCTGCGAGCATCGAATTCTTCAATCCCTCTTTCCTCATTATCTGTCACAGAAATTCCAATTGTCTCTTTCTATTTCTAAATATAATGGTTGTTTTTGTTCTCATGCTACTTCCTCGTTGTTCATTTATCCCGTCCATTGTATTCTCTGAGGAATCAAAATCACTGTTGCTTAAAGTCTCTTCTTCATCTATAAGAAGACTGCCCAACATTCACTGATTTCAAAGAAGATTGATATTACATAGTTCAGCACTCTGTTCTTCGATTCGAACGAACTTACTTTATTTATTCTTTCTTTCTTCAGATTTGGAAATCATATTTTTTATTCCAATTCGCCTTCGAACATAGGTGTCACATTTTTCACCTGATATAAAACATAGATTTCTGTACTTGCTTGATCTTTTATATCCTATATTATTGTTACCTTTTGATTGTGTCTTCTCCAATTCGTTGCTCTAATTTTGGTCTGTCACTCCCACTATCCAACAAATTCTCACCTTACAATTTCGATGCCATATTTTCTGTTGTATATTAAGTTACCAGATACGTAAATTTTCTATACTTACACAACCCTGCCATCTCCAATTTGTTTCTCGTAACTTAGATCGTCTCTTTTACTAACAACCATATATTCTGTTTCTTTACAATTGATAGTTTTGTTCTTTTTCTCGCATTATTTTAGTACATTGTCTAGGGTTTCCTGAGGTGTTTTACCTGTGTCTGCAATCAACACGGTGAAATATGTTTATCTTTTTATTGTAAAATTGTGTCCACCAATAATAAATTCTCTTAGGATTTTGTCGCTGTGTAGGTTAAATAATTACGGTGAGAAAATACATCCTTGTCTTACACCCCTTTCTATTTTTATGAATTTACAGTATTTTTACGGCTTCAAGGACACAAATATCTGCCTGAAATAAATGTCAAAGGTATGCATAAGACCAGGAATTCTGACATAGATAACTCTTCTCTAGGGCTAGCATAGTCCTAGGAGAAAACTAACCTTCGTCCTCAAGAAATCACGGCAAATTTCGAGTTGTATTTCAAAAAACTGCGACCTTGACGCCGGCTATTACGATAATTCATTTTCATGGTTTATTTATTAGTAAATAACAATCTTGAATAGTACATAGTGCTACTTTTTAATAGATATACTTACCTTCTGAGTCACCGGATCCTTTATAATATGTGACTATTGCATTTCTTTGAATATCATTATCACGCGCTGATATATCCATTATCCTGAAGCCAACAGGGATAGTCTCGACAACAGCTTCGTAATAAACCTTCTTCTCAAAAACGGGTGGATTATCATTCATATCACTTAAGTCAATATACACCTATAAAAGAAAGATGGGAAGTATCAGCAAAATGACAAAAAAGAAATAGTCTGGAAAAACAAAGTAATAATACATTAAGAACTCGGTCATTTTTATGATGTAACTAGCTTAAAAGCCGCACTCAATGGAAAATTTTAAGCTCTTTCATTCGGAGGGCTAATGAAGACTCCAGCCCAAAACTAAAGTGACCTCTGGTCCAGCTTAGAAAACAGCAATGATAATTTTAAAGAAATAACTTTGAATTCATCAATTCACGCTATGGAACTTCAAAACCTCACTTTAACTCTGATTTAGTCCAATTCCGATCAAAAGACAGATTTGGATCGAAATTCCAATTCAGGCAGAAAACTGAGTTTTCAATCACAAACTGCGGAACTTCAAAACCTCATGTCACGAAATCTTTCACATTAACTCTGATTCCTTGGCATGTTGAAGAAATAAAATTAATTTCCTCAATTCACAAACATTTGGAGATAAATTAAACTGAATTAGAAACAATTTTTAAATTCAAAAGTTACTTTAAACTCGATATAAATTTTTTTAAAAAATCATTAATTTTTTCCGTTATTTTAAAAATCGAGGTTTTAACAATTCCTTCATCATTTGGACAGAAAACAAATTGCTGGACGTCCAAGCATCCGATGAATGACAGAATTTTAATTCCGGGATCATCCTGATTCCAAAAAGGTATAATATGACTATGTAGAACAAGTGTGGCCCGAGTTAGAGTGATTTCAGACACGCAGGTGAACAGAAAGAATTTGCTATTTATTTATTTAGATATATTTTTAATCATTATCACCCCAAGCAAGGCAGCAAGTCACTAACACGCATGGAGTTACTGTGCGTGGAGGAATTAGGAACAGAAACATTAATGAGCAGAGAGAGAAAAGTTCGGTTTGGCTAGGGAAAACGAGTAGCGAAGTGCACGATCTGAATAAGGGATTGGGCAATGGAAAAATTTAATGTCTGAATATTAGCAATATCAGTACCTGTAGAATGTTTCATCTTCGTGTCATGGTGAGCATGAAAATCACCGAAGACAAAGATATTTGCAGATGGATGAAGAGAAAGTGCCTTGTCTATACTGTCAGTTATTGCATCTGATATACTGTAGTCTTTAGAAGAGAGGGAGCGGTAAATGAAAAAAGAGATAGCTGACAGAGTTTAGCAGCGAAAGACGGAAGTACATAAAAGTGTAGGCAGAAGCCTCGAGAGACAATTCCTTGGACATCGGAGATAATAAATAGAACGTGGGTTATCAGTAGATGCATGAGAATTTACGAATCTTTTTTTTTTTTACAATGATGTTCACCATGTACTAGGTCCGGGGACCACTCTAGGTAAAGTGTTACAGAGTAACGGTTTATTTTAATATATGGGGAAGATAACGGTTATCCCTAGGTTTGAACATGTTAAGATTGTAGTGATCGGAGAAGCATCATATTAGGAGTCTCATATATACAAGCAAATAATTAAATAGCCAGCATTTCTACTTACTACTTCTACAACACTATGTTTAGTGCGGCTCACTATCGCCAAGTTGAACTCTACTAGGGATCATGCTACGAAGTATGTAGATATGAAGGCTATTTATTTTTATTTTACAATGAACTTCATTAGACTTAAACAGGTTAAGATTGTAGTGATCGGGGAAGCATCCTCTTGGATATCGGTTCCACAAAGCAGTCGTTCGTTGAAAGAAGATATTCGAGTGGAATTGTATCTCTCTAATGGAATACAAAGCTTGACTACAAAGTGTGTAGCATGGCGGGCTTTAGTCGTGGAGGTTAGAACTGGTGGAACTAAGGAATGTCGTTCGTCTGAACACTTTCCATTGAAATAGTGATAACGAAGGGAGAGGCTTGAAACGTTTTGTCTATGAGAAAGAGGTTGTAGGGTGGAAAATATTTTTTCACTTACAAGGAGGTAGAGATGTTTTGGGGCTCTATTGAAAATGTAAAGGGAAAACTGGACAGCTCTTAGCCATATATGGCAAGAGTTCTCTATTTTGGGCTTGATCTGACTCGGATAATTACCGGAGCGTTACAGGGAAACTAAAACATTTTCATCATCGTTAGCGATGGATTGTATGTTCGAGTTCCGCTGAGGGAACTTCCGCTCATCTTGATAGTTCAGGGTCCGATCGGCAATGATGAAATGTAACTAGTTTGCTTTCGAGGCATTGAAATTAACCAGCCGGTAAAAAGTGCTAAATGCTTTCAGATTGTTTTTGAATTATATAGAGGTAACGTAGTTATTATTTACACTATTTTTAGTCGGACTATTGCTTTCTTATTATCACAACATTTCGAGAGTTTTCCCCTCTGGACTTCCTCAGGGGATTACCGAATCGTATAATATTCAGGGAACTTCGTACTGAAACCTTTATTTAATTTACAGGGGTAGATCTTTTTCGTTCATTTCACCATGTCTTAGGATTTCTCGTGTTAATCATTTTTTTAAATACTGTTTCGTTATTACTCACCTTGTTTCCACTCTACTACCCAGACAAAGGATTAAACTCACAATTAATATCATCAAATTCATGAATCAACGATTTAATACACTGGGCTATTGTTGCATTATATTGTTGGTCAATTCAGAACAATTTATGTTTTCAAAATGCTTGTCTGTTGTATACTCTAGCCTTCTTTTTTGTGTAAAATTATAAAGCGTTATTAATATATGGAGTAAGTGGTCCACACCAAGAATTACCAGTTGATCTGAATCGAATTTAATATCAACGAACAGCCTTTGTTCAAGATAATAATGTAAGATGATTTCACTGTGTATTGTACTCGTCCCAGATAATGCCAAAATAGAATTTGCAATCAATACTACACTAGAGAATCAAAAAAATCAGGCGCATTAGTGAAATGACCTGGAAGATGAACTTTTAGCCACTAAGTCCAAATTCGCACTTCACAGGTTAGTTGCTGGACCGACATGTGAAGTTGGGGTCAACTTCTCTGCGCTTAGGATTGGACAACTGAACGAGAAAAACCTGTATAAGTATTCCACTAAGATAAAAGAAAGATTCTCTCTAGCATATTATCAAGAGAAAGAGATTTGCGTTTGGATAAAACTCCCAAAGTTACGCACTCTATCACCGATATTAACTGACGAAATTCGCATGTAAATAATAATTCTACTTTGTTTACTTAATAATTATATTTGTGAGAGGTTTAGTCTTTTCTTCTTCTGAACCAATGAAACGATAAAATTATATATGAATAAATTCAATCGGAACCGTCATCTCTGTTTAGTGTTCACACCGTGAATCACAGGTATCGAATGTTCTAAACTTGACCAATTTTAGCAAATAGGTATACCTGACCATTGAACAATTATTAACAAGTTTATCTCATAGACCATTAGATTTATTTAGAAATAACTGTCAGATGAACTCTTCATTTTGTTAGGTACCAACTATTTTATAATGATTGTTCCTTTTTTTATTTGAGTTTAAGATATATGTATATACCGTAAAGTGGGAAAAGGCTCTGCAATTTTAAACTATTGTAAAATACTAATAATTACCATCTTATAGTTGCATATTATTTATCGTGCTGTCCAAAGATGAAACTTTGGCCTGACTGGAGTCATTTTCTCACCGAATTATCATATTTTTATTACGGATTTTGAAGAAGTGTGGAACATGCGAAACGACTCCCATAAAAAGGACGTGTAACCTAACATAAACAAAGATCTACGGAATGTGTTTTAAAACAGAAGAATGTCTTTCATTAAAATTTATTTTATTGTGCTTATTTCAAGAAGATAATGAGCATTGATAATAATTTATGAAGTTTCCTGTAGCTTAAATAATTTCTTCAATGGGCCTGGAATGATACGCGTACAAATCCTTCACCAGGTGTCAATATTTGATCCATGATTTAAGTCAGGGCTCTTATCTGACCAACCTTTCAATTCTATCACATACTCATCAATCAATCTCTGTTGTATTGCGTACAATCCGGGATATGAAGTTCCGTAATGCTAAAATATATCGCCTTCATCCAAGTCTGACATTCTCTGTTCAGCAATGGCATGGCACTATACAAGCTATCGTCAATTTTAATCAATTTTAATCATTTATCTTGACCCATCCATTTTTATGCTGCCTAATATTGTTTAATGTGGGTCATTTCGCTTACCGGTTGGCCTTCTGACAAAAGCACACTTGTTAGAATGCAGCTCCATCTTCATTTCATCGCTGAATGTGGGTTTATCACAAACATCTGCATCCCACAGTTCATACCATTTTGATCAAATTAACGTTGCCTTCAAATGCGCTTTGTTTAAAGCTGTCTCAATCTTACTTACTGACAAGAAATTGACTCATGCATCATTGTTGTATAATTCCTTTTTAAGAAAATTTTTGTTGTCCTAATAAAGATGACTACAGTTTCCTCGATTCATCGATTCCAGCCCTTTGAGTATTTCTGAAATGCGTCTTGTTGATATTTCAAGTTACTTAGCTGGTTTATAATTCTTGGCCATCATTACTATTTTAATTCTGATTTCTTTTCATGATTTTCACCATGATTTCAAATAATGAAAAAAAGAAAAATGAAGGAATTAAAATAAAAAAATATAAAAATATTTTGTTCCGAAAACTATTTGCCATTTAGCGGTAGAACAGAAAAGAGGAAACAAAAAAAAGTCAAGAGACCGAAGAATTTGTACGGTTATTTTGGGGTGTTGACTTCAATCTTCTCTCCTCGCTCAGAAAGATCCATAAGAAATTTGAGAATTAAGTGTGAAAATTGCTCCAAAATCGTCAAAGTTGTCAACATCTACATCATCTGTAGCCAGCACAATAAAAAAACAACCAATTATAAGATTGCAATTATTAGACATTTACAATCAAATTTCCTAAGACTTTTGCGCGTTAGTGTACAGATGTTATTTGAAAGTTTAAACTCACTGCCATAGTCGTTTTGAGTCGAACACTAAAATCTTTGGGGCTGTCATAAGCTGTCACAGAAATTATGATCTGCTTCACATTCTCCCGGTCAAGGACCGTACTGTTCTTGACTGTAATTTCACCCTAAAAGAATACATAAAATAGAAAGTTTTCATATTCATCTTGTATAACAAATTCACACAAACACGCATATATTCATCCATACGCATACACATACAGAAATATATTAAAAATTATAGTACAAATAAGTAAATCCTATATATGTATATAGTGATAGATAGATATTTTTATATGCATATGGCAATGTCAACCTGTATATTCATATATGTAGAAATAATAATACTGAATTTTTCCGTCAATCAGCCCAGTCTTGGGGAGCCAACAGACTCCCTGCACATATGGTTTGATTATAATGGTGAAGGCTTTGTGAAAAAACTTTTTAAAAGAGATGAATACAGAGAACTGTCGTTCGACAATTCTTTTGTTGTCACCATTTTCTTGCAGTAATGGCAACAGAATAGCTGCAGTGTCTCGGAGCTGTTATCTAATAGCCAGTTGAGTGTCGTGCAGTGCTGTCATTGGTCGACATATCACATCATATCAATATGGGTAGGAATCATGACGACACGTCTCTTCTAGCATAATATTTGCATTTGCATTGGTGTTAAATACTTTTTCATATGGGTTATTTTATTTATTGTTAATAAATGTTTCTCAAAACAGTGGTTTTAAATTTTCCTTCTATGTTTTGATCGACAATGTTCGTTTAAATATTTCCTATAAGTTTCGTTGAAATTGATCTGTTATTTTTTGAGATATGTAAGAAAAACCAATGTGTTAAATACTTTTGCTACCCACTGTATATTCAGTAGGTCAGAGACATGGCAATGTTAAAACCTGGCAATTATATAATTGTAAAATCTATACATTACAATATAATTAAAATATATAGATTTTACAGTTATATATCCATTATTTTAACATATATAATGGTACATATGATATTTATTAAATTCCTCGATTTTTTTATATATATATATATATATATATATATATATATATATATATATATATATATATTCATACGAGCATTGTCTTCCGTTCAACTTGTTCTTTGTGCCACGTTCTTTTTCAACATATATGGCTCTCTACAACTTTCCATCTGTTGTCGCTCTTAGCAGTTTTTCTCACTTGCTAAGTAGCAGGCCCCGTTCAGCAATTCATTCACACAAACTCTATCTCTTTTATTCTTAATATGACTTTTTTTTTCTGATTTTGAGTGTAGGTGTTTTTGCTGCTGCCATTTTCTTTAAGACTTCCTTGTTTCTTGTGCGCTACTTTCATGGAATTCTTAGTATCCTACTGTAGAACTACATTCCTGCTGCTTCTATTTTTTTACCCATCCTTCCGCACAACTAATCTTCCCAAACCAATATTCTTATGTTTACTTATTTTGGGAAGTGTACTGGACGCTTATTGATCCTTGTATGCTGGGATGTAAGTATTGAACAATATTTGTACGGACAAAAATAATTCGAACGTCGAAAACGCCGAAGGAAAATATTAAATATATATTTATTAATTAAACATAATATATATAAGACTTACTGTTAATAAATTGATTTGAAAAGCGCTATTGGGGTCGCTTATTTCATAGCGGACTTTTCCATAGTCACCTTTGTCCTTATCTATAGCACTTACTACCACAACTTTTGTTCCAACCGGTGAATTTTCCTCGATGGATGGGTTGTAAGATTTCTAGAGAAATACAAAAAAGAAACATATTTATTTTAAGTTTCTATATAAAAAAAACTGTTCTCTGCGTATACTAAATACAATGATAGCCTTTAAACATACAATGCTATTACTTTGATAAATTTAATGTTAATTAGTAAGATGTACCGTGTCCAAATTTACACTTTAATAAAACATTAACTATGAGGGCCAGAATATTCAGAACCAAGATAGTATCGATTCAACGTCCAAACACTGAGGCTTCCTTCGTCCCAATGAACGTTTCAACCTTCAATAACAATTTCTATGAGCGTAAATCAAAAAGAAATTTGTTTTATTATATAAGACTTTTATTCTTTATTTATTATGTTAGAATTAATTTTCACTTCTTCATCACACTACCTAACATAGCTTCGCGTCTCTTTGGTTCAATGATATAGGAATTGTGGGAAAAATGTTATGGCAGTGATTGAGAAGTGGAAGCCGCTGTAAGGAATTGGCTACATAAGCATCCATTTGTGTTTTACGAAAATGGAATTCATGTCCACATTTGTAGGTGATATCATTAAAAGAGGTGTTGACTCTGTTGAGAAGTAGAGATTTGGACGTGGGATCTTGATGTACGATATGTTTGATTGCGTTTCTTAAGTTGTTTTTATTCCATGCTTTACCTTTACAAGAATCATATCAGACCAAAAATGGGATAGTGTTGCAATATCTGGGCTGGAATTGCCAAATCATCACATTCCAGACTTGAATTCAAAATCGTTAATCTTTAAGCGTTTATCTCTTCTTTTTTCCATAACCAGTCTCATTTTATGTTTATTATATAGAAAAGTGTTTATGTGACAGACTATTGCTTGAGGATGAGTCTAAAATCACTTTGTTTTATAATATAAGAAATAAGGAAAACAAAGAAACATATATGATACATAAAGATCTAGCCATACTTCGCTACTTCTCAACATAGTCACCAACACTTTCAATAGGTAATGAAATATGAACATGAACGAATATGAACATGAATTCAAGCTTCGTAAAACTCAGCTGGCTGCTGTGTAGACAATTTCTTACAGCATTTTTCATTTTTTCATCACCACCTGACATAACACAGTTCGACTTACAGTGCTGTTCGATAAAAGTAAATCAGCTGATTTTTTTTTACTTAAATTTTTTTTTTTTGCTTATTGTTTTCGGGGTCAAACTAATTTTTAATCTTACTAATATAAAGACCCCTTCCCGACTACCTAGGAAAAAGTTTACTCACCCTAAGGTATTCTATTCATGATTATAATGTTGGATATGAATGAGATTTAGGGAAAAACTCTGTGCAAAAAAAAAGTGATTCACTTATTACCTGCAACTAGTAATCAATAGAAACATAACCAAACACCTTTAAATAAAGAATAATAGTGAAATAATTCATTTATAATAGGTAATATAGTGCGAAATATTTAATAATCTATGGGTCCTTTATTTTGAATAGCTTTTTCAACCCTTTTTGGCATCGATTTGATTAGGTTCTGGCAAATCACATCTCCAAGCACTGAATTCAATTCGAATATGAAATTCACAATCAAATCCTCTTTGTTGCTCAACTGCTTTCTCGAAAGCCTGTACTTTATAATGCTCCATAAGTTTTCTATGGGGTTGAGGTCAGAAGATTGGGACGGCCATGTCATCTCATCAAAGTATTCCTTCATCAATTTTGATTTGTGACAGGGAGCATTATCCTGCATAAAAATGAACTTGGTGGGGTCGATTTGCACCCTTTCAGCAGAAGGGAGCAGAGAAGACTCTAAAATTCTCTTTTACTGTTCGCTCCTGAGGGTCTTTTCAATAGGTTTCCAGAAACCAGTTCTATGAAAAGAAAAGCATCCCCAGAACATTATACTGAACGGGTGTTTGACAGTACTTACTGCTAAATTCAAAGATTCTTCTTCGGTTTTAGATCGCTTATCCTTTGAATTTAGTTCAACTTTCATTTCATCACAGAAGAGAACATTCTTCCCGTCTTCGACGGTGAAATCTTTGTAATAGTGAGCCCATTCACGTCTCTTGGCTTTGTTGACTTTGCTTATTAGCGGCTTAAACCTTCGTGTACAAGATTTGTAGCCTTGTTTTAACAGCCACCGACGAATTGTTGAAGATGCAAGACTAACACCTTGCTCTTCGTTTACACTGGCTGCAATTTCTTGGCTAGTTATAGTCCTATTCTTCGCAACTTCTCTGTTGATTGCCCTGCCAGTACTATTATCAATCTTTTTCTTTCGTACCCTTGTTTCCTCCCTTGTGGCAGGAGTGGCATCATTATGTGCACTCGAGAGACAGTTGATTGCGAGGTTATTGCAATTTCTCTCGTAGACATGCCTGCTTTTGAGAGGGCAATATTAGATGCCTTAAGTGGTTCTGAGTGGCTATTTCAAGCTGTTTTTATACTGTATGAGGCTTTCTGGAATATTCCGGAATACTCTAGATTTAATTTTAGCTGTTCTAGAATCATCTAGAATATTGTTCTGAGTATATTGTAAAATAGTTTTCAGTATTTTGTCAAAAGCTCTTTAAATTTACCAGTTTAATCATTGGAATGCGATATCCGAGTCACTTTTTTTGCACAGAGGCTTTTCCAGAATCTCATTTATATCCAAATTTATAATTATCAATAGAATACCTTAGGGCGAATTAACATTTTTTCCTATGTGGTCGGGAAGGGGTCTTTATATTAGTAAGATTAAAAATTATTTTAACCCCAAAAACAATAGAAAAATATTTTTAGTAAAATAAATCAGGTGAAACGCTTTTATCGAACAGCACTGTACATTTCTTGTCTAATGAAAGAGAAAATTAGGGATAAATGTTATAGAACACTGCGATTTAAAGAGGTGGTGTCTATGTTAAAAAATAGGGCTGTTCACCTACGATGTATAGCTATATCTTAATGTACAATAAGTTTGATTTGATTTGATTTGTTTAACGGCATATCAACACCTTATGGGTCATTTAATACCAAAATTTAATTTTCTTGTGAGTTTTAAAGTAATAAAAATATTATATATATTATTCTGCTTACACAATTGAATACATGGTAGATGATACTCAGTTTTTGTGTAATATTTTTATTGGTAGTCCCTCGAAGTACTTCCGACGAAAAGAATTATGTTCTTTTTAATTAGGATGGCATTTGTAAAATCAAGGTTTATTTAACTAGTCGACTACACATGAAACATGATCAACTAATGAAAATCAAACAATGACGTATTGTTGATTGTGTTCCTTGCTAATTATATAATAAAACAAACTGCATTACTATTTTTACTCACCCTCGAAAAATGTAACACATAGGCACACTAAAATCATTAAGAAGGATTCATGCAAATATTTTTTGGCTTCATTGTCAAGATCATCTTAAAAATATTCTCTTGAATTTCTTCATTCGATGAGGAGTTAATAAAAGTGATCAATATATATATATATATATATGTCTTTCTGGCTGTATGTGAATGTGTGTAATCTTTAATTCTTTTCGTGTGTATGTATATTTGTATGTTTGTGTGTGTTTATGTTTGTGTCAGTGTGTGTGTTTTTTATGTGTGCTTGTGTGTGCGTGTGTGTGTTTTTTATGTGTGCTTGTGTGTGCGTTTGTGTGTGTGTTTTATGTGAGTCTTTGCGCGTGTTTGTTCGCGCGAATGTGTATGTTTATGTGTGTATGCATGTGTGTGCTAGTTTGCATGTGTGTGCATGTGTGTGAGAGAGAGAGAGACAGACAGACAGACAGACAGACAGACAGACAGACAAACAAAGAGTGAAAGATGCAAGAAAACAAATGAATTTTACCGATTCTGTTAAGATAGAAAATGATGTTCTCTTACCAAAAACTGGGGAGAGTTGTCGTTAATGTTTTTAATTTGGACATACACGGTGGCTGTGGCGGTCATTTTCGGCTCGACGTTGTCCCAGGCGAGAGCTTTAAACTGTAAATTTTCAACTTTCTCGTAATCAATCCTTTTTCTCACAGTCACCACACCTGATTTCATTAGAAAATAAATTTATTTTGTTAAGTGACGAGCAGTTTTGGAAGTCTTCTTTTCGATTAAATTAAAAAATAAATAAATAAACGTAAAAGTGCCGTTTTAACATTTTATGCAGAGAAAAATTCAATGCAGTGACCTCAGATGTTACACATATCCCTACTAATTAAAGAGTACGACACTCTGTATTCCCAAGTGGTCACCCATCTAGGTACTGACCAGGCTCGACGTTTCTTAACTTAGGTGACCTTACAAGAAACAGTGTTTCAACCTGATATGGATTACATTGGAAACGGTCATCACACTCTAGCATGAAAATCCAAGAACTTGTTTAGCAAAGCAAACTCAACAGAAAACAAATTTCTTTGAATTTTCATTGTCTATTCTCACTAGTCTCTATATGTTCTGCATATATATATATATATATATATATATATATATATATATATATATATATATATATATCACAACAACGTATCCTATGGGCCAGGACGTTCAGAAAATAATGGCGACGTCAGTTATATTATTTTAATCCAAATTTGTATGGTCAAATTGGCAGCTGATCTAAAACATGATCTACAATATGTTGATAAATGGGCAATGAATGGTGTGTTAATTTTAATAACTCCAAAACGAAACAGCTTACTTTTTTATTGAGAAAAAAACCTTTTCCTTGGACTATCGTTTTCCGCTTATATAAGGTGAAAGATTATATTGAATAAACTGTTATGTCTGCAGCTAGAAAAGTTGGTTCACTGTGTCAGGCGAGACAATTTTTTCTCGACAGAATCTATCTAATATATTTATAATTTAACCAGTTCTCCTTCCTTTGAATACTGCTGCCACATTTGGTGCTCCGGATATATATTTGGAGGTTCTTTGTAAAATCCAAAGACGAATCTACAATGATCTTGGTCCTGACCTGGCATCTCAGCTTCAGTCATTTTCCAACCGCCATAACATAGCGTCCCCGTGCCTTTTCTATAAATACTTTCATGGTAATTGTTCTAATGAACTTTTCTCTAAGGTACCTAGACTTTATGAATAGACGGCTATGTCTCATTATTTTGCAATTGAAATGGCTAGATGTAAAAGTAAGTTCTATGCTAAGAGATTCTTTTATCATCCTTTTCGTTTGCATAAATTACTTCAGTTTTTTTTTGTTCCCAGTCAAATTTGATCATCAAAAATTTATCTTAATTCTTGTTCTTTTATTGTCCTCTCTCGTTAATAGTGTAGTTTTCTTATTCTCTAACACTCAGTAACCACTTGGATCTTGTGGATTTAGTGCCTTGTTTGGGGTGAAATGATTAAAAAAAATGCATCACTGTCTATTTTCAGAGAATGAAGAAATTGTCTTTACGTTGGTCTAGAATAATCGCTAATATTATTGATTATGTCACCAATTTAAAAAGACGATGACTGCATATTTTTCTTTTTTTTTATCACTGTCTTAAAAATCCCATATTACTCCCCGAAAAATCTAATAATAGGAAAATTAAAGAAAAAGGAAATAATAATAAGGAAAATTAAAGAAATTTTCCTCATACCATTTCTAACTGAGAAGTATCCGTTTGTATCTATGAGGCTGTAGCCTTCAATAGTACCGTCCTTATCGACCGCGTTCAGGATAGTCACGAAACTGCCAACTGATTGTTCCTCATTTAGCACGACATTATAAAATGGCCGAGCTACGGTCCATGGAGGGGAAAACTCGGGTGGGATTTTGTTCACATCCTGAATGTTGATGATAATAGTACCTGAAATGAAAAACCCGAAATTCAATTAGTAATCCAAGCAAAAAATATTGAAAAATATATAAAATTGGATTTAATTGTACCCAAATGAAAGGTAATAATTTTTTTCACATGTAAATTCAATAAATTTTCATTTTTTAAATATTTTTTACGCTTTACGTTTCAGTGAATTAATATGGAAAATTGCGAATGGAAAATGAAGAAGTAAGAATTAATTAATTAAAAAGTCAATGAAGAAATTTTTCTTTTTAAATTTTAGAAAAAAATTTAGAATTTTAAATTTAAAAAAAATAAAAAAATTAATTAATAATAAAATTAAAATTTATTAAAAATTAAGTAATTAAAACAATTAATTGTTTGATAAGAATCAAAATTGAGAATTAAGAATGGAATTAAGAATGGAAAATTTGTTTTTGTAAAGAAAAAAGTTTTTAAATATATATTTATAATACTTATAATATAATAACTTATTATAAACTGATATTATAATATATATATATGTAAAATTATATATAGATAAAATATATATAAAATTATATAAATAATATTATAAGATATAATAGTATATTCATAAGAAGTAAGCTATTAAATCAAATAATTGTACGTGTATTCTTTTAATCTTTTTAATTTTTCATTTAATTTGATTTTTGGTTGTTCTTTATTTAAAAACTATAATTAAATAGCATAGGGTTTATGTATATAAATAAGTAGGAAACTTGGTTAAGGATTTTGTTAAAATTTAGCTTTTTTATACTTTTTATATATATATAAAATATATAAGTAATATATAAATCATTTTAAAAATTCCTCCTTTAATGAATAAAAAGTATGGATATACAGATCATTAATTATTTTTTCATTAAATATTGCACGTATTCGGGTTTAAATTAAGAGGTTCGTCCAGTTATTCTAAGCCTCACCCAGAAAGAAGAGCCACAGCTAAACATCTTGGTTATGGCAGCACACTACCACTTCTTATAAAACTAGAAACAGATTTCTTTCTTACTTTCTGTGTAGGTGAAGCTCGTACGAAGGTGAGAGGTGTGCGATAAATCTAAAATGAGCCAAACAAACGCCCAATCAGTCAGAGAATATCTACAAAGGAAGGTTTGACACCCAAGGAAACCTATAAGGACAACGAACAGACATTTGATGAGGATTTCTCTTCCTATGCAACTGTCAAGAAGTAGGCTGCGGAATTCAAGCCGGGCAGGGACAGTCCAGAAGATGACGCTCGGCCAAGTCGTTCAGAATACACAACCATTAATGAACTAGTTGACCGTATAGTTTTGAATGACAGGCGTCTTAATGTCCAGTAGATAGCTAAGTCCATAGGCATTAATTGTGGTTCTGTTCATACTGTTTAAACTGAGGTCTTAGGGATGAGCAAGCTGTCTTCAAGATGGGTCCCAAGAATGCTGACACCCGAGCAGAATCTGAAAAGTGTTGACATCTACAGACCCTAAACATTTCCACTTCAGTATCTCAAGATGACACCTGGATTCCCCACAAAGATCCAAAAACAATGGAAATACTCTGGTTGACAACCGCAAAGATGTTCAAGTATGCAGCATGTTGGTAAAGTGATGGCTTTCTTTTAAAACATGATCGACTACTTGGGAAATGGAAATCTGTCAATGAGCCGTACTATGCATCAAAATTAAGACAGCTGAAAGAAGCAATCAAGATCAAACGTGGAAGAAAGCTGAGGGCAGTTCTGCCATTACTCAAAGATAACACGCCCGTTCACACTGCTCAGGTTGCAGTAGCTGAAACAGGCAACTGTGGCATTGTATTGCTATCCCATCCCCATTACTCACCAGACTTCTTCCTGTTTCCTGGACCCAAATCCCAACTGCATCGTAACCATTTTGGAAACAATGATAAGATCATAAGTACACTGAAGGAGTTTTAGGAAGACCGGGACTCCACCTAACTTGATTTTTCTTTTCTTTTTGCTTAATGTTTTGCACTGATTTTTAGTGGATAATTTTTGTGCAAAAGAATCGACTAAAAGATTTGTTAAGCTTTTTTGTCAATGATTTTCGTATTATTGCAGAGATGTTTTACGTGTTGATGACTGTTTTTGCCAGATATCTTACGTATCATATCCCATACTTTTAGAGATTTTGTGTTAGAATTAATTTGGGACATGAAAGTCTCCGTTATTTACGCTTAGAATTTTTAATTATTTTACGGGCCTTGTATTTTGTATGCTATTAAGTTTTCCATGGATTTCTTTTAAGTTTGCTTTACGTATTCTGATTGCTTTCTTGCAATTTGTATCGAACCATGGTTTACTTTATTTTGTGGACAGAATGTATTTTGGGATGTTTTCTTCTGATATTTTTTATATTTTTGTAAAATATGTTATTTGTTCTTCGTTATTAAAGTTTGTCTCAGAAATTTGCAACCTTTTTGGAATTCTTGCCACTTGGCTTTGTGGAGGTTCCAACAGGATATTTTGCTACAAAGTTTCTGGTTTTCATTTTTTAGTATGATGGGATTAAATTATCAAGTTGGGCGTTATGTAGAATGAACAGATGGTTTTCGTGTGTAGGTGTATTTTAATGCAACTTCTTGCATTTTTTATTTCAGTTTGTATTGACTATTTGGAATATTGTCGTTGCTTATTGATGTGCTACATGATGCTCTGTCATTATGTTTGTTTATATTGTTGTATGTTTGTAGTATTTAAGGTTAAATGTATCTGTTTCTTTCAGATGGATTTCCTGTAGGCATTTTAATGTTGGACTATATGCTGTATTCAATAGTGATAATTCGTTAAAATTAAACTCAGCGCCTCTTATATTCCACTGTATTATTCTGTTTGCCATGGTTTTCGGTTATTTAGGAAGGTCGATTGTTCCAAGTGGTTTGTTAATTTGTGGTATATGATTTTATGTTTTGGTTTCTTAGTTTTCTTTTTGTTATTGACGATGCAAGGACTGTCCACTCTTTACATTTTTTCTAATGAATCAAATCGTTTTTTTTTTCAGTTTGGTCAGTATCTTTAGTGTCTTTTTGATGTGTTTTTATTGCTGTTTGTTTTTATTCTTTAAGGGATCTCTCTCTTAACATCCTGGACGAAGGTATTTGCTGAGTGGGATGGGGGATGATTGAAGATCGTTGCGATCTCTGTTCGGTAACATTAATATGCATTAGGGATTTTTTGTACCTTTAGAAGAGGTTCTGGCATGTCGTTGTTATTTTATATTAGTTGCACGTTTATTGTTCAAATTATTGAGTAGAAATATATTAGAGCTCATCTACATTAAAATACTAATATATTAATACTCAACAAAATTACATTTCAAACTAGTCGCAACACATTACATTGCATCTAAATATATGGTTCTATTGTTAATATTTCGTTCTTTCACGAGGTAGAAGGTCATAGAACCGCATCACGAATTTACCACCTGTGTCTACTATTCCGTGACCGTTATCGTCGCATAGCAAACTTCTGTGTAAACATAACACTATATCATTTCGCTGGCGAAAATCTTTGTTGTAATGTCCGTATAACCACTCTGATGATGGCTAAGAACACTGAACAGCATAAAAAAATATGTCCAAATGTTGGACAGTTTCTCTCTTTATTTTCTCTGAAATTAAAGTAAGTAAGTTAGAGAGATACATGATCAAACATAATAGACATCCGTTGTCTATTATATTTAACAATATGTCTGAATATATATATATATATATATATATATATATATATATATATATATATATATATATATATTGTTTATTTTTTGCAAAATCCTTTTTTAAGAAAGTTTCGTTGAAAACGACACACAAGTTTGAGTTTTTTATATAATTTTTATGTTTGCATAACTTTTTTTTCTTTTCAGGACATATATTTTATATCCATAGAGGGACGTATCTGGACATGTTAAGCTGTTCTGCTGCTATCAGGAAAAACCCCAGTTGTAACTAGTTTTGACAGATATGTCCGCACGCAACCCAGGGGGCTCTTTTGCATCTGTACTGCCGCGCGTTTGACAGAAAAGCATAAAACTGGGCGTTACAATGTACTCTCTTTTTAAATTTGAACAATTTCAATTTGCAAAATATTTTTTATAATTCAGAAAGAGAGATCACGTGAAAAACCATCAGAGTTCTAAATCAAATTTCCTGTTCATCATTAAATAATATATAATTGTTTCTTACTAAATAAAAATCAAAGTTTGTACTCGGTACCACATCAGGCCGTCGAAAGCTATGTGCCTCAGTGAGGTAACCTCATAGGGATGAAGACGAATATACTCGCAAAAAGATTGCCCGCTCCGAGAAAGTTTTTAAAACTACATACCTTCCACATGCTGCAGCAGTGAACTATTATTCTACGTATAAAAAGTTAGCGCCTTTTACTTACCAGACATTTACTAACATAAATGCATACCTTTAATTTTTTAATATTATCTCCTTTAATCTCTTTAATCTCTTCAATTTTTAATCTCTTCAATATTTTTAGTCTTAGAATTAGTAAAATGGGTTTTCTATAAAAACGAATGTTTTTTTTTCATAACCATTTCCATTCAATAAAAATAATAGTAATAGATAAAAGGTTCAAACGTACCAGTTCCTGTTTGAGGTTTGATCCCATTTATATCGACCACGTTCAAGCTTTGGGTAATTAAGCTGGCATTGTCTCTATTCAGAATTTTCGCAGTTGTAATTACTCCAGTGTTCACATCCAACTTGAAAAAAGACTGAAATATAAAAAACAGATTTTTCAAATTAGAAATTTTAAAAGATGAATACATTTGTTATTTGACACAGCAAAACCAAAAATCGTAAGGGTGTCCCATATATTGCAGCAATGTTTGCAGCTTTGTGTCTAAGGAAATATAACATGACGTTATTCCTCCCTCTTCAGGCCGGGTTTTGAATTCGTAGTTTTAATTCTCTTAGATCGATTGGTACCTCAACATAAGAGAGGGCAGTAAACTCTGCTATTTAACCCGTAACTGGAGGGGGAAGACAGGAATACACACTCTTTCAAAGAGGAGGGATGAAAGACAACTCAGCGCCGCCAAATTAATCCTGCCGACTGAACGGCGGGATAACTCAGGACAGTGACAACTCAGAACCAGAAAAACATACCTTTTTTTAATAACCGAATAAAAGTAATTTATTAAGGATCAAAACTTTAATTAGTTAATATTATTTACTTTATTAAAAAATAAATTTCTTTACTATTTACTTTATTAAAAATAATTAAAAAATAATCGATAATCAGGTTTTAATCCTTAGTAAAAAAAAACAAAAAAAAAAAAAAAAAAACCTTTTATTCAGTTATTTAAAAAAAAAAGTTGTTTTTCTGGTGCTGAGTTTTCTTGGCCCTGAGTTGGCCCGGTGCTCAGTCGGTGGCGTTGAGTTGGCGGTGTTGAGTCGGCGGTGTTGAATTGGCGGTGTTGAGTTTGTGGTGTTGAGTTTGTGGTGTTGAATTGTCCCTTCCCGTCCCAAGAGTACTTATCAGTAAGGGAACGTAACGAAGACAGCTGGAAATCGAAATCGCCTTCACTGATTTCGCTTTCCGAGTAGCTAAAAGTTACACCACCTGCACATCCACACGTGTAATTAACAAGAATCGAAAAGAAATAAAATAAAAACTAAGAAGAAAGTATCATCTTAAAGTTTAATTTATGAAAATAAATTTAATTTTCATATTAATTATTTAAAAAATCCTTTAAGACTCACCGTGTAGTCAAATTGACTCTTATCCACAGGCACGCCATTTGGGTTAATAGCACTGGATGGATCTACAAACCGGTATTCCAGTCGAGAGTTGGTATCAAGGTCAACAGCATTTAATTTGATTAAAATGTATCCAACAGGAACATCTAAATTTAAAGATTCAAATGTCCATTTTAGCTCTGCGCGTTTTGTCGTGTTAACGTTAACATTAATGCAAAAATAAAAATATTGTTCCTTACGAAAAACTATTGTTTGCTTTTAAGAAAAACAATTTTAATACAAATATTTTAATGTTAAAATTCAGTCAATACAAAACTGGAGAGACACTCAGGGTAGAGATTACTTTTAAAACGGTGATGACGAATGAAATGTATATGAATTAAAGACGGGATAGCAGAAAGAGAAGCTTATGAGGATAAGGAAGGTGTATAATGATTGACCCTTGAATTTAGAGGTTAAGATTATTTACACTACTCCCACGCAAACTATTTTCCTCGTCTTTTTTGTTGGTATCATAATGTTTCGGCTATTTTGCCTTTATCTAATTTTGAACTAAGCACTTTATTTAATCAACGGGAGTAGATTGTTCTCGTTCCGGATATCTTGTATTAGTTCTTATTTAGTACTGATCCGTTATTGCTCGCGCTGAGTTCAAGTATACGTGGTGATTTCCACTGAGTCCAAGTACACACACTTGCCGTACCTGTGTCACCAAATTTTCGAACCACTGTTAATCCACGAAGCAGTTATCTTGTGGATTAGCAGTATATCTGAACAGTTAGAAACATATGCGTCTCCTGGTGCGCTGGTGGAAAAATGGGGTTGGATCGGAGCCTTTCCTATTGTCACCCTTTATTCGTCAAGGTTGTCCGCTTTTGCCTTTGCTGTACGTTCTTGCGTTGAAGCCTTTCTTTCTCAAGTTAAAGTCGAATCCATTGCTACGTGGAATTTCCCTACCTGGTGCTATAACCTCGGCTAGATACTATGTTGACGACGTTTCGGTTCTTAAGTTGAGCAGAGCTTAGATTGACGAAGTCGGCAAAGAAATTAGAGGGTACCAAACGGTGACAGGAACCAAGTCCAACGGCGGTAAGTCTGTAGGCTTACGGTTGGGTGCGTGTAAGGTAGTTTCAAGATATTCGGCTTATGTTTCGGTCGCGATCTCCTCCTGGAAATGAATTGGTCGGATATGCGAGAGAGGACCGTGGTCGCAGTTCACCTGTGGTTCCGGAGGAAACTTTCCTTAAAAGGGAAGGCGGAATTATGTGCCTCGCTCATCTATGCGATTCTCTTTTAACGACTCTCCGGACATCCACTTCCGTCTTCCACACTACTTTCATTAGTATGGCTCTTGTTCTTCTTGTGGTGTGGTAAGGACCCCAAGCTACTTCGGGAGATTTCTTACCTCCACTCTTCTGATGGCGGTCTGGGTATATTTAACAGTAAGGCTCGTCAAGATCCGCTTTACCTCGCGTTCCTAGATGGAATGTGTTAGCTCTCAGATGATGTGTGCGAAATCTGGATGGAAGACTTCCGTAAGAACTTCCTATTCCTGGAAGTGTGCATTCATGGGAGAGAACCCCACCTTTACCGCAATGCGGGTGCTCCTTCTATCGTGAATGTCGGATTACTCTGAAGCACATCTTACTAGCGACGGATGGCTTCTCCGAAATCAATGCATTATATTATGTATTAGTTAGCGGGGCCCTTACAAGATGATTTGACAGACGAGCTCGGAACTGACGAAGCAGGAGGCACGCTAAATATGGACTTGGGCGCCCGGGTTGATATGCCTTAATGAGGCATCACTCAACTACCTCATGATTGGAAGGTTCCTCTGGGTCGGCAAAACATTTTCTTCGTTGTTTTGGAAAATTCTCCAAACTCTGTTCACTGGGATAGGGAGACATCTTCTTTCGTTTCAGGGTCGTAGTCCCGTTGGACAAGTTATTGAAGCTATCATGATTCGTATGCTGCACAGAAAGTTTTTCATCCTCGAGGCCAGCAATGTCGTATCGTCTTTGACGAAGGCTGAACACTAAGTGTTCTATTGATCGTTAGGCGTTATGAGATTCGTGATATGGATGACACGTCATAAGGAATTCTATGGGGATGAGGAATTCACCTCTTCCCAAATGATTTTGTTTCTTAAGCATCAGCTTAAACTCGAGATTAGGACGGAAATGTGGCGGCTTCCTCCATCGGAATTTGGCAAATGATGGAAGAGTCTTGCGCGTTTGTGTCGAGTAAGAGGGCTCGATTTAGAGTGGCATTTTGATGTTGGTTAGGCATGAGGATATTCCTCTAACTGGATTGGAAATTGGTAACCTAGTCCAAAATTAGGTTAGTTTAGGGTTGTTTTTAGTTTTTAGTTTCTTCCTTCAAAGTTCACCCTCTCTTCAGACATTAGGTGCTCAGATATATCAGTACTTTGTTGGATGCGTGACGCCTTTCGTATTTCGGTGTGCCTTTTTCCTATTTGTTGTAGTTTTTGAATGAGTGTGTGCTTGAGTGAGTTGTCCGACGAATTAGTGTTTTATATCATTAAATCCAGCATTGATTTCGTCCAGTTAACTGATGTTTCTGCCACAATTAAGGATTACGAGTGGTTATTACTAACATTGTTTTATTTAGTTTCTTGTAAATAGTTTATTTATACATTGGAGTATGGAATTTTAAATTGTTGTAATATTCCCCTCCCCCACAAGCAAGAATTGTACATATGGGGGCTAATTAGGACTTCATGGAGTTACTGGTGTATTATGGCAGATGTAATAAGAATTTTATGTAAGAATATGTTGCGTTGGTGTAAGGAATATTGTGGTATGTTTGAGTCAGTAATTGTGGCTAGCTAAGTTTAATTATAAGACAGAAGACTATTCTTTTCCCCATTCCCCTCTTTTGGCCTTATGCCACATTTTTGTATTATTACGAAATAAATATCGCTCTTCGATATGGTACCTAGACTTTATGAATTTAAGCGCAGTACGAGACTGGCGTCGAGATCTCATCAATTTACAATTGGGCTGTCTAGATGTAATCGTAGATTCTATGATAACAGTTTCTTTTCTCGCACTTCTTAATTGTGGAACTCCGTTCCGGCTCCATGTTTTCCAGCCAAATTTTATCTGAAAAAATTTAAATGCAATGCCAATCCCTATCTACTGTCCTCCTGATTACTCTTTCCTCTTCCCGCTAATTATTAATGTTTCTGTTGCTAATTCTTCCACCTACATCCTGTAACACCTTGTTGTTTTACTAGCTTGCATGGGGTGATACCGATATTTTTATATGCCAAGCCTCGAACAAATATGCAAGAAAAATTGAAGATGTTAGAATGTAAACTTATTTTATAAAATGCTTATTTTCTGAGGATTGTTATGAACAAAGTGCAGCTTGATTTAATGGTTAACATCGCGGAAAACGGAATTAAGAAAAGTAGTAGGAATTCTAACTGAGATTGCTGAAGTCCAGTTCCTACTTCAGGCAAATACTGAGGTGGATTGAAAAGTTAATAAGTTGACTATAAAGCAGTTGTAGAATCTTGTATGAATTAATTTCAACTCTTTATTAATAACTGAATTGTTTATTTCTAGTTAAACTGACAGTTAACTGTTCAAAGTTATCCTGTTAAAACTGTTGGCCATAAACTCATCAACAGCAAGTATGACGTCATCATCACTGGGTTACTGGTTCCCTGACAAGTGTTTCTTCATGTTGGGGAACAGAAGATAATCAAATCATGAGAATAGGGAGGGAGATCAATCAGTTCACAACCACAGTCATGCAGAGCGGCCATTGAAAAAAGGCCTGGTTTGCTGGAGCGTTGTGTTGATGAAACAAAACAACATTCTTCAGTTTTCCTGAGTGTTCACTCTTGATAGCTTTTCATAATTGCCTCGGCATAATACTCGCCATTGATAGTGTGGAACTTTTAAAGATCAATAAAAAATCAATTTTTTAACCAAAATAACTGAAACTATCACCTTCCCTGCAGATATAAAGACCTTGGCCTTATTTGAAGCAGGTGAGGCGGGTGGTCCACTGCATGTATTATCTCTTTGTCCCGAGCTCAAAGTACTAAAAGGAACACTTGTCCTGATTTATGCCAGATATGACTCAAACAATATCAGATTTTCCCGTGACGTGATCAGACTGGTGAGCATTTGATCAGATGTCAGAAGACGTGACACCCAACGAGCAGAAAACTTCTTTGTGCAGAATATTCTCGTCTCTCTCACGGGATATACTAATAGCATTGGCTATTTGATTTATAGTTAATCGCTTGTCATCCATCGTCATGTGCTGAACACGATCAATGTTTACCTCTGTGGTAGCAGTTACAGGACGCTCAGAACTTGGGTACCTTCAAGACTCTTCCTCTTCCGCTTAGATTACACTGTTCACTTTTGCATTGTTGATAAAGCTGGAGCTTCATCCCCTAATGTAGCAATCACGTCCGCATGAATGTTCTTGGGAGAATAAACCCTTTTGTTTTCATGCACTTAAAATTAACACGATACCAAGTTTTGTCCATTTTCAACAGAAGTTGCTCGTAGTTACTTTTGAAGTCTTCATTAAAAAAAAAGTAAGTTTAGCTGGAAATAAGCAATGCAGTTATTAATAAGAAAGGGGTGAAATTAACGCATGCAAGATTTCACAGCATTGACATCATTATTTCATAGTCAGTTATGAGCACATCCTCGTCCAGGAAATCACTTTCCCCATCTCATTGTCCCTTGGCAAATATCTCGCTGGCTTAGAAGACAAACCTGTAAATAAATTCACCTGTCCAAGCATTAAAAACCAAAACCTGCTGTTTTTATGAGTAAGATTGGAATGAATTAAAAAGAAATCGGTGTAGACTTAGAAACTGGTTGATGCTAACAAGAAGTTTAAACTATTTTCAAAAGTGTTTTTTCCTTGAATGTAAAGAAAATATACATTTGATGTTGCTGAACATTTCTACTAACCTTCTTTGACGTTAACTTGCATCGTAAACGGGATGAATTCTGGAAAAACATCATTGATGTCTTGGATGCAAATTTCCACATTAGCACTAGCACTCAATTGAGGAGAGCCATTGTCACGGGCCACAACCTGGATTAGAAAGGATTTCCAGTAGGAACAGGCTCACACACAAATATATAAACGTAACATATATATATATATATATATATATATATATATATATATGTTATTTTTATAAACACAAGTATTTAATTAAATGTTCTGTACCGGCCTGAATGTCCGAGAAATTTCATAGAAAATATGTGTCCTCCGACAGGAATCGAACCTTTATCTTACATGGAACCGACATTCAGCCTGATTTATCCACACAGGAAGTGTCTGGTTAGCAAGGTCGAATTACTGCTTTTAAACTACAAATTTCCCATGATTTCTCTCGAACGCTCATATCTGCTTGAAGCGTATCTTTACGTCAACAAATGACGTCATATACTATGAAAGTCCAAACATATATATATATATATATATATATATATATATATATATAATTGTGTATTTGGGCAACAATCCCTCTTTTAAACAAGTGTCATTAAAATCGACTGACAAGGTACTACGGTTACGTTTCTATTTAATTTTTCGTGTGTTCTTATAATTTTCTTCTTTTCTGGATGTAAATTATATAGAAATTGTTCAAATGTTTTGTACGCCCGAACGCTTCCGGTTATAATTTTAGACATTATAATACAAATATAATAGCCTGTCTATATTTCTGAGATGAGGTATTATGTACAGTATTTATATTAGTCGGACTATTGTCCTCATCTTTGTCGCCATATTTGTCACAACGTTTCGGCCGTTGATGGCACAGTGGATAAAGGCGTTGGTTAGATCCAGTGACAGACCCAAAGAAGGTGAGTTCAATTCCTGGTTAAGGCAGTGGAGAACTTTCAGAGGGAAAATTAGCAAGAGATAACTGATAACTGACATCCATCAAACATGGCACGTGGAACTAGAACAGTCTACCGCAGCGATCGAAATAAAGGGTTCAGTTCGAAATTCCAACCACCTGAAGAAGGCCGGAGCGTACAACGGCCGAAACGTTGTGACAAATATGGCGACAAAGATGAGGACAATAGTCCTACTAATATAAATACTGTAAATATAATAGCCTTATTCACATGTAAAAAGAAAAAGTCTAAAAATTATGAAGTCATTATTAATAAAAGAAGAACACTCAATAATATCAACTATGAACACGACCACAATGTATTGACCGTGTTTCGAAAATAAAACATTACTATAATTCTAGATACATGCATCAAACTATCTATAAATTCAGTTAAGAGTAAAAATAAATTCCCCCTTGCCAGTCGTTTCTAATGAAACTTGTGTGTGCATGTATGTGTGTGTGTGTGTGTATTCTATTACATTATTCTACTTATAACTCTTATAAAATTTCAGTTTTTTTATTAAATTATCAAATCACCAGGTGTACTTCTTTCTGCAAATTTTCAGTGACCTGCAGTTGATTCGATTTCAATTTTAAGGGCCATATTAAAGGAAAATAAAGCATAGACAGGATACAGAAAAATATCTAATTGAATATTATTTACCATAATGCGGTGTGTTTTTTTCTTACCTGAAATGCATAGATTTTTTTTGTTTCGTAATCAAATCTCGCCTGGAAAGAACTTTTAATAATGCCCATTTGGTCAATAGTGAATTGTCCCTCAGCCCCAGTGGCGAGTGAATAAGACAGTTTTGAGTTGCTTGTACCTGCTTTGTCCGCATCGGTTGCAACCACAGCAAGTACTGTCTTCCCTGTTGATAAAAGAAAGAATAACAAGAAAACAAATCTTTACATCAGTTGAGAATTAAACATTTTACCAATACTCAAAAATTATTCGAGTTATATAACAATTACCTACATGAGAAACACAATCTTTTATATAAAGTATAGAGTATGTGTGTCTCTTTGTGCGTGTGAGTGTCGAAGCAACTCCTACGCTCTCACTGATCCGATTTAAAGCATTCAAAAGCTCTAGAAAAGTTAAGCGCAGGAAACGATTTTCGCTGAAATCAGATTCAGGGTTGCCAGATTATGCGAGGTTAAAAATATATATTAATACATTATACTAGCGAATATCGTTGCTTTCAGGATTCAAGGGGAGTAACTCTTATTTTCCTTTTGTATCCAAAATTACAGTGCACATTTATTATAAACTAGCTTAAAAGCCGCCCTATCGAGCGGCATTAAGCTAGCTCCTGTGAGGGTTCTTAGTTTGGCTATCTTCACAATAGCTAGGGAGAAGTAAATGCGATAGTCATCAGTAAACCACAGAACTCAAAATTGATCGCTGCATTTAAGTATTAATGTTTAAGCTAGCCTTTTAAAAGTTCAACTTTAATTCTTCTGCTGCCACTTAATTTAAAAACGATTTGATGTACGTAGATCTTTATTTTCCGTACAAACAATTATTTTTATTTCATGTGTGACAGAAAAGGGGACAATTTATAAGATAAAATTCATATAGTGTAAAGATGGGAAATTTGAAGACTTAGTGAAATATAATAGCTAATTAAGTAAAACATATATTATAGAATCTATATGAATCAACGCGAAATTGGAGCTCATTTCTCACACGAATTCTGAGATTAAAAAGCCCCAGCTCAACTTTATAGTATGTGTACTTACTCACACCCACCCACGAGGTCAGGTTGTGAAACAAGATCGGTTTAATGTGTGGAGCCCGAGTGCGTCCTCCCGGGCAAGGAACAAAAATTTGCCCGAACCACTGCAACTTTTTTGTTTACTATAAAACTTATTTGGTCTTCTTGTACCATTTACTTTTCTTTGTCTTATTTCTTTTATTCTTTTTGTTATCATTCAAATATCTAGTTTTTATTATTATTATTATTCCTAATTTTTACAAATTGTGGTATAAATATAAATTATAAAAATCGAAATTAAATTGCTTGTTTAAAAATCATCTGGAATTATTAAAATAAGAAAAAATTTTTCATACCACCAGCAAAATTTTCAGGGATGCATGTTTTGTAATTATTTTGCTTAAAAACTGGTTTGTTGTCGTTTTTATCCTGAAAATATATTTAAAAGGAGAAATTTGAAACTGAAATTTGCAAAATACTTACTGGATGATAATATCAAAATATAAATATTTAACAAATAGTAAGTAAATTATTAATGACAAATAAACAAGTAATAAGATAATAAAATAATAATAATAATAATAATAATAATAATAATAATAATAATAATCAGATAGAATTTTAGCCAAGATATTAAAATGGAAATCGGAATCGAAAAACATAATTCAGCTGATGTAGACAAAGTAAAACAGGAAGCAACTAAAGGAGACTGTCTAGCAACACAATTATCAGGACATTGAGCATGACGATTATCTCTGAATATCGATAAGGATTAAGTGAAGGTCTTTCGCTAGTCGTATGTTGATTTCATCCATTCCACGGATTCATCTCTCCACATTAACGATGTTGGCCTTTAACGGCAATAAATATAATCATGTATCATTTTGTAGGATCGGCTTCCATCAATGTTGAACATCCATGCTCGCAGAAAAACGGTGTATCAAAAGGACGCTTATTCCTTTGACACTGCTATTAGGGGATACACTTTTAACTCCCTTAGTTATGTTCATTTACAAGATTATAAAAATATGTGAACCAAATACAATGCAATATTTATTACTTACCAATTTATAGAGACATAAATCGGAAAGGAAATCATTTGTTAAAAAATTATAAAAAAATTATCAAAATATGTAAAAGGAAGAGATGCTTTCAACCTATTTTAGTGAATTTATGTGGCAAATGAAAATGAAAGAAAGTTCCCGGAAAGAAGTATATCATTACAGTTACTTGTTGTCATGAGTTTAAATTTTTCTGTTCACATAAATTCACATAAATTATGAATAAAAAATGTATTTCTTCTTAAAATCCTAAATGCTAAACATTACTTTATATTTGGTTCGCATATTTTTATAATTTTTTAACTTTTTTGATAAATTTATGAAGAAAAAATCCTTTACATATTTATTTCTTTATAAACTTTTAAATGATAAATATTTCATTTTGTTGGCTCCCATTTTTCATAATCTTGTAAATATAAAATTATTCTTGTAAATATTCACTCTAATAAATAAACCGTGTTTAATGTCTTTGTTGCATTTCTCAAGAATAAAGAAAATGCATAAATCCACTTATATATGTTTGCGTTTTATTAAAATTCTAATCATCACTTTATAAACAGTAAACATTGCCGCAGGAGTTAAAATTGTATACAGTTATAGCGTTGTCAAACAAATAAGTATAATTTCGAAACACCCTTTTTGCGGGCACGAAGGTTGAAAATTGCCCAGGTTGTCTTCTGGCAAATTTTAGTAAGATCTGTCACTGGCTGTGTTGACAGATCTGCAGAAAGGATTTTCGAGCTTTACTAACTACAACATGTTTTTTTTAATCGTTTCGACACAAGCAAGACATTAGTGGTGAAGGACAGTAAAGGAACAGAATTCAGGAAGACAGAAGATGGCGATTGGCGTTGTATTTAAATTTTTGAAGATTGTAGATGACTGGGAGGTAAAGAATCGGAAAGGAGTTCCACAGGGGAGAAATGCGAGAAAAGAAATAAAAGTGTCGGCTCACAGCTAGTTCAACAGTAAAACGGCGAGACCTAGTAGCCAATCTAGTAGCACGCTTAAATTCATGTAGTCGAAGCACTAAGCAGTAAAGCTCATCAAAACAATTACCATGAAAATATTTCTGGAAAATCAGAGAGAAGCCAGGTCACGTCAGTGAGAAGAAGTGACTGAAGTCAAGATGTCAGATCAGGTTTGATTACATTATATATTGCTCCACATATTCGGTCTTGTGCCACATCTAAGCTACACTTAAATTTTTGGGGCACTCGGTCGTGGTGTAATGCTTAGCAAGATTTTCTCGCTAGATCTTTTAGAACGGAATAGTGAGTCCTAAACTCACTGGGTACTCCACACATTTGGCTTTGTGACACATCTCAGTTACATTTGCAAAATGAATTTTGGGGGCACTTCGGTGTAGTATAAAATTTATAAATGAATCTTGTTAATGATTAATTAAGGTATGTTAAATAATAGTTTATCAGACTATTATTTTTAAGAGAAATTATTCAGAGATTTGGTTTTTACTCGTGAGGAGATGTAGATCTGTTCTCTTTCGTGTCCGAAATGGCTCCCAAGTGAGGGGGAACGACCCCCACTGAACTATTAGATAATGTGCAGGTCGACATGATTAATAAAAATAGTAACTTAAAATTCTCTGTAATGAAGTCTTTCATTGCCGAACCGAAACGAATGGTAATCTCCGGTAGAGAGAAAAAGCCGAGCTGAGATCATTCACTGCTGTCAATATGCAACACTTCAATTATTGACTTCCAACAGCATCTAAAGCAACAAAAAAATGATAGCTTGTTTAAACTAGAAGGGAAAATGGAGGCATAATCAAGATATTGACTTTCAACTCTTAAAAAAAGGATGGACTTGAAAAGATTAGCGACACATTGTGCCTTAACGTACTAAACTTTTCAGTTGAAATGAAGTGGAAAGGGTATATTAAATCAATTGCCAATTTTGCAGCTATGAAAGTTTGTTCATTTTGTCGGGCTAGACGGGTTTTTTTTCCACAGAATCTATCTTACATATTTATTCGTCCATGCTTTGGATATTGCTGCTACACCTGGTATGGTGTCCTTGCTATATATTTATAGATTCTTGATAAAATTCCATGAAGAATCTGTTATTGTTCCGACCTGGCATCTCGACTTCAGTTTTTTCCCACCGCCAAAAAGTAATTTTTTTCTTTGCTTTTTCTATGAATAATTACATGGTAATTGTTTTGATCAACTTTCAGTTATAGAACCACGAATTTAAGCGCAGTACTAGATTGGTGGCAAAGTTTCATCATTTTAGAATTGAAATTGTTAGATGCAACCATAAGTTCTATGCTAACAGTTTCTTCTCTAGTCGTTCTCGCTTGTAGAATTCTTTTTTGGCTTTATTGCTTCCCAGTCAACTTTGATCTTCAAAAATTTAAATACAATGTCAATCGTTATTTTCTGTATTCTTAATTCTTTTTCTTTTATTGTTCTGTCTCATTAATAGTAGTTTTCTCATATTCTCTAACACTCAGTAACAACTTGCGTCCTAGTTGCTTTATTGCCTTGCTTGGTGTGAAATGATTAAAAATAAAAACTAATTTCCTAAAAACGTGTTAAGAGAATTTAAAAAAAAATTTCAACTGACTGTAACTGTTCGATCAATAAACGCCGAATGTTCATGCATGGAAATAATCTCCCCATTAGCATCATAAAAAATTTCAACTGACTGTAACTGTTCGGTCAATAAACTCCGAATGTTCATGCATGGAAATAATCTCCCCATTAGCATCATAAAAAATTTCAACTGACTGTAACTGTTCGGTCAATAAACTCCGAATGTTCATGCATGGAAATAATCTCACCATTAGCATCATAAAAAATTTCAACTGACTGTAACTGTTCGGTCAATAAACGCCGAATGTTCATGCATGGAAATAATCTCCCCATTAGCATCATAAAAAATTTCAACTGACTGTAACTGTTCGGTCAATAAACTCCGAATGTTCATGCATGGAAATAATCTCCCCATTAGCATCATAAAAAATTTCAACTGACTGTAACTGTTCGGTCAATAAACTCCGAATGTTCATGCATGGAAATAATCTCCCCATTAGCATCATAAAAAATTTCAACTGACTGTAACTGTTCGGTCAATAAACGCCGAATGTTCATGCATGGAAATAATCTCCCATTAGCATCATAAAAAATTTCAACTGACTGTAACTGTTCGGTCAATAAACGCCGAATGTTCATTCATGGAAATAATCTCCCCATTAGCATCATAAAAAATTTCAACTGACTGTAACTGTTCGGTCAATAAACGCCGAATGTTCATTCATGGAAATAATCTCCCCATTAGCATCATAAAAATTTCAACTGACTGTAACTGTTCGGTCAATAAACGCCGAATGTTCATTCATGGAAATAATCTCCCATTAGCATCATAAAAAATTTCAACTGACTGTAACTGTTCGGTCAATAAACTCCGAATGTTCATGCATGGAAATAATCTCCCCATTAGCATCATAAAAATTTCAACTGACTGTAACTGTTCGGTCAATAAACTCCGAATGTTCATGCATGGAAATAATCTCCCCATTAGCATCATAAAAATTTCAACTGACTGTAAATGTTCGGTCAATAAACTCCGAATGTTCATGCATGGAAATAATCTCCCCATTAGCATCATAAAAATTTCAACTGACTGTAACTGTTCGGTCAATAAACTCCGAAAGTTCATGCATGGAAATAATCTCACCATTAGCATCATAAAAATTTCAACTGACTGTAACTGTTCGGTCAATAAACTCGAATGTTCATGCATGAAATAATCTCCCCATTAGCATCATAAAAATTTCAACTGACTGTAACTGTTCGGTCAATAAACTCGAATGTTCATGCATGGAAATAATCTCCCCATTAGCATCATAAAAAATTTCAACTGACTGTAACTGTTCGGTCAATAAACTCCGAATGTTCATGCATGGAAATAATCTCCCATTAGCATCATAAAAATTTCAACTGACTGTAACTGTTCGGTCAATAAACTCCGAATGTTCATGCATGGAAATAATCTCCTATTAGCATCATAAAAATTTCAAATGACTGTAACTGTTCGGTCAATAAACTCCGAATGTTCATGCATGGAAATAATCTCCCATTAGCATCATAAAAAATTTCAACTGACTGTAACTGTTCGGTCAATAAACTCCGAATGTTCATGCATGGAAATAATCTCCCCATTAGCATCATAAAAATTTCAACTGACTGTAACTGTTCGGTCAATAAACTCCGAATGTTCATGCATGGAAATAATCTCCCATTAGCATCATAAAAAATTTCAACTGACTGTAACTGTTCGGTCAATAAACTCCGAATGTTCATGCATGGAAATAATCTCCCCATTAGCATCATAAAAAATTTCAACTGACTGTAACTGTTCGGTCAATAAACGCCGAATGTTCATGCATGGAAATAATCTCCCCATTAGCATCATAAAAAATTTCAACTGACTGTAACTGTTCGGTCAATAAACTCCGAATGTTCATGCATGTAAATAATCTCCCCATTCGCATCATAAAAATTTCAACTGACTGTAACTGTTCGGTCAATAAACTCCGAATGTTCATGCATGGAAATAATCTCCCCATTAGCATCATAAAAAATTTCAACTGACTGTAACTGTTCGGTCAATAAACTCCGAATGTTCATGCAAGGAAATAATCTCCCCATTAGCATCATAAAAATTTCAACTGACTGTAACTGTTCGGTCAATAAACTCCGAATGTTCATGCATGGAAATAATCTCCCCATTAGCATCATAAAAATTTCAACTGACTGTAACTGTTCGGTCAATAAACTCCGAATGTTCATGCATGGAAATAATCTCCCATTAGCATCATAAAAAATTTCAACTGTCTGTAACTGTTCGGTCAATAAACTCCGAATGTTCATGCATGGAAATAATCTCCCCATTAGCATCATAAAAATTTCAACTGACTGTAACTGTTCGGTCAATAAACTCGAATGTTCATGCATGGAAATAATCTCCCCATTAGCATCATAAAAAAAACTCCGAATTTCAACTGTCTGTAACTGTTCGGTCAATAAACTCGAATGTTCATGCATGGAAATAATCTCCCATTAGCATCATAAAAATTTCAACTGACTGTAACTGTTCGGTCAATAAACTCCGAATGTTCATGCATGGAAATAATCTCCCCATTAGCATCATAAAAATTTCAACTGACTGTAACTGTTCGGTCAATAAACCCGATAGTTCATGCATGGAAATAATCTCCCATTAGCATCATAAAAATTTCAACTGACTGTAACTGTTCGGTCAATATACTCCGAATGTTCATGCATGGAAATAATCTCCCCATTAGCATCATAAAAAATTTCAACTGACTGTAAATGTTCGGTCAATAAACTCCGAATGTTCATGCATGGAAATAATCTCCCCATTAGCATCATAAAAAATTTCAACTGACTGTAACTGTTCGGTCAATAAACTCCGAATGTTCATGCATGGAAATAATCTCCCCATTAGCATCATAAAAAATTTCAACTGACTGTAACTGTTCGGTCAATAAACTCCGAATGTTCATGCATGGAAATAATCTCCCATTAGCATCATAAAAATTTCAACTGACTGTAACTGTTCGGTCAATAAACTCCGAATGTTCATGCATGGAAATAATCTCCCCATTAGCATCATAAAAAATTTCAACTGACTGTAACTGTTCGGTCAATAAACTCCGAATGTTCATGCATGGAAATAATCTCCCATTAGCATCATAAAAAAATTTCAACTGACTGTAACTGTTCGGTCAATAAACTCCGAATGTTTATGCATGGAAATAATCTCCCCATTAGCATCATAAAAAATTTCAACTGACTGTAACTGTTCGGTCAATAAACTCCGAATGTTCATGCATGGAAATAATCTCCCCATTAGCATCATAAAAATTTCAACTGACTGTAACTGTTCGGTCAATAAACGCCGAATGTTCATGCATGGAAATAATCTCCCCATTAGCATCATAAAAAATTTCAACTGACTGTAACTGTTCGGTCAATAAACTCCGAATGTTCATGCATGTAAATAATCTCCCCATTAGCATCATAAAAAATTTCAACTGACTGTAACTGTTCGGTCAATAAACTCCGAATGTTCATGCATGGAAATAATCTCCCCATTAGCATCATAAAAAATTTCAACTGACTGTAACTGTTCGGTCAATAAACTCCGAATGTTCATGCAAGGAAATAATCTCCCCATTAGCATCATAAAAAATTTCAACTGACTGTAACTGTTCGGTCAATAAACTCCGAATGTACATGCATGGAAATAATCTCCCCATTAGCATCATAAAAAATTTCAACTGACTGTAACTGTTCGGTCAATAAACTCCGAATGTTCATGCATGGAAATAATCTCCCCATTAGCATCATAAAAAATTTCAACTGTCTGTAACTGTTCGGTCAATAAACTCCGAATGTTCATGCATGGAAATAATCTCCCCATTAGCATCATAAAAAATTTCAACTGACTGTAACTGTTCGGTCAATAAACTCCGAATGTTCATGCATGGAAATAATCTCCCATTAGCATCATAAAAAATTTCAACTGACTGTAACTGTTCGGTCAATAAACTCCGAATGTTCATGCATGGAAATAATCTCCCCATTAGCATCATAAAAAATTTCAACTGACTGTAACTGTTCGGTCAATAAACTCCGATAGTTCATGCATGGAAATAATCTCCCCATTAGCATCATAAAAAATTTCAACTGACTGTAACTGTTCGGTCAATATACTCCGAATGTTCATGCATGGAAATAATCTCCCCATTAGCATCATAAAAAATTTCAACTGACTGTAACTGTTCGGTCAATAAACTCCGAATGTTCATGCATGGAAATAATCTCCCCATTAGCATCATAAAAATTTCAACTGACTGTAACTGTTCGGTCAATAAACTCCGAATGTTCATGCATGGAAATAATCTCCCCATTAGCATCATAAAAATTTCAACTGACTGTAACTGTTCGGTCAATAAACTCCGAATGTTCATGCATGGAAATAATCTCCCCATTAGCATCATAAAAAATTTCAAATGACTGTAACTGTTCGGTCAATAAACTCCGAATGTTCATGCATGGAAATAATCTCCCATTAGCATCATAAAAAATTTTCAACTGACTGTAACTGTTCGGTCAATAAACTCCGAATGTTCATGCATGGAAATAATCTCCCCATTAGCATCATAAAAATTTCAACTGACTGTAACTGTTCGGTCAATAAACTCCGAATGTTCATGCATGGAAATAATCTCCCCATTAGCATCATAAAAAAAATTTCAACTGACTGTAACTGTTCGGTCAATAAACCCGAATGTTCATGCATGGAAATAATCTCCCCATTAGCATCATAAAAAATTTCAACTGACTGTAACTGTTCGGTCAATAAACGCCGAATGTTCATGCATGGAAATAATCTCCCCATTAGCATCATAAAAAAACTGACTTTCAACTGACTGTAACTGTTCGGTCAATAAACTCCGAATGTTCATGCATGTAAATAATCTCCCCATTAGCATCATAAAAATTTCAACTGACTGTAACTGTTCGGTCAATAAACTCCGAATGTTCATGCATGGAAATAATCTCCCCATTAGCATCATAAAAAATTCAACTGAATGTAACTGTTCGGTCAATAAACTCCGAATGTTCATGCAAGGAAATAATCTCCCATTAGCATCATAAAAATTTCAACTGACTGTAACTGTTCGGTCAATAAACTCCGAATGTTCATGCATGGAAATAATCTCCCCATTAGCATCATAAAAAATTTCAACTGACTGTAACTGTTCGGTCAATAAACTCGAATGTTCATGCATGGAAATAATCTCCCCATTAGCATCATAAAAAAAAATTTCAACTGTCTGTAACTGTTCGGTCAATAAACTCCGAATGTTCATGCATGGAAATAATCTCCCCATTAGCATCATAAAAAATTTCAACTGACTGTAACTGTTCGGTCAATAAACTCCGAATGTTCATGCATGGAAATAATCTCCCCATTAGCATCATAAAAAATTTCAACTGACTGTAACTGTTCGGTCAATAAACTCCGAATATTCATGCATGGAAATAATCTCCCCATTAGCATCACCAGTTTCGCTTGTCATAATCTTTTCCTGTTTTCATTTTTTCTGAAAGATTCCATGAAATCTGAGTTAGCTTAATTTCTTCTTAACTACTCTCACATTGTTAGGTCCTGATATTTTCACACGCTGTCATCTTATGTTTGTAATGAACTAATTTTCTTTTTCCGATATCCTCTAAAGTAATATCAGTCTTGAAATTTACTAAAATATTTTCTCATGTAAACATATATTTCATACTTTAGATCAAATTTTGATCGCCATTCCACACACACACACACACACACACACATACACACACACTAATAGATTCATAATCAAACGTTCTACTTACTAAAACTTCAATTCTCACAGATGCTTTGGCACTTCCTACACCATCAGACGCTATCACTTCCATGGTTATACTGAAATATTAAAATAAAATTCGCATCCATATCACTTGTAAGCTTTTGATTTTATTGGCATGTCAAATAACATAAATCAATAAATGGTAGTTTCAGTTATTTCCCTTTACTAACTCAACTCTCCAAATTTTTTTCACATTTGCTATGGCCAGGTATTGAACACAATTCTTTGGGCCAAGTCATTGGATTACTTCAGCAAACCCTTTTATCCACTGGATCCTGTGTCCAAAGGACGAAACGAAGGGTTCGTTTCGAAATTCCAACGTATATCACCTGAAGAAGGCCGCAGCGTACAACGGCTGAAACGTCGTGAATATGACATTAAAGATGAGGACAATAGTCCGAACAATGTAAATAGTGTAAATAGTTAGAATACCTCAAGTCAGAAATATATATTTTGTAATTACTATTGAAAATGGAAAGATTCACTAATAGAAATCCTCGAAACGCTGACTTCAAACGATAATTTATTGATACGTTGTGGCTTGAAATAAAGGTATGTTAATATAAATCTGGTAAGATGTATTAAAGATATAAGTGAAAAGATTCATTCAACCTAATGATGACATATATAGTGTAGCAGCTTAGTTTTGTTTAGATTCGGATAAATACGTTGTCACTGCTGTCATTATCACATCGTTTCAACTGTTATACACGCAGACCTTCTTCAGATGTCTGTCGATCCGAGTAAAAGTCAGGAAATTTCCAGCTGAAAACTTTATTTAATCCAGGGATATCTTTTCTTATTCCTTTTAGTATTGCTCATTTATTTTTCGCTGTTTCCTATCGAACCAGGGACTAAATGCACAATTACTATGCCACGAAATTCACAAATGGACGCTTTAATCCACTGGGCTATTGTTCTGAGGTAATAACGACCGAAAAATTGAGATAATAACACAGAAGTTGATGACATCAGTAAATAATGATAACGCCTCATCCCAGAAATTCAAACAGAGATTCGCGCAGCATACTAGTTTTACTAACACTTAGGCAGAAATTCAATTTGTCAAAAGTCCAGAAAGTGAGTTCAAGGCTCACTAGCAAATACAGAAAACGAACACTGAGTCATTAAAAGAACATAAGGAAAATTTATTTATTTTAATAATTTATTCCTTTTATTTGCCAGAAGAAGATCACGAAACTGGAAACACGTATAGTAGAAATATGAGGAATAAAATATAATATATATATATATACTAAAACAAATCCACGTTATAACCAAAAACATTTGCCGTTTCTCTCTTTTTTAATACATTATATATATATATATATATATATATATATATATATATATAATTATCAAATCCTCCTAATAATTTCTATCTGTGTATATCATCGCTTGAACCGGCTTCTAATACTCTAGAGTGAGTGGCTTGGTGAGAGTAGTCGTGGCTCTAGGGGGCACAGTCCTATGGTTATAGAGAAAGCAGGTGTGGTTCCACCACGGAATATGTGAGCGAGCGGCGCTATATTGAGTCTGATTTGCAATCTCTTGGTCATCGAGGCTCGTTGGAACAGTTGGTATAATGTTTGCTTGACAACCTAACTGTCAGGGTTTCAATTCTCGCACTATTGATGAGTTCCAAATATAGGACGAAACGGCCGTCCTGTGCATTCTGTTGAGGTTTCTATCAAACACGAGGAATTTATATATATATATATAGCGATCGTCAGACAAACTGATTAATGTTTTAAAAATTTGGGTTTAAAACCCAAATTTTAAAAACATTAATCAGTTTGTCTGACGACCGCTAAAGCGTGAAACTCAGGGTCACAAACTCACATCTATCCAACCAAATATGTTAGCTCTATCTCTGATATTGAGCGCTTTCTAATAAGTACCGCGCATATAATATATAAATAATTATACATATATATATATTTATTTATATTTATAAACACTTTTCACACACACACACACATATATATATATACATATGTGTGTGTGTATGTGTGTATATGTATGTATGAGAGAGAGAAAAGTGATGTGTTTTGATTTATCTGATAGATTTTATTACTTAAACGCTATTTTTAGTGCATACCCATATTTGTGTAAACGATTCGGTTATTTATTAAACAATATATTTATTTCTTTAATTATTTATTTCTGTCTACTGGCCTGAATATTAGAGAAATCTTATTGAAGAAGATAGGCGCTCTCCGGCAGGACCTGAACCTATGTCCTCCATGGTTTTGCCTGCCATATACTCACAATGCAAAAATGTTTTGGTGTTGTTAAGGAAATGAATGATATCACAAAGACAAGTTTCCGGATAAGTGACATCTTCCAGCATGAGTAGTCGAATAAGAATCATCTAACCATTTCGATTGAATAAAGTGTTTCATTTCGCAATTATATGAAAGTTACGCTAGGAAACACATCACGGACGTAATTAACAACAGCCTAAAGTTTGTCAAGATAACAATCAAGATGGGTTTGGGGTAACTGAAAATCAGTTTATGATAATGATATCTCATATCACATATTGATAAATTTATTTATGTTAACACTGAAATTTGTTATTTTAAACAATATACAGTGTCCACAAAGTCTCCAGACAATTTCAAAAAATCGTTACGAAAGACTTAGAAAAGATGGCAACTAAATGCTTGTTGCATATTAATGTATTATTGTTAACGGTCTTTAAATGATATTAATATTTTTTATTAATGTTGCTTTTTTATATTTCAAACTGCAATTGATATTGTTTTCATGTTTCAATCATGGACTGAAACTGAATATCGCTTAGATGTCCTTCGTGAAATGAATGAGGCCTAGATAGATATTTATTAACTATTTACGTCATACTATGTAAACATTTCAACAATATCTAGTTTCCGTAGTAATTTTAATATTTTCTAATGAATTTGTAGACACTCTGTATGTATATATATATATATATATATATATATATATATATATATATATATATATAGTTGCCGTGAATTGATAATCAAGAACAAATCACAATGTGTGTGTGATTAAATAGGGAGCAAGTAGAAAAAAAAACTTTTATAAGTTTTTTTTTTTTATTTAATACAATTATATATTACGAATGGAAGACACAGCAAACATTTTTCTCTGTCCGGTGGATTAATGTATAGCAGCTCGGATTGAGGAATCGGGGAGCCGAGTTCGAATTCCAGTTACTTTCCAGTTAATACACTTGGGAAAGGTATGAATACTCTTCTTCTATGGGACAGACCGGGTTCTGTAGTCTTGGTTGGCAACTATTCTACCGTAGAAAATAATGGCAACCTACTGCGGTAAAAATCTTCCTGGTCAGTTCTGTATCGAAAGATACATGATCGCCTACGCGTGTATCACGCATGGTATATAAATGACTGAGTGTTTGAATATGCCGCTAAATGCTTTTCTTTAATATTTGGCAAGATTAGAAAAGTAACTTTCTGAATAATTATCTAGTTTTAATCAAAATATTTTTATGAATTGCAAGCACGTGACCGGTAAGTAAAGTCTGTGATAATTAATGTATGTTAACTTTGTTGTTCCTTGCGTGGAATGAGACAAAATATTTGAAGTGAAATGTTGGCCATAAACTGTTTTAAAAGACAATTCTGATAACACAATTAAATTTATTTGCCTATTTTAATTTTTGATACTTGCAAAACCATGTTTTTCATATTAGTCTATTTATTCGATTAAATCTATTTATATTTATCCAACAAAAAAAAAACTAAAAAGACGACTGAAATTAATAGATAACAACAATATTAAAAACTATATGTCTATATTTTAAATTTGGTTACAGAAAAACCCACTGTCCTAATCTGACAATGCAATGCAGTACAAACGGAAGCAAGACGTTGAATTCAAATTCTTTAGACTTACTAGACATCTGATCCAGAGTCGGTTATTTTTACAGGTCTGACGGCAGTAATTTTCCCACTGTATAAACCGATTTGAAACAATCCAGGTACCTCAGAATTTATAATGGAATATCGCACAGGACTCCCCGCAATGTCAACGTCCTCTGCCTATTATTTTGTAAAAGAGAGAAAAAAAAATGGAGAACGAGTTATAACATTTTTTTAATAAGTTTGTAAATGTGCGAAGAAAACAATTTTTGAAATACAGTGGGTAGCAAAAGTATTTAACACATTGGTTTTTCTTACATATCTCAAAAAATAACTGATCAATTTCAACGAAATTTATAGGAAATATTTAAACGGACATTGTCGATCAAAACATAGAAGGAAAATTTAAAACCATTGTTTTGAGAAACATTTATTAACAATAAATAAAATAACCCATATGCAAAAGTATTTAACACACTTTACTAATATTTAGTACATTAGCCTCTGTTCTGCTTCACAGCCTCCAGTCGTTTCCCGTAGTCTTCAACTAGTTTCTTGCAGGTACTTCTTGGTATTTTGACCCATTCCTCTTTCACAAATTTTCTTCAATTTGTTTAAATTCGATGGATTTCTTTTATGAACTCGTAACTTCAATAGTTTCAACAAATTTTCGATTGGATTTAAATCCGGTGACTCGCTTGGGCATTCCAGGACATTAATGTCATTATCATTAAACCAATTCTTAGTTGTTTTAGCAGTATGCTTCGGGTCATTGTCCTGCTGAAATACAAAATCACGACTATGTCCCAAAGATGTGGCATTATTCAAGAGTTGAGTTGACAAAATTTGAGTGTATTTTGCAGCATTCATTGTTCCTTCGATGATTTTCATTTTTCATTTGTTCCCACCCCATTTTGACTGATTTTCATTTTTCCGCTCCTTTTTTCCTCCATACATTTTTCCTCCGTAAAACGTCTGACCAAATTACTTTCTCCCAGAAATCATTAGATTCAATTTCATATTTCTTTACACCCCATGTTTTCAATAACTGACTTTCTCAGTGATCTTGGGATGGATTCAGTGATCTTTTAATTGTATCTTTAAATCATTCCTACTAACTTCAATTCCGGCATTTTTCAAATCATTCCTAATTTCTCGACGAGTTGAAAATGGATTTTCTTCACAGTACGCTTTATCGCTCATTCCGCATTTAAGATACCGACCACTCCTTTGAATGTTTTCCTTTCCCATTTTCGAACAACAGCACCAACTGTACTCACAAGCAAATTCAAATCTTGCGTGATTCTTTATGATCTTCTTGCGCATGTGTTTCGACAATTCTTTTTGTTTTCACCATTTTCTTGCAGTAAACAGAATAGCTGCAATTTCTCAGAGCTTTATCGTTTCCAGTTGAGTCGACTGTCAAATTATCACATCATATCAATATGGGTAGGAATCCCAGACGAATCTCTTCTAGCATAATATTTGCATTGGTGTTAAATTTTTGCATATTTATTTAATTTATTATTAATAAATGTTTCTCAAAACAGTGGTTTTAAATTTTCCTTCTATATTTTGATCGACAATGTTCGTTTAAATATTTCCTATAAGTTTTGTTGGATGAGTCTATTACGAAGTTACGGCAGCTCGGAAAAATCACTCTGATCATTCTGATGAAAAAAAGAACTCTTTGTAAGTTAGGGCCTCATAACAAACACAGAGGCCTACATGAAGTGCCTTGGGGAGGTAGTGCTACTTGGGTCAAGAAGGTGGCTGCTGGAAGAACCTATGTAACCGGATCCTGCACCATACCACACAAGCAGGGGAACAAAGTTATGGCTGTCAGACAATTTCTTCGACCACGTCATTCCTTAAACCTGGCAATCTAACTCTTTTTATTATTCCGGCACATTTAAGCAAATCCTCCATTCTCTTTAACACCAAAGATGAACTGAAAGCAAGGTTTACGCTAGTATTCACCAGCTTAGACAACTCGGCACCAGAAAAATTGACTTTTATGACCAAATAAATGTAATTTATTCAGGATAAAAACCTTAATTAGTGAGTATTTTTTAAATTATTTTTAATAAAGTAAATCGTAAAGATTTTTTTAAATAAAAATATTCACTAATTATGGTTTGAATCCTTAATAAATTACTTTTATTCGGCTATAGAAAAGTTGTTTTTTTTTTCTGGTTCTGAGTTGTATCAGTCCCGAGTTCTCTCGGTATTCAGTCAGTGATTTTCTGTCTGCGAAGTTGAGTTATCCTGCACCCGAAATAGCACTGCTAAAATTAGTTCCATGTCATTCTTTTAATGACATTTCTGTAAACATCGCTCACAGAAATAGAATTCATTTAAAGGATTTCATTTGCTGTTTTGCGCTTATTTGTTGTCAAATATTTTCTTGTTGTTTAAAATTTTATTTAAAAATTGCGTTTTTACCTTAACAATGACTTCCGGTGATGGGTCTGTATTTCCTTCTGCAATTTTCCCATAATAATTCGCATTGGGAAACACAGGTACATTGTCGTTAGCGTCGTTAACATTTATTATCAAATTAGCTAGGGATCTCTGTACATCCATCCCGCTGTTATTGTTGTCGACAATTTCCACAGTTAGATTGATCTGCTTCCGATAATCGTAGTCCAAACAAGGGTATTTGCCCGGAGTAGCACAGCTAGCAACTGTCACTTGGCCAGTGATTTGGTTCAGGTCAAATCTTTAAGTATTGAAAAAAATTAGAATCAGATAAAACTGTACCATATAAATATTAAATGTTGAAAAACATATAAAAGGTGTTTCGAAACAGAATGTCCTATGAGATTATATGGGATGTTCAAACAGAGAAATAAAATAATATGTATATAAAAAAGGTTATAAAAATACTTCTCTGTTTATATTTCTCTGGTTCTATTTTTCTGCACAGAACACTGTGCAGAAAAATAGAACCAGAGAAATATTTCATTTTATCCAAATTTTTGTTCGATCTTCCTTTCTCTGTATATATTTCTATGGATTAACCTATTTTATGTTTTACTGTCTAGCAATGCAAGAATGGGATGGGTTTGATTAAATAGTTAAAAACAGACAAAAATTTACAGGAATATTCTAAAATATAGATATACAGTGTGTCACAAAAGATGTACTCACTGTTTAAATAACCATAAATGCAGTGTTTATTAAATTACAAACAAACGTATTGGTTAAAATTTTGACTTACAAATAAGATTAACTGTTTAAAGTAAATATTAAATGAAATAAAATGAAATGCATGTTTATAAATATTCAAACTAAATACCACTTTCAAAAAGTTGCTTGAAGTCAGTAAGTAAGCACATCTTTAGCGACACACTTTAAAGAAAAAACTAGGTATATATTTCAGTTTTTACCGGCATATAATGAAACTTTTAAGAATTACAAGTATACCTCAACCTACGTCGTTAATTGGTTCTAGAGGTTCAACTTAGGTCGAAAAGGGACTTAAGTCGAAATAGCCACACTATAAACCGCAAATAAACATTCCCCATTGCTTATAACGGTATTTATGATATGTACGTACAATATTTTGAATAAAATAATTCATTCTCACCTCATCTCCCAGCGATATAGCCTTACACTTAGCATTAGCACTTGTACTGGGACTTTCTTCGGAGCCATGGGCAAAAAATGCTTTTAAACAACAATTGATATTATAATTGAAAGAACGTCAACTGCAGAGCACTGATGTAAACAAGTCTGAATTCAAAATCGGTGTTGGAGCGGAAAATAATGCAGGAGTGCTGCCTATCGACAGAGTTAGAAACAAGAACATCTGCTGATAGTGGTCAAAGATAGATAGATAGATATCGTCTAGGTCGTATTTTTAAATACGAACTAGAAATTAGTTCTTATTAAATAGGAAACAAAATAAAAAATTTTAAAACAAAAATAATGATCTGGAATCGGACTGAAAGCAGAAATGGCACGTACACTGAATCCATCATAATTTAGGATATGGAATTTATAATTACCAAACACTTAACCAATACAGTAAATTTCTACAAAACCAAAACATTAGAACGCAAATTACAGTCATGTTAATAAATATTCTTGTCAGATCGATACTTTCATATGAATGGTATGTGCATATGTTATACCAAACCCGTTCAGAAATATCTAAACTGTCAGCTGTATACAACTGATTTCTAAGATCAATTGTTAAAGACCATGGATCGTGGTGACGATCATTATTCTTCGAACCATTCTGAAGTGGGCTACAGAATTACAATGAACTATGCCAAATAACAAACCACATCACGTGAGGATTCTGTTTATAGGATACCCGTCTAATAGACAATCCCTGTTGTTCAACACCCACTATACTGCAACTATGTACCATCTAGATATATGCGCTCCATCTCTCCACATTAAACTGGCCTTGTGTCACATCCTGCTAGCGAAGGGCATCAAGAAAATAGAATCGCTTCTCGGCTAAGATCACACTATAGTATTTGTTTTATCAGCGTAATCTGATTCTCTGTTTCTCTCTCACTCACTCTACTTCTATCTTTCTTTCTTTCTTTCTTACTTCCATTTTCTCACAGAAACCAATTAGTATCTTTTCCCCTCTTTCCACGTGATGAAAACGGAATAGTCCATTATTCATTAGGTGTTGTCTGGTAAAGACTGTGCTAATTAATGGAGAGACAACCAAAATTCTAAGGTTATTTTTTATTTATACACAAAGCGGCTGCTAATAGAATGTAAAATTTAAGTTAGCATTTACTACATTTGAATCCATCTTATTTAAATCTTTACAAATTAATTCTAAGTTTAAATCATCAATTGATGATATTCGCTGATCTTCAATTGATGATGCACACCGTTTAAGAGATTTTTTTTTAAGATTAAGAGACATTTTTAAAGTTAAGATATCTTTCTTAAGCGTAAGAGACCTTTCTTAAGTTTAAAAGACATTTTTAATCTTAAAAGACGCCTTTTAACAAATATGTTTTCATAGTAAATGGTTTTTCCGACTAACCAAATATAAATACTCACAAATTTGAAAACATTCCTTTTAGCCGGACGTAACGTATACCATTCGTTCCCAATTTCCCTGAATCTATGTCGGTTGCCTTATAATAGAAAGAAAAAGAGAAAAATTAGGTTTTCAAAGAATTAATATTTTCGATATCTAATTAAACACATCAAAAGTTATTAAAAAAAAACAATGTTTTCTCACGCCCCTCATGAATAAACAATACATAGGGCACTTCCTCTTGATGTAATGGTTAGCAAAATGTTTTCGTGACATCAATTACGACTGAATAGTGAGTTTGATCCTCACTTGGAGTTTCATACGTTAGGCCTTGTACCACAAATAAGCTACGCTTATTAAATCAATATAGTGAGTTCACCTTTACTGGGTGCGTCATACCTTCGATATTCTGCTTTGAAAATCACTATAACCACGATCTTTCGGGCACTTCGACGTGAAGCAATGGTTAGCAAGAATGTCACGCTAGATCAGTTACAGGTGAATAGTGAGTTCAGTACACACTAGATGCCCATACTTTCGGTTTTGGACCACGACAAAGAATACGCTAAGAAAATCACTATAACCACACGCATTTCGGCACTTCGACATGGTTTAATGGGTAACAAGTTTGTCTCGTTAGATCTGTTACGACCGTATCGTACGTTCAATCCTCACTGAATGACGCATATTCTCGGCCTTGCGCCACATCTAAGCAACGCTGTGAAAACCACTATTCAACAATCAGTTGATAATGCGAAAAAGGATATAGATTTCAGTTTTTCTTATTTTCTCTCAGCATGTATTTTATTACTTTATTTCCTACCAATATTGTTTACTTCCTTTATATGAGATGTTCGTTCGAGAGATGTGTGATTATGGCTCTCTCCAACAACCTATATTTTGGAAGGCATCTTTCATTATTACAGTTCTCCTTCGAATTAATTCTTCACTAGTAGTTAAGCTTCTCTGCTTACTTGATTATGACATCTCCAATTTGTATCTGGCCTTCAGGATATTTGTCTTTGTTGTTCAACGAGATATTCCCTCTTCTTATATTAGCAGTCGTCTCACTTTTGTTTACTAGGCTGTTTAGGATTTCCTGCAGTTTTCTTTCTGTGTCTGGCGTCAACGCGCTATCACCTGCATAGTTTATATTATTCAGATTGTGTCCACCATCGGTACATTTTAGTTTATCTTTTAGTTTTCTCACGATCACTTCACCGTGGAGGTTTAACAAAATCCTTTCAGAAGATGCACCTCTCTTGGAGTACTACCCAAACGGAATTGATAATGGAAGTAATGGATTTCACGTTGTTTTTTAATGTTATCAAATATGAAATTAAAAACTGATATGTACTACAGAAAATAGTATCGGACTCAGTTTCCCACCGTAGTCCTGACTTACTTGTTTGACTTGTGATATACAGGGTACGATTGATAAATTGTCGTCTAAATGAGGCAAAAATGAAAATAATACTAACATCTCATTTTGACAGATATATTTACCAAAATTGCACAAAAATATCATGAAATATTAAAGAGTAAATTTATTCAATAAAATCGCTATTGGCCTCAACCATGGCCTCCAGACGACTTCGGATGATTCTGCATCTCTTCTGGGCTGTTTCCTTGTTCTAGTTGGTGAATGTTGCCATAATCATTGTCTTCAGTCTATTTTTGGTGTTACAAAGAGTAATTTTGTTTCTCGTTCAACTGCGCCCAGCACATAATAATTAAAGTTTAGGGAGTTAGGTGGCCAGATGTAAGAATTGATGTGTTCGAAGAAATTGTCTGACAGCCATGACTAGGTTTTCTTGCTTGTGTAGCATAGTACAGAGTCTTGTTGCCCGAGATAGTATCTTCATCCAAGGCAGCACTTCCTCCTTGTGACATTTAATGTAGGCCTCTGTGTTGAGTTGGAGGCCCTCACCATCAAACTCGAGAGTTCTTTTCTTATCAGAATGATCAATATGAATTTTTCAAGCTGGTGTACCTTCGTAATCACCATTAAACTCATCCAATTCTTTCCGAATTTCTCTGCACTGTCCTTAGATTGACACCGAAACACTCTAAAATGCTCCTACTGTACCTTCCGACGCAAAGAAGTACAGCGTGCCATTTTCAAATTTCTGGCGGAATGTATTGTGTCATGGTACTCTTTTTTACAGACGCTTCCCAACTGACCCTGTGCATTCAACAAAATCAAAAACAAACAACGCGCATGCGCGACATTAAAAATATAATATGCCGACAATTTACCCAATTTTGATCTGCCTCACATATTAATAAGTCTACCATTTTAACATGACTGAATATTGCTGCCACGTCTTGTGTGGTACTTCTGCTATGTATTTAGATATTCTTGATAAAATACCAAGAAGAATCTGCATTATTATTGATTCTGACCTAGCATTTCTGCTTCAGTCACTTTCCCATCACCGTAAAGTATCTTTCGTGTGCTCTTTTATTTAATACTTTCATGGTAATTGTTATCATGAACTTTCCGCAATTGCAAATATTCATTGGGATTTCATTTTTAAATTTATTTTCCCCCCTCCTCCCCAGACAAATCGTACATATGGGAACTAGTTAAAGCTTCATAGAGACCTTGAGTGGCTATAGTAAGACTGGCAGGTAAGAATGTGTTGTTTTGGTGTAAGGTATACTGTGGTATATTTGGTTATTAGTAATTGTGGCTGACTAAGTTTAAGATATTACAGACTGAAGACCAGCCTTCCCCTAACCACACCTTTGACCGAGTGCTACATTTTTATATTTTTCAAAATAAATATCACTTTCTCCTATGGTAGATAGTCTTTATGGGTTTTAAGTGCAGTACTAGATTGGCGGCAAGGTCTCATCATTTTACAGTTGAAATTTCTAGATATAATCGTAAGTTCTATACTAACAGTTTCTTCTCTCACATTTTTTGCTTGTGAAAATCTCTTGTGGTTTCTTGCCTCTCGGTCAACTGTGATCTTTTAGAAATGTAAATGTTAATCGTTTAGAAATGCTATGTTAATCGTTACCTTCTATTTTCTTAATTCCTATTTTATTCTTTCCTCTCCTTAATAGTAAGTTTTCTCTCCTTCTTTTTCATATTGTAACACCTTGTGATTCTGTGGCTTTTTGCCTTGCTTGGGATGAAATGATTGAAAATACTATCCACTTACATTGCATTCCATTATAGAATCTGAGAACTTGTAACCTTTCTTCCTTAAAGGATCTCTCCATTTTTGAAAAAGTGAATTTGGTGAAAATTTCTCTAAAATTAAGCTATTCTGTCGGATATGGTTCTACTTACCGTTATAGTAGCGACTGGATCACCTGCTTTGGCCAATTCATTTACGGACACTTCATAAAATGGTTTGCTTGGAATGGGAACGTTATCATTAACATCCGTTACGTAGATAGTTACCGTAGTTGAGCCAGAATATTTTTCTGTCGTATTTGCTTCCCGTGCGATAACCTAAAAAAAAAAAAAATACACACACACACACAAATTAACATTTCTAAAATCGGCCACTCCTCAGCTAAGTAGAAAACAAATTTTGCTAGCTAAGGTCAGAAAAACTCTATCGTATAAGTCACCTGTTTCAAAACGGTGCGACGCGCCTCATAGGTGCGGAAGAGGATAGCATAGCAGGTGAGATTTCGAAGCAGTTTTAAAATTTCATATGCCAAAATTTAAATATTATTATGGATTATTTCTAATTGGATGCATGAGTCCCAGTATAAATACTTATAAATAATTATCAACCGATTTTACAATTGTGATATATTTGCATTATATCAAGTATTAAAAATATAGTAACTAGGTTCCGCAAATTGAAGGGGAAAGTTATCAATGATAATGTTCTGACTTCGAATCTGCAGTTATCTCCCTTTAAATCTCAGTGTTTTTTCTTTCTTTTTTTTTTTTTAATGTACTTTTTATCACATAAAATTTGGTGAGATGCTACCAAATTTTTATTCCGAAAATGCGTCCTATAGAAAAATATTTGGGCACCACTAGTATAGGTAACCGCTTACTGCGCTCGACACGCAAACTACTACTAGCTTGTCTCTCCGCCTATCGCTACCTTTTTATATCGATATTTTAAACAAATATAATTACAACAAAAATACTGTAAAGCCGTTATAAATACATGCGTGCGAACTGCTTTAGTCTCCGAATATAATGCCGCCTATATTTCAGCGAAATGACAGATACAGAAACTGCAATAAGAGCCTTGGATAGAACAACTTTTCACGGGCAAAATACTTGCTTTTTTATATAGATTTCTGAAAATCAGTAAATGGTAGAGAAATGAAAGTTAATCGACATCAAGAAGAGCATATTGACGTAAAATAATAAAATAATATTGTCAAATATGCTTGTAGCCTATATCTTTTAGAGTTATTTATAAATAAAATGAATCTTGCGCTTACCTTATTGTTTTTACTTCGAACTTTATTTTTAGTGGATACCCGTATTTGGATATACGCTCCGTCTATTTTTAAAAACTATATATTTTGTTTGCCGGCTTGCGTCCTTAAAAATACTTAATAAAGTAAATGTAAACTCTGTCAGGATTCGAACCCGTGTCCCCCTTTCAGAAATTGCTATTTTTACGTTTCGGAAATCTTCGGGAAATCTGAACATGTCAGTGTTGCTTTAAATGCAAAATTAAACCCTGATTTATAAGGCGCGTTGAACAGTTCATAGGCTGGCTATGAGGGAGTGATGCTGAAGCTGTTAAGATTTTTATGCATTAATAACTCTTCTTATTAATAACTGTTGTAGCGAATGATCATGAAACTGGACAAAATTTGACATCGTGGTGTTATCAAATACCCTGAATTTAGGAATAGGAAAAGGCTTAAGGATGAATCAATCTCTGGACGTCCTGCAACAAACACCAAAGAAGAAAATATTGAAAACATATTGATAGATGACAGGCGTTTGACTATAAATCAAATAGCCAATTCTATTAGCATAACCTGTGTGAGAGTTGAGAATATTCTACACAAGAACCTGACATGAAGTTTTCTGCTCGATGGGGGCCACGTCTTATGATACCTGATCAAAAGCACATCTCATCACTGAAAATCTGACATTGTTTGAGGCAGATTCAGTTGGTTTCTTTGAACGTTCCTTAATCCAGAATAATTCTTAGCTTCATAAATTTAAGCTAAAGACAAAGAGACATTCCATGCAGTGGAAACACACCTTCTCTCCTGATCCAAAGAAGGCCATGGTCTTTCATCTGCAGGGAAGGTGATGGCTTCAGTCTTTTACGATACAAAAGACATAGTATTTATTGACAAATTTCGGGGGGCGCAGGTTATCAGTGGAGTGTACTATGCCGACTTGCTTAGGTGGTTATGAAAGGTTATCAAGACCAAACGCCAAGAAAAACTGTTAAAAGGGGTATTGATATATCAGGACACTTCTCCAGAACAGAAATCCTTGGTTTCAATCTCTACTGTGCGTGATTGCGGCATTGAATTAGTTGATCACTCTCTCTTTTCTCCTGATTTGGCCTTATCCAACTAATATCTGTTCCATAACATGTAAAAACAGGCGGCTGGGAACCACTACCACAGTGATGATGATGTCATCATCTCTTAGGCTTATTTATTTTTGGCCAAAAGAATGAAATTTTCTTCGGCAATTGGACTTAAGCACTGCACCACCGATAGAAGGACGTTGTTGACAGTAGGGGGTGGGGCACTATACTGAAAAATAAATCTCATTTGGTCACATTCCATGAGGGTATCTTGTTCAGCCGATCCGTATTGTAACACTCTTCGTAGCCGATGGTAAAGCACCCCGGATCAAACGGTGATTCTTAATGCAAAGTTTGGTCCTGTGGGTTTTAAAGAAACACTGATGGGCCTGGTTAGATGTGGCTAACAAAAATTAGCTATCCATCCAGGTAAACTCTCTAGGCTCCGGGCGCATACTATACAAAACAAGAAAGTTAATAACGTTTCAGGAAAATATAGGTTACTCTATTATACGCGTAAACTATCTTTCGACGCTAGAAAGGAACGTTCTAGCAATTAATGTCTTATTAGCTTGTTAAGTAATACGAACATATAATAATATATAGCAATTTATATTGAAACTTTATGTAGTTTGATGTATGCTTTTTGCATTCTTAGAAATGTGCTGACATGGACATAATAGACATATTTTTGTGACTACAGGGAAATACTTTTTTTCTCATTTTCACTGCCGAGCAATTAGATGTTGTAAGGAAACTTGCAAAAAAAATAAAAAAATATAAAAAATAGAATTGGCTTATTACCGAGAGAATAGAACTGTGAAAATTAATTCATTCTTAAATGTGATTGGCAGAAAAGCCCAATTGACAAAGTTTGCAATAACCAATAAGAAGGTAAAGAAAATTAAACAAAAGATAAAAATAATATTGAGCAAACAATATATAGAAGACAAAGCAAAGATCACAAACTAAGAATGATGTTAACACACAAAAGGGGATATAGACAAGGGGTCGCAGCGTTCTGACCTCAAGACACGAAAGAACAGAACTAAGTAGAATGAGACCGAAAAGATGCCATTCTTATTGGCTAGGAAAAAAAAACGGCATATATCTTTATGTGTTTGTCTATAAATTATGGGAGTGGGATGTTTTTGCAGTTGCTCCTATAGATTAGGATCAACTAGGTCATAAAATGTTAATCCATTCCTAATAATGTCAGAGTAGAATACATAACTCCTTAATTTACCTAAAAGTACATTAAAAATACTAATGAAGAAAATGCAATTGCATGCGATCAAAATAAGTTAACAAACCTATTCGGTTTTGTTGTGAAACTGTAGAACAGTTTAATAGTCATATTACCTTGAATTCATACTGTCTTGGCCCCTTTTCATAATCGATGAGACTTGTATTCTTTATCCGTATAGCTGTGGTCGAAATACCTTCACCATACTTCGGCTGAATATAAAATGTGTCGAAGTAATTGCTCATTTCAAAAATATAGTTGGCATTTGTACCCTGTCAAAACAAAGAAAAATAATCATTAGTATAGTTTTTACTATTGTTTACACAATACAGTTCCTAAGAGCAAAGAACGTTACCAAACGAGTTTGTTATATGGGAGCATATAGAGGGAGCAATAGGTAAACATAATGACGCTATGTAGGATAGATAACGGTTGACCATAAACTTGAAGAGGTTAATATTGTAGTGATCGAAGAATCATCCTCTTGGGGACCCATTTCACAAAGTATCATTTCTAGGGAAGAAGCTCTCTGAATGAGATTATGTAAGGAATGGAAATTTGTTTTGACCAAGTATATGGTTAAGAAATAACAAAACAAGAGTTTGCAGATAAATAAGGTATTGAACATTAAATACAACAGGAGTGTGTTACACGAATTGGAATTGTGTACTGGTTGATCAGCGTTCAGCCTATATCACAGTTAATATTTAACAGCCCCTCCACGATGGATGTATGTGGCACAAGGCTGAGTTTACAGAGGGTTTTCCGAGCCCGCAGTATCGGCCAAAAATATTCCCGTAGAACCCGCATAAGCGGATCCGGGCCTGTCTACCAGCCCCAACGAAACTTTGCCCTTCGTCTGGGTTCCTCGCTGCTCAAGACAGTTCGACAGTTGAAAAGGCTAGAGCACCGTTTCCCCCTTCCAGGTTTACTTTCCAACTAATCTTATTGTAAGTAGAAGACTCCACAATAGCCTCATTAGAGGGAAGACCCACAACAAAACTAGTCGATTAAGTGTCTATGGCGTGTTGTATTTGTGAAGGTCTGGCCTAGGGGAAACATTGAAATATTTAAAGAGTAGAAATTGCATTTGATCATAGATTATTAAATAAGCATCGACCATTTATATTTATTTATTAAATCAACTAGAAAATTGTAGAATATCAATAATTACTTTTCAGAAAACTCTAAATAATTTAGTTTTAAATGCAAACTTAAATAATAATTTTTTTTCAGTTTTGCTTTATATTTGAGAAAAAAAAAGATCTTTTGTAGGAGATGAAAATGATTCATCATAGGTAAAAGTATAGGTAAAAATGTGCAATAATTTTATAGGGCGCTTATTCCCCTTTAGTGGAGATAAACCCCGTGGGTCACATGAAAGACACTTAGTGACGTCACTCCATAGAGTGACGAAAGCAACAATCAAAATCAGGTCGTTTTACAGCAGTCAAAACGAAAATGTTGCTTTCTCTAGCTTGAATGGCACAGGCTAAATCTGACTCCCTAGCTGGATTGTATCTGGAGAATAATAATAATAGAATACAATAAAAAAAATTATATATTTTGCTTATCGTAATTCATAATTACAATTCCGGTTTGAAAATATTTTTTATTCAATGTATCTAATACAAATGATATTAACATTATTGAATTTATTCTTGAAATGGCAAAATCAAAAAGTTGGTAAGCGAAAACCTGCGGAAATTAGGTATTACTCTACATTTTTAGACTATATTTAAAACCAAATGCTTAAGAATTGATGAAAGCCATGAGTTTTATTTTTCGTGTCTGTACTTATCATATCTAACTCCAGCTTTCACATCGAGTGCAATGTTAATTTTCAAAAATCAAACTGCCCTACTGCACATTGGGAGAAAGAAAAATTAACCTCATGTATATATTTATTTGAATATATTTTTCATCGAAAAAAAAGAATTAGCTATTCAGACGTTGCATGGAATTTAAATTGGTTTTCAGAGTAGGTTATTTAAGTTTCAGTTTAGTAGAATTAGGAGAATCAGTTCAAAGATTTTTGCTCGTCTAGGTCGAAAAGTGTATACCAATTACATTCGTCAATGTTTTTCACAACATAGACTACACTATCAAACCATTGCAAAAGTTCGTGCCCGATTTTTAATGTTAATGTAAAATGACCGCAAATTGACACTGGTATTTGTTTTGATGCCGATTTCTGCTGTTTTGTAGATTGAAAACTTTCATCGTTCAGTTGCGAGTTGAACTTTTTGAATGTCGTCATTTTTCCACAAATGAATACCTTAAAGATGGAGGCTGAAAAATTAAACTTTCGCCATATTATGCACTAATCATTTTCAAAAAGCGTCGTAACTGCAACAAAACCATTCAGAAGATTTATTTGGATCGTGATTCAATTCTTCGGACGGTCAAAATCTGTTTCAGCAGATTTCGTCAGAGTGATTTTAATCTAAGCGATAAAGCATGTTCCGGTCGAGTTTCCGACGTCGGTGTAGACGCTATGCGTGCCATCGTGAGAAATAAATCAAAGATTTCAACGAAAAAGATTGAAAAATAGATATCTCAACTGCCTTTTGACATTTTGAAAGGATTTGGGTTAGGCAAGTAGGAAAGCTTTCATTTTCTATAACGCAATACTGCATGTTGCAAAACAGAAGCTTGACGAGTTGAAATTTCCATGGTATACATGAGGAAAGGAGGCTTGGAAAATTTGATACACACGGAACAGATTGAAGGCAAGCGAAACAGAGAAAACAGCACATAGCCAACCTGTCGACCTTGTGTAAATGGATGGTTTAGGAGAGATAACAAAAGACAAAAATTATTAAGAACTACAAACATAGGACATTGTTAAGAGCTATGATCACCAACCTACTAAAAGGACATTGCAGACGAGAAGAAGAATTAATAAAGGTTCCTTTACTTCGAATAATGCAAATTATGTGACTGTTTGCTTCTCGAATATATTGGTTGAATTCCACTTACCGTATCTTTGTCTATCACGGTCATTAGTAGGTTTGGTATTGCTTCATTGTTGGCTATATTCTCAGGGATCGTGGCCACATAGGAAGCTGTGAAGCGCGGCTTGTTGTCATTAATATCCAAAATGTTGACACGAATGGTTGTGGTGGCAGTGGTTGTATTTGAATCTCCTAACACAACAGGGTTTTTACTGATCACTTCCTGGACCTGCAGCAGATTATTTGAATCGTTAAACCAGTAAATCAAACCTTATATCTATAAAAATCTGTGACTTCCGTCCGTTCGTCACATCCTCTAAAATAGCCATACATTAACCGATCAAAATCAAATTTTAGAGAGAAATGCAAATAGGTAAGCGGCTAAAAAAATACATCCGGTTTTACTAGGCTGCGCACCTTAGTACAATAATTTTTCATTAATTTTTTGAAAAATTAAATTTTTATTTTTTAATATACAAAATACTTCCACTGTTTTAAAAAGAATTTAATGATCAAAATAACAAATACTTATTTAATAAAATGCAATATTGTCTTATTTTTTATTTTATTTTTTGTATATCTTTTATTTAAATTTTTATATATGCAAGAATACAAATTCCAGTTCACCCTGCATTTGCGAGACCTATAAACAAATCACAAGACCAAACGCTTCAAATCGCGGGGATTTGGCTCCAAAGAGAAATAGTTATGCATGGCCAGTTGTGTGTTGCATGCCCAAGAATAAGAACTCCTGAGAATTTATTCTTCAATGTTAAAAAGGGAAACATTATATTTCCTTAAAAAATATCGTTTACCATGAAATCGTATAAAATATATTAAATTAAAAATCAATATACCGCGACAAAAGGATTTTGTTAAAGTATTTTCCAAATAATTCTACTTATATCGATTGGTTTTCGAATTTTAATGAAACATAGAGTTTGTAAAACTCGATAAAAATGTTAGTGACAACATCAAATATAGTGAGTATTTCAACACGCATCAGGGTGATGTAAACAATTCTAGTATTTTTAAATTTCAACTCAATACGAAGAAATCACATCTACTTCAGATGCTGGGATTTTGTTTAGCACATCATCAAATGTAGGAGCACACTGAATGAAATTTATGAATCAGTAGTAATGGCCAATTTAACTAATTGTATTGGTTATATTTTGAGATATTGAGGGTGGGAGGGTGTTCACTATCCTAGATATAGCTTTGTAGATAGAGACATCGAGGGTGGATAATAAAAACAGCATGGCGATTGTCACACCCAAAGCGGTTGGACAATAATGACATGGTATGTTAATCGATTGAGATGTAGAAATATCACTGACCATGCAGTGTTGATTGCTATATCCACTTTCTCTCTCTCTCTCTCTCTTTCATTTTTCCACTTCTCTCTTTCTCACTTTCATTCTTTTCCCCTCTCTCTCCCTCTCTCACACACTCGCACACACAAACACAGACACAGACACACACACAGACACACACACATATTACGTTAAACGTAATTTTAATGGATACCTTTATTTGAGTAGCTGCTTCATTTATTTTGTAAACAGTATTTTATTGCATTTACTTGCCTGAATATTCGGGAAGTCTTATTAAAGTTAAATGCGCCCTCCGGCAGGATTAAAATCCGGGTACTCCTTTGCATGACAAATCGTCTTTAGATCCGACATGCTTTAACCAACTCTGCTACGAAGAGTGTCGGGATTAAGCAACGTTCTATTTTGCTTTTAAGCACATTTCACCCGATCAAATTTTCGAAATTTCATAAATGCTCAGTTTCGTATTCGAAACGTAAACAATGCAATTTCTAAAGAAATAATGGCTTTTTATACATTAATCTGACATATTTGTATTAATTTACATGTTTAAAGTAATAAAATCTAATATATGTGTGTGTGTGTGTGTGTGTGTGTGTGTGTGTTCGTGTGTGTGTATGTATGTATAACAAAATATACTTTTAAGGTATGTTATATTTATGTGTTAAAGTGCTCAATATCAGGGATAGAGTGTATGTAAATATAAAAGTGGACATTGAATACAACACTTAGGGGCGACAGTCTGTTTCATGTTAAACGCAGTTGATGTACTGACAACTGAGTTTATCATTAAACAGACTTTTGCCTTTAGAGTTGACTTCAATGCTTACTTTCATTCATATATATATATATATATATATATATATATATATATATATATATATATATATATATATACATGCCCACACACAATATATATATATATATATATATATATATATATATATATATATAAATCACTGCACTTGATTGACACGAACGCAGCCCAGATGCAAATCCAATGACAAATCTACGGAGAATCATCAATCGGAGATTGCGAAAGTATTATCCCTCAAATCTTGAAGAATTAGAGCAAATCATTATTGAAGTGTGAGCATTAACAGTGATGGATTGTCATAGGTTGCTCGATTCCTTACCGCATAGAATGTAAGGAATGTAAAGAATGTAAGGAATGTAAAGAATGTAAGGAATGTAAAGAATGTAAGGAATAGTCAATGCTAAAGGTGTTTTAACACAGTATTAAAGAACCAATATAGTTGTTCATTAATAAATATATTGTCGTGATAAAAAAAAAAGTTTTCGTTACTTTTAAAGGAAACCTGCTTTGTTGTTGAAATGCAACGAGAATAATTTCGTATATCGAAGTTGATATATCTTTGAGATGTGGAAGTATCAGTGACCATGCAATGTTCAGGCCTACATCTACACACGCACATACACACACTCCCTATTTTTTTTCTTTTTTTAGCCCTCTGTCTCTCCTTCCCCTCCCCCAATGAATAGATTGAGATTGTAGTGATCGGATAAACATCCTCTTGACTGGATTGGTTCGCAGGAAGAAGCTTCTCGAACAGAACTTACTTCTCAGCGATGGAATAATCAGAAAATGCGGGTGGTTTGCTACTATGTAAATGGAATGGTATGTTCTTGTTGTGAAGGTTTGCCTCGCCGGCTCCAGCGAATGTTGTTCGTCCGAGCACTTTCCGTTGAACTAGCAGTAGAGCAGCGAGAGGTTTGCCACATCCTGCCTGTGGGATTGCGATTGACGGGTGGAAAATAATTCGTCACCCACAAAGGCTAGGAGAAGCTTTTGAATACTCTAAGGCTGGAGAATTAGTTTTGGGTAGATCCTATGTATGGCCTGATCTGGTTCTTGTAAAAGTAGAGGATAGCAAGAGGAGTCGGGTACTTACTGGATCGGTACAGTACAGATAGCTAACAATTTTACCTGCATCCTTAGCAATGAATCATATGTACCACTTGAGCTCGGGTGTGAGTTTGAGGCCCAACAGTTTCAATGCACGGTGCTTTCCCGAGAGGACCTCCTTTCATCCTGATTGGCAGTAGTTCATGGTCAATTCGGCGACGATGGAATATAACTAGCTTGGTCTTCGAGGCATTGAATGTAACCAGTCCGTTTGTACGCTATTGGATAGTTTATGCAAGATCACTCGCTAATCCCTGACCATCGAGAGTTTTAGAGGTGCGCCCGTGTATAGTCTTTTCATTGACATAGATGTTTACAAATCATCTGATTATTTTCTTAGGCAGATCATTTATGTAGATCAAAAAGAAGGTTGTGCCGAGGAGTGACCTCTGGACGACCCCTACGTTGACCTCTAAGGCTCCGGCGGACTGGCCATTGATTGCCTTCAGAGTCCTCCATTTTAAGGATTTTATGATCGCGAAACCCTTCCAGTGATTCCATAACTAGAGAGCTTGTGTAGTAAGACTGTGTGCCACACCTTGTCCAAAGCCTTTGAGATATCTAGTGCCATGGTCGTCGGGGTGTGTTTGCCGTCAAGAGTCTCATTGATTTTGTGAGTGATGGTAGTTAAGACGTCGGCAATGGATCGGGCCGACCGAAAATCATACTGCCCGCCTTCTTGAAAACCGGACACACGCTTTACACTTTACACAGGTTTGGGAAGGATTTCTCCTTCAAGCAAAGGTTGAATAATTTTTCTTGGATTGGAGATAAATCCAGGTTGATGTTTTTAAGGACATCCACCGGAATTTTGTCTTGAGCAGTGGCTTTCTTATCGTCAAGTCCTTTGATAAGTCTAGAGAATTCACGTGCTGTGATGGTAATATTACTGGGATTGTGCTCAGTGAGACGTGGGAACTTAGGGAGAGGATGGTCTTTGTCATCTAACGTTGAGTTAGTGACAAAGATGGAGGCGAACATGTTCACGTTATCTGTGCAGTGAGATAATGACTGTTTGAATTTTGCTGGAATTTTTCTGGTGGGGAGAGAGGTATAAAACTATCCATTCCAGAAAGTGACAAGTGCTGCGGTTCTTGAGGCAGCCTGCTTGAAGTCTGTTGAGAGGGGAGCTTCTATCATGTAGGATCGAAAGCTGTCCCAGTCTGTCTTCGCATAGCGAAAATCGTACTATGGAACGTTACGTCATTGGATGCCTTATGTTTGGCATCAATCTGACACTAATTAGTGAATGATCCGACGTGCCTAGTGAAGGTTAAACTTTTGATAGTCATTTATTAGAGCAGGAGTTAGGAAAAGTTCAAAGAGTTTCGCCTGAAGTCCCGTCGTGTCCCGGGCACGGATAGATTCTCCGATGATCTGGGTTAGTTCATAGGCGATGGAGAAGTCTCTACAATATCTGTTGGTTTTATTGAGGTGGACTAATCACACTATGGTGGATATCGAACTCACCGCAGATATGAAAGCTGGCCGAGTGGAATTGAGTGAGAATATTATCAATCTTCTCGGATATCCAGTCGAATATTATCGTCCCTTCGTCCTGAAGACGGTAGAGAGCAAATACGAATGCGGTACTATGGATAAGTGCCACGTGAAAGCACATATGCGCGAGATCGGGTTGCTCGTTTTATACGTGCCTGCCACAGGGAAACTCGTCCTTGATGTAGGCTCTGTGTCCATGGCTGTGACGATTTAGGTAGTCATGTATGGCTATGAGAGTTGAGTAGCCCTGGACTGTAAACTCCCCTAGTGCGCATGAGTCTTTGTACTTTAAACGTCCACATTTTTAAAGTAATTCCAGAGAAATATGAAAGATATTTGCAAAAGGTGGGATATTTTATTTTTCTGAATCGTTGTTGAAGGTTTTGGCTAAAGTTGCTACAACAAAATATTAATTATGTCAAAGTACATACTGGTATCTCATACCTTCGTTACATCAATATATATTAGCCCTGAATAATTTGACTTGCTGTAATGGTGCGTAAGGATGTTTTGCAATGTAAGTTAAGATTCTATAGTTAGTTAAGTTCTCACTGTGTGCTCCATACTGATAGTTTTGTGCCACTTCTAAGTATCGCTAAGTAAATCCCTATGCATATTAAACAGAGAATAGAAAAGAGAGTTTTATTTGGTTTAACGCCAATTCGTATTCAAAGTAGATATGCAGCTCAAACGCATACATATATAAATACTAGATATTTAATTACCTTTAAATAAATGTCACTGTAACCAAGTATCCAGTCTTCCCTGTCAAGTCTCTTTGCAATAGATATACTGCCGGTGTCTTCATTAATACTAAAGTGCGAATTCGTACCTGAAAAGAGAATCAGTTCTTAGTGAATCATTTATATTAAATTTTAAATGATTATCGTGGGTAAATTGAATCTTAGATTTTTTTCTACTTCAAATTCAAACTTTCCATTTTGAAATTTCAACTACACAAAGATAAATAAATAAATAAATAAAAATAAAAAAATAACAAGTTCAAGTCTTCATATTTTAATGTTTTTAATCATTTAAGAGATCGGCTTGGGTTTGACAAAAGCTACATCCAGCATCAAGAGCGTGGAAACACCACTTAAATGCTGTTGTTCCCAGATCCACCCTGACACGAGCTGGTTAGGGTCCTAGCTATTGGCAAATAGTTAACCACCAAACTGAGATCAAAACATCACGAAAGTATAAAAACAGATTTTTATAGCAAAATTTTCTAGCAATACATCACCAAAATCCCTCTTTATAAAAATACGTCAATGAAACCTATTCTACAAACTGATTTCTTACAAAAAATACATATTCTATTCATAACATAGGAACCTATCCTAAGAATCTTGTCGGTATTAAATAACACATTGAGATTGATATGCCGTAAAACAAAATAAAGCAAACCAAACCATCATTTAACAGGAGAAAATTGGATTGTATATTCATTAGTAGTTGATATTCAGCGTATCAATTAACTTATAGTATTTACATGATTTATTTTCTTTTTCATGATTCGTTCAGGGCAGCTTTATCTCCCCTCCTACACTTCTCGCTTGAATACGACAAGCTGCATTACAAATCCGAATGACAACAGAATATTCTTCCTGAATGTACAATATCGAATACAAACAGCTTATTAGTAAAAATAAAGCAAACTGATGTTTTGCGAATGTGTCTCTTTTCTCTTTCCAACGATAGTACCAAAACGAAACAGGTCTCTTTTAATCATCTTAAAAACATTTTGGGCCTTCCATTAGTATGGCTTATGCTAGCCTCCAGGAGAGTGACTCATTACACCATCTCGGTTGTGCTTTTTCTGTTGACAAGTGGGAAGATTATATTGAATCAATTGCTAGGTCTGCTGCTAGGAAAGTTGGTTCACCATATTGTGCTAGACATTTTTTTCTCGCCATTCTCTTGCACATTTATAAGTCGATCATTCGTCCACTGAATATTTCTGTCACATATGGTCTGGTGTTTCAGATATATATTTAGAGATTCTGGATCAAATGCAAAGAAGAATCAGAACTAGCATTACAACTTCATTAACTTTCCCACAGCCGTAATGTGGCTTCTCATTGCATTTTCCGTCCTGGGTATGACGATTAACTACATCCGGGTCATGGGTAACACAATAAACTACGCCCGACAATAAGGTCTCTGTTTAGGAGGTTTTGAGGAGCGTGAAACCACCCCATAATTGCTAGTGTTCCTAGGTCCATCCTGACCTGGGGTGGTAGCACCTGTTAAGTTCCCAGCTATGGGCAAATAGTTAACCACCAAACTGGGGTCAAAACACTATGAAAGTGTAAAAATAGGTTTTGGTACTAGACAAAAAACTTTATAAAAAATTATTACCAGCAATACATTTAAATGAAAATATTACCAGCTACAGATTTTTGAAAAAAAAATATTACCAGCGATGCATTTTGGAAAAAAAAATTACTACCAACAGACTTTTTGAAGAAAAAAATATTACCAACAATACATTTTTGAAGAAAATATATTACCAACAATACATTTTTGAAAAAAATATATTACCAACAATAAAAAATTTATAGGCATTATATAATCCATTGAGGTTGGTATGCCGTAAACAAAACCAAAACCGAACCATTACATTTTCTATAAATAGTTTTTTGGTAATTGTTCTGATGAGCTTTCCTCTTTGGAACCTAGACTATAGGAATTTAAGCAGAGTATTAGATTGGCGCTGATGTCTCATCATTTTACATTTGAAATGGTTAGATGTAGTCATAAGTTCCATGTTTCCAGTTTCTTCTATCGTACTTCTCATTTGTAGAACTCTCTACCGTCTTTTAAGCAAATTTTATCTTCAAAAAACTAACTGCAAAATCAATCTTTATCTTTTCTCTTCTTAATTTCCTGTTCTTTTTTATGCACAATCCTTAATAATGATTTTCGTCTTAGTGGTTTTATTACTTTGCTCGATGTTAGTATACGTGCGATAATCATAAAATATTATTATATCTTTGTATCGAGTAAGGGATACACGATCTCTGAAATGGAAACAGGTACTTACTATTATAGATCGAATACTTGAGATCTCGCGGAGAGAATTTGTCGCCATCGACGGCAGATACCTGTGTAATGACAGTACCCTGAAAAAGAAATAGACACAAGTAACTTTCAGAAAAGTAAATTATGATCTCTTTACAAATTTAAATGACTAGTACAATTATCATATAGTCTGAAACTTTTTTTTTTTTTTCTAATTTGCTTTTCTATATAACACTCGCATTCATGCTCTCACACAAACAGGGAACATTTGCGAACCTCCGTGTCAATAGTTTATCAAGAAAAAATCATATAGCTTCTTCTTCTTCTTCTTCTTCTTCTTCTTCTTCTTCTTCTATGTGACGTGTCTATTTTGGACATTGATGATCATCGTTTTTCGAAAGTTCCTGTTCTTTGTAGCTCTTAATAAATGTTTTCTTTTTGCGATCTCTCCTAAAACTTGTTCCATCATCCATTTACTGAAGCTCGCTAAGAATGTTATGCATTACTTTCCTCTGTCTCTTCTGCCTTCAGTTTGTCCTTTGAGTATCAGATTTTCCAAGCCTTCTTTCCTCATTATATACCCTCGAAATTTCTCAAACACTTTCCAAGTTATGTGCCCTAGAAATTTCAACGGTCTCTTCCTGATACTAAGTATAAGTGCCATTTTTGTTACGATTGTTTCTAGAAGTTGTTGCTCGTATGTGTATTTCAGGTATTCTCATCCTCCTTCTGTATAACTGAATTTCTGTTGCTTCAAGTCTTTCTTTGATACGTGATGCGATTTTCGAGCATTCACTGCTATATAGGATACATTACAGTTCATTACTCTTTTCCTTTTTTTCTCAAGATTTTTTCTGTTTCTCAATATTTCGCTTGGATTTTGAAAGGTAGGAGTAAATTGGATTGTCTATCGTCTGATTCACACTCCCCTCCGGTCTTTTGAACAGGAATAGAGGTTTATCTGGGTTTTTTTTTTCTGTTTAGGATAGGGTTTCAGTTTTCTTTTCTTAAAGTCTTCGCATTGACTTTCACTTCCATTAGGCCATTATGTGGCATTATTTCGTTGCTTGGGGTGAATTGATTAAAAATAATCTACGATGAAAAGGAGACAAGAAAGAATGTCAACACACGGCACAGAATACAGGAATTTTCACAAAGGAAATTAGGAACAAATGTAGGCAAGCTAAAGAGGAATGGCTCAAGGAAAAATGTACAGATTATGAAAGAATGATTCTGAATACTGCATCGAGTCAATCAAAGCACTACCACGACGACCACCACCACTACTACTACTACTACTACTACTACTACTACTACTACTACTACTACAATTATGTCAAAAAGTCAGTCCAATAGATGAGTATAATTAATAGCCATATAATTATTTTGTAATGGCAAAGTAAATTTGCTGCTATTAAAAACTTCTTATTGCTGCAGACATTGGAATCACTGTGCCGATTTAAAATTCTAACAGACTCTGTTTCAATTACTTTGTACTAATGGCCTTGAAAAAGCATAGAACTACCTTATCCCAGCTATATGGTTAATTTATATATTAAAATTAGCAGTACATATAATTTTTTCTATTTAATTTTTCTGATGTATCATAATTCTTAAGTTAATGATTGAATCATTTCCTTGCAATTTCCACGACTATATAATATCGTGGAAATTATCATTGTCAAATATTTGAGCTTCGCAACAAAATATGGCAATAAGAGTTGTAAGTATTAATGCAGGTCAGTATCCCAAGAAGTAAGAAGGTAGAAATGAAAAAGTTTCAAAATTTACTAGGTTTTCCATCGTCCTCTTCTTTCCCAATATTTATGTATATTTTATGTTTTCTTTTTCTCGCTAACACCAAACAACGTCTTTGATATACCCTTTTCTCTGATTTCTTTCACAATTTAAACGGAATGGTTCATTATTTATCAGTGGTAATGGCAGGCCGTAAAATAACTAGAGGAACGAGTAGACTTATAATATGCTTATTTGAAAACGAAATTCCTTTGTAAGATATCTCACTTTCATTAATTAGATCTTTACACTTTACGAAGGTCATTCAAATCTTCAAGTCGTTTGTTTGTTGTATATCTAATTTCTAAATATTTACTGCTCATAACAAAGAAAAAATTCGTTTGTCAAAGGTTATAGATATAATTTAATATTTGGTTTTCACCATTTCTTTTGGAAGCAACCATGTGCACTGAGGCGTATTGAAGCAGAAAGAGCAACGGATCTTTTTTTTTTTACCTAAATCTACTTACTATTGGTGTTTCTTCGTCCACAGCGACGGACACTGCTCGGACAAAGTAGGGTGGAATGTCTGCAACATCGATAATTCGAATTTCTACGCTTTTCGTCTGTTTGTTGACGCCGTCCTTGAAAATAAATTAAAAATAAGACATTGTAACAGCTACATAAAACACTCAGAGATATACATGAATGTGTGTTAATTTCGGTTAATTGAGTTAAAGATTCGCAGCCATGATCTGTGTTTTACAACCCTTAAATTTTAACAAGGAAAATTTAGTCATGAAATTTGAAAATAAGAAAATAATAAAGTATCCTGAAATAATCCTTTATTTTTAAGATATTACAGTGTCTGTAACCTTTAAAATATTTTTTTAATATTTGTCTATATAATTAATTTTTATTATCTGCCTTTATCCACTGCGTCATATGTCCTTAAGAACACATGGCACAGTAGATAAAGGCATTGGTTAGATCCAGTGACAGGACCCAGAGATTTGTGAGTTCAATACCTGGTTAAGGCAGTGGAGAACTTGGAGAGAGGAATTAATAGCAGATAACTGACATACATTAGACATTGCACATGGAAATAGAACAGTTTACCCCAGCGAGCGAAATAAAGGGTTCAGTTCGACATTCCACCCACCTGAAGAAGGCCGTTGTTGATTTGTAATTGGCATCATTCCACGCGTTGCTCGGCACGTATTCTTGATCAAGATGTCATCAATAACCAACTAGCTGTTTATGCTGATGGCACCACTATTTACTCATGTCTTAGTAGCGAGTTTGACAGTTTCGACAAAGTAAAACTGGCAACTGCTCTTGCAAATGACCTCCAATCAGTGACACAATTTACAGTGTCTTCTAAATGTTAACGCCTCCAGATCAAAACGGCTTTCATTTAATCACCACAGAGGAACCTTTTGTTTGTCATGATTGATGCTAAACTCCAAGAGAATAACTTTTTGCACCTTCTTGGGCTCACGTTTTTAACTCATATGACGTGAAATGATTATATTAAAACCAATTACTGGGTTTACTAATAGGAAATCTGCTTTACTCTGTCGTGCCAGAGAATTTATCTCGTCAGAATCAATCTTGTACATTTATAAATCTACCATTCATATGTAAATGGAATATTGATGCCATAATTGGTCTGGTGTTTCTACTATATTTTGAGATTCTTGATAATATTCAAAGACTTACCAGGTATCTCGGCTTCAGTCACTTTCTCAACAACGTGAGATGTTTTCTCTCTGTCTTTTCTACAAATATTTTTATGACAATTATTCTGGAGGGCTTTCCTTCTTGATACTTCGACTGCATGAATTTAAATGTGCTACTAAATTGGCAACTAGGTCTCACAGTTTTACTGTTTAACTAGCTTGATGCAATTGTCTCTTCTACAATAATAGTTTCTTTTCTCGTACTCCTCACCTGTAGAAACTCTTTTCAATTTCTTACTTCCCTGCTTAGAAAACTTTAAATGTTATGCCAATCGCCAACCTTTGTCTTCCGTAAAGTTGTTCTTTTATTGACTTTTCTTTTCCTCATTAAAATCTTGTCATTATCCTTAAGTCTCAGTAAATCTATGCATTCTAGTGGCATTATTGTCTCGAAATGATTTTTTAAAAAGTTCATTTTATTTTACCGTTTTGTCTTTTATGTTTTGTCTTTGTTTATGTGTATTTGTGTGGTGAAGGATGTAAAGACCTAAATTATTTTTATTTATCTTACAGTAAAATAATCTATTCGTAAAAAGAGAAATGGATCAGGTGAATTCACCAAAGGATAACTTACAAAAGCAACCAACGGCACTTGGTAATTTTTCTTTGTTTCATAGTTGAGGGGTTTGTTCAAAACCAGATAACCTTTCCAACTGTTACTGCTTTCCTTGCCAGTACGCACCACCCGAAAAGTATTACAGTCTTCGACATACTGAAATAACAACAACAACAATAATAATAATAATCTTGTATCATGTTACTCCATCTGGCATCAGGTACTGCCGGATTGGCACCCAATAAATATAAAATCTTGAATGAGAGAGTGGATCAATAATTACATTGGAAAATCTACAACTTTTACGGGACGGAATCTGCAAAAATTTGGGATGAACATCACCCAAACCCGGTTACAGATATAGAACCTGTAGCAATTTTATGGGACTTTACAAGACACACAGACATAACAATCAAAGCTAATCGCCCAGATATCGTGATCAGATACTCCAAAAACAAAATGATCAGTGGAAGATGTCATGAAGTTATTTCTAACCTTAGGTTTCTGGTTGGGACCTGAAAGAAAATGTCTATAGAAATGGACTTGAAGAAAATAATAATAATAATAATAATGAATGTTCCGATAGATTCATTGAAGGGATCTCTGGTACCTCAAGCCTTAAAAAAATACAAAACAATTGTACTCACACGTACCGCTCACACAGTACGAAGGGCTTTATCTATGTAAAATGCCTGTGATCTTAGGTTAATTTGTTATTTTTTGCAACATCCTCAGTGTAAAAATGTCATGAAGTCATTTCTGACATTAGGTCTCTGGTTGGGACCCGGAATGAAATGGGTATACAACAGAAATCAAAGAAAATAAAACAACAACAACAACAATAATAATAATAATAATAATAATAACAATTGGAAAAGGTTCCAATAGACTCATCGAAGGGATTCCGGGTCGCCCATACAGCTAAAAAATACAAAAAATTGTACTCACAAGTACAGCTCACATATTACAAAGAGCTTTAGCTATGCTAAACCTGTGTGACCTCAGTTTTGGGGGATTTTTTTTTTTTACAAAAATGATCAGTGAAAAATGTAATTAAGTCATTTTTGACATTAGGTTTCTGGTTGAGACCCGAAAGGAAATGTCTATACAATGGAAATCAAAGATAATAATAATAATAATAATAATAATAATAAGCGAACTGGAGCATGATGAGGCTTATAAGTACCTAGGAATTAGCGAAGGAGATGGCATACAACACCCCCTGGTACTGGTACTAAATACTGAGCTAAACTCAAAAAACAGGATATCAGCCATAAACACATTGGCTGTCCCTGTGGTGAAATATAGCTTTAATGTCCTTAACTGGACCATAGCTGAAATTAAGCGAATGGACGCCAAAACGAGAAAGCTTCTCACTTGCTATCGCATGCATCATCCCAAAGCTGATGTTGATCGTCTGTATGTGCCCAGATCCGAAGGAGGCAGAGGATTAGTTCAACTAGAACTGTCCTACAAAACTACAACAATTGGCCTCCAAAGATATTTGGAAACTACAGAAGACTGGATGATGGTACATGAAAGTAGTAAGCGTCTTTACTCCGTAATGAAAGAAGCCAACAAATTCAAAATGGAGTTTCAAATGGGCGTAGAGATGCAACTACAGCACAATACACCGGCTGAAACTGCAAAATACCTAAAAAAGGACAGCAAAGACGAATGTAACCGACCAGATACAGAAGCGATGGCAAGATAAACCGCTTCATGCCCGTACCAAACAAGCTGACGTAGACAAAACCCGTACCCATCAGTGGCTACGTAGTGCAGGGTTGAAAGCGGAAACTGAAGGTTTTATCCTTGCTGCGCAGGACCAATGCTTGCTAACTAGGAATTATCAAGCACATATACTAAAATATTGTGTCAGCCCAAAATGCAGATTCTGTGATAAATATCCAGAAACGATTGATCATCTTGTATCAGGTTGCACGGTGTTGGCACCCACTGAATATAAAACCCGACATGACAGAGTGGGCCAATATCTGCACTGGAAAATATGCAACTTACGGGAAGGAAACTGAAAAAACTGGTATGAACACCACCCAGACCCGGTTACGGAGATAGGACCTGTTACAATTCTATGGAACTACACAATACACACTGACAGAACAATCAAAGCCAATCGGCCAGATATTGTTATTAAAGACCACAAACAAAAACGGTGCCTCCTTATTGACATGGCAGTCCCTGCTGACTGCAATGTATTTTTGAAGATATTCAAAAAGTTGTCCAAAATACAAGGACCTTTGAAATAGAAATCTCGAAAATGTGGCATATGGGAACATCAACAATCCCTGTTGTAGTTGGAGCCGTAGGACTGGTTGGAAAAAGATTGCAGTAGACGAATTGAAGGGATTCCTGGAAGTCCATGCCTCAAGGAGATACAAAATTGTTCTGACAAGTACAGCCCACACCTTACGAAGGGCTTTATCTATGTAATTTTTTTTTTTTTTTTTTTTTTTTTGTCAGTGGAAAGTGTCATGACGCAATTTCTAACCTTAGGTCCCTGGGCGGGAGCCGGAAAGAAATGTGTAAACGCCAGAAATCAAAGAAAATAAAAATAATAATAATAATAATAAAAACTACTAAAAGGTTTACAAGTAAAAATGTTTTTGTTTTTTTTTGTGGTTGGAGCTTTGGGTCTGATAAAGAATGAAACTCAAGAGCAGACCAACAAAATTCCTGGTGCACCATCTCTTCAGTAAATAAAAAAAAATAGTTTTGACTCGCATTGGCCATATCCTTCAAAGAGATTTGTTCATTCAAGTGTTATGCCTTTTCTTTAATTCGGTGAAAACGCATAAAATCATATCCATCGCTTGTCCTAGGTCATTGGTTATGACTAGGCAGGGGATTTTAAAACAAAGGCAAAATGAATTTTTAAAGTAATAATAATTATTTTAAAAAGGAAATTTAAATGGATTACCAATCTTAGCCAAGAGATCAAATAAATGTCTTGGAAATCCTCTTCTGTAGTTCCAGTCTTTAAGAACTCAGACGAACCGTCTGATACTGATGTATATGGGCTTATTAGCCTTCTACCTCATTTTGGCAAAGTGCAAGAGGTTGTAATCAATTCTGATTCGGGATTCAAAATCAGGTTCTGAATTGGATAAACATCTCACATAGATGGCTTTTCTTTTAGCTAAACAATTATCTAGGTCAACTTTAGACAACAAAGAGGAAAGTTACATGATAGGATTTGGCATGCTGGTCACATGACAGGATTTGGCATGCTGGTCTTCTTAAAAAGTTGAAAGGTTATGGTATTTGTAAACCAATGATTGATCTGACTCAATCTTTCTTATTAAATCGAGAAATGAAAGTTTTCTTGAAAGACTACACTTCTGAATCTTGCACTGAAGTAGGTGTCACCCAAAACTGAATCGTTCGGACAACAATCATCCTGATGTCCTCAGTTCTCAACTAGATATCTATGCTGATGATACAACTATTTGCTCCTGTCTTAATGGTAATTCTGATCAGCTCGGTAAGGCCAATTTAGAATCTGAGCTAAAAAAAAAAAAATGAACAACACTATTGTTAATTGGGACAAGAAATAGCTTTATTTTTTAATGCCTCTGAAACTAAACTTTTAATAATCTGAGAGAACATTTTTTGACTTCCATCAGTATGGATGATATTAATCTTCATAACAATGACCCTTTTCGACTTCACGGGTTAACGTTTTCCACTGAAGTGGAAAGATTATATTGATTTAAATTGCTAGGTCTGCTGCTAGGAAAGTTGGTTGACAGTGCCGTTCTACAATATTTCTCACCAGAAGCACAAGTTTATAAGTCAACAATTTGCTCATGCATTGAAAAATTGCTGTCATATCTGGACTGGTGCTCCTGCTATGTATTTAAAGATTCTTGATAAAACCCAAAGAAGAATTTGCAATATTATTCGTCCTGCCCGAGAATCTTGGTGACAGTCATTTTTTCCGTTGATATAAATTCTCTGTGGCTTTTCTATAAATATTTTCATAAAAATTGTTCTGATAAGCTTTCGTCTTTGGTATCTAGATTTTAGAAATTTAAGCGCTGTACTAGATTGGTAGTTAGTTCTTATGATTTTACAGTTGAAATGAAGTTAGATGAAATCATAAGTTGCATGTTAAACGTTTCTTCTCTCGCATTCTCTGCCGGATTCTTCCTTTCCATTCAAGTCTGCAAATATTTAAGTGCAGTGTTCGTTGTTATCTTCTATCTTCTTAATTCCAGTTCTTTTATTGTTTTCAATACTTAATAATCTTCTTTTTTTTTCAAATATTTTCTCACACTTACTAATTCCTTGCGTCTTAGTGGCTTTATTTCATTTTTGGGGGTAAATGATTAAAAAAAATAGATATATGTCAGCTTTTGAACTTCAATGTTCCAATAAATCCATGAAAAATTGAAAGAAACTTTACAGCTGGATAAAACTAAATTCGTTTCGGAAAAATAAAAACAGTAATGTATATCAAAAGTAATGATTCCAGAGAGAAACATGTGTAACCTTCGTACAAAATAAACAGGGATACTAATAAGTCAAAGGAAGAATTAAAACTATTTAAGTTGTTTTTTGTTTCTTTTTTTTTGTTTTTTGTTTCCATTTTCTCTTAATCTTTGTCGTTGTTGACATGTTCCGTTCATAGCATCCTCAGTATCCTCCTGAAGAAACAGATTTCTGTTTCTTAAAGTATCTTCGTCATCTGAGACATTAGAGTCCAGCATTTACTGGCACCCACATAATAAATTAAAAATTTAAATTAAAAAATATTTCGGAGAGACAACTCATATAAAACCTTACGAGTTATTTCTCTTACTCTATTTATAATGCTTTTTAATCTTTTTTTTTTTTACACGTTCGTTTTGTTTTTTCTTGCGGTAGCAAAAGAAGTGGAGTAATATGAGAATTGTTTTGCGGGGGAAAACATCGATTTGGAAAATCTTGCAAAAATCAATTTTTGTCGGATTTTAATGAAACTTTCTGGACTTATTCACAAATGAAATTATTTCAGAAATGATTTCTGTTAGAAAATCATGGCAAAAATATTTTCTACATATATTACCATCACAATAACTTAGAGAATTTAAATCATCGATTTTGTTTTTAGCCAAACAAAAACATCAATAAATAAAAATGCAGTAAAACAAAGATATTATTTAATAAAAGCATTTAATTACTTTTATGAATACATGAAGGATACTTTCCTCTTCAGAACAAAAATGTTTTCGATGAATAATGAATTTTTACGAGAATGGTTTCATTTTTTAATCTTAAATGTTTTTGACTTGTATTTTGAACTGATAGATCTATTTTGTATTTCGATGGCTTATCCAATGTTTAGATAAAGGAGTAATTTTATCGCCTTGCCAAGAGCGCCAATCTTATTAGATCAGACCTCATAAAATTGTATAGATAAAATAAAATGTATAATATATAAAGATAAAATAATTGTAAAAATCTACTTACAGCAACTCCTGGGTTACAGGTGACAGTGATCAAACTATTAACTCCTTCATTATCTGTGACGCTGATATCTTTAATGACAGTGCCACCGACTGGAAAAGACTGAAAAGAAAAAAACAGAATAAAGAATACTTTAATGGATTAACTTTTATTAACATCTACGCTGCTGTGTAAGAATGTGGATATTTGTGGTGGATTTTCTTGATGTTTATCGGAGAGATTGGGAATAAAAGGACTGGGCATAAGTTTGTAGTGGACCGTGGCTGTGATGTTGTTGATAGAAGTAGAAGAACACATATTGGGTTAAGATTTTCCTGCTAGCCGGTCCAACTACATGAGAAAGTTGGACTTTAATTAAGTCCAAAGAAGGCAGAGAAAAACAAACACGAGACCGATAAATATATGTATACAAATATATATATTAATAACAAGTTACATGGACAGTTACAATGGGCAGAGTGTGGGTGTGAATATTATATATATATATATATATATATATATATATATATATGTTGTTTGTGTGTGTGTATGTGTGTGTGTGTGTGTGTGGTGATTGTTCGTACGTAGGTGTATTGTGCTTAGCGTGTTCCCAGCATTTGGGAAATGCTATCTCTGTGAGCTTTTAAATCTGCGAGGTGGTAAGGCTGAAAGCCTGAGGAAAAAGAGAGGGAGGCGAAGGGTCAGCGACTATTTATAGCCAGGGAAGAGAGACCCCTGGTGAAAGGGTTAACGAACTAAAGGATGAGTTAACTCCGACAAGTTATAATAAAATAGTTTTATTTATTTGCTTTAGAGTAAGTTCGTTGTAAAAAAAGTAGTAGCTGAGAAAGTCCAGTAGTATAAGTTTTGAAGTCAGACTGTGTTAGGGACAATAATGTTAGAAATAGGTCAGTGCCAGTTTACTGCTTTTTTTTGTTTGTTTTTGTTTTTTTGTTTTTTTTCGGCTCTTAACTTCTTCACGCGTCTCGCATGAAAGGTTTCTCCGGTGACCGCGTCTCTTGTAATCACTCTCACCTTTCCTTCTGTCCTTCTAACTCAGAGGTGTGAGCTTATATCATTTTAACCGGGTTCCGACACTCTGGCGCGAACGTTGGTTTCGGTTAACATCAAAAGTCGCTTTGTGCTAATTTCTCTTATGATTGACCCAAATTATTTTATTTCCCGGCGATCCATTCTTTTTCATGTTTTTGATAACGGGAGTTATACGTGAAGCCTCTCTAATTTTTGATAGTTTCCAGTCACAAGTTAGTAGACATTGGTCCCGAAAATTTCCAGAGGGTTTAATCGTTTCATCTTCTTTTTATTTGAAGGTTGCCTTCTCGTTAATTGAGAGAAGTAAAGAGAAATGTAGAGAGAGAGAAAGAGAGATTAGGGAAAGCGTAAAAGCCTTATTTTAATTTTTTTTTTTTTTTTTATATATTTTGTTTTTATATTTTATTTTATTTTTATCGGGGCACACTACAAGTATTTATACGTCTTTAGGAACTTACATTGCGATCGACGTATATATACTCTTTCATGACACCATGAAATGTGGGTGACAAGCGTTTGCACTATAAATTAAATAGCGATTATTTCTATTTCCAAAATGGATGGACATATAGCTGCATACAATACAAACTACTACTACTACTACTACAATGCAAACCGGTTTTGTAACATATTTTTATTAGTTCAGTCTGTACTGTAGATTATACGATCAAAAATAAAGTGGCGGCGCACATATGTAATCGGCTTCATCCTTTTTATAATCATTTATTTCCATTAAATGGCAATTTCCTATTTTCGCCCAAACGGGTCAATACAGCAAAGCAACAATGCTATAAAAATGCAGCTATTAAAGTGTTAACGCTACTGAAATAAATTAAATCTATTCATAAAATTTATTTTTGAATGACGTTACGTCAGGATGTAGATAAATCATGCCACTCCACAACTTCTTTTTTTTAACTTGTTTGAATTGTCATGACCTTTAGGGGAAATATGAGAAGGATTTAAAAACCTTAACCAGCGTTGTTGTAAGACTGATTCAGGATATAAAGATACCTCAAAGCAACGAAAAATAGCGTTCTGCAGTCAAGATGACGAGGATCAACGATGACTAAAGTGTAGTATCTGTTCTAGCACCCGGCCCTCTACTCCAGCCATCTCCAGTAGGTCTCTATCTCCAGTCCTTTTCAGAATAACTCTCTTCAGCGACCGCAAAACTATGCTTCTCAAGACAAAGGTCTTCTCACCGTCTATATTGCTAGTTAGCTGTACCCTTATATTTTTTTTTCTTTAACGAAAATAAACTTGGCAATATTTGTTATATACCGTACCTATCAATGCTAATGGGTATGTCTCAATCCTCATAAATACGTTGGACACTATTGTAAGTTGGGGGCAATATGCTGCCTAAGCTGACAGCGAGAGCTGTCAGCATGGGAAACTCTTGCCGTGTCGAACTTTCTGCCTTCGGGAAGAGAGGAACCCGGACGAGGCGATGCCGAAGGGCATACGCGGGGTCTGGTATCTGTCTACCTCCCAGATCCCGCGTATGCGGGGTCTACGGGCAATTTTTGCCCGAGCCCACGGGCTCGGATTTCCTCTCATTAAAATTGGCCTTGTGCCACATCCTACCTTGTGTGGAGGCGGGTAAATATCGCAATATGCTAAGTAGTCCACCACTAGCAGTTTTATTTGTTGTTGTCCTCTGTTATTCAATATCTGTTTAATGCCCACCCCTCAACAAGCTATCCCCTAAGGCTGGAGAGCTATTTCTACCGTACTATTTAACCTATAGCATTGTAGAGGGAGTACAAATAGGTTCTTTCTCAAGGGCATTTGTTCAACAGAACAGACCGGAATTTACTCTCGTCACGACATTTCCCTTTTCTTCACCAATAACATTTACTCGCGTGTACGCCTTTTCATTCATAGCTTACTTTTAATAAGTATCTTATTTTGAATACCTTCATATCATTGATATGTTTTATATTGTGTACAATTGCAGAATCTTACTTTGGCTGATATTTTTTATCGGTATATCAACCTCTATTGGTTATTTAATGTCCAAATCTAAATGCACGCAATTTTATGGCTTCAGCTACAGTTATTTTGTACATAATTTTATACTTTCATGGTATACGTATGTTTCTTTAGCTAAATATTTTGTAGCTGATAAAATGTAGTGCTGGTGAATTTAGAAACAAAATGAATCTTTATACATTTTTGTGGGGTTGTATTGGTTATCATTTTTCTATACAATATATTGGTGGTCATTTTACTATAAAATGTATTGTTGATCACTTTTCTTCAAAAAAGTATTCTTAGTCATTTTGCTATAAAATGTATCGCTGGTAAATGTACTGCTGGTATTTTACTAGATATATATTATTACCAGACTGGACATGGCAACAACAGCATAGTGTTTGTATGATAATTCTGTCGGAGATAGGAGAATAATGGTTCAAATAATAAAATATATAAATGTTTGCTAGTAAGGTAAGTTAGATAGTCACAAAAGCGCTAAGACGATTGGTAATAGAAACAAGACAAAGATAGTTGTTTGCTTAAAGAAATGTACGCATATAGGAATAACACGTGAGAATTATAAGATATAATTCTAGAATTATTAACATTATATTAATAAACATTATTTTGGTATCATATGGTTGAAAATTAAAATTAGTAAATTATCATTTACTACATTTATATGCATGTTTTTTTTTGTTTTTGTTTTAGTTTTTTTGTTTTTTGTTTTTTTCTTGCAATGATTATAAACGAAATCTGAAAAGCATAAATCGTAAAATAATTAAACTGATTCAAAAAACGAAAAGAATTATCTTTGGTTTACCTCTTTGATCTCTGTAAAATAGGTCGATTTCGTAAAAGTGGGTTTGACATCATTGACATCTTTCAGATAAATTGTTGCCGTTTTCTTGCCCTTAAAAAAATTTAGAGGTAAAAAGCATTAGAGCATTTTAATTGAAATATAAAAAGAAAAATGTAACATTCTGAATATCCTGACAAAAGAAATGATTTCAGTTTCAGTGTATTCATATTAAAAAATAAAAACAAACAGAATTTACCCACTTTGATATTTGCTAATCTGTAATGAAAGAAAAACAGTTGAACAAAAGAATTAATGGTTATTTTATCGTAATTATTAAAAGTAAACTCAAATAATGATTTTGAAGTGCGACAGGACTTTCCTACAAGATTAATTGATCTTATTTTTCTTTTTTTTTAAATGAAAGAAATGCAATAAATTGAACAGACAGATATTGTGATTTGAATTTAATAAAACTTCCTTAAATAAAACTGCAAAAACTATAAAACTCGGGATACTTCGCATTCTTTCACCGACCTGACAAATCCTGTCACGTAGTTTTTCAGTATCTGCCGATGTGCACAAAACTTGGAAAGGATCGTTTTACGTTCACAAGGGAAAGAAAGAGAAATAAACGAAATGTCGAGAAATGAAAATGCTAATCTTGTTTCCAGTGCATTTTCTTATTTATTCAGCGATTCATTAGGCAGTAGGCTACACTTGTGACAATTTCACTTATCTTTCCTCTCTCACAACAGACTAACGGAAAAATCTCTTCGTTAGTCAGCGGGAAATTTGACTCTCTCCTGCCATTACTTTGCACATATCTACATCATGATATTGAGTCAAAGAGCTTCCCGACAAGTTGCTCGAAATTACTCTCAGTTCTAACTGTGACTTTGCTTAAATAATTTTGTGACCGGAATCTCCTAACTTCCAGTCATGTGATTCTTGATCTCCAAAAAATGTATTTATTTATCTATTTTGTTTATTTCCTAGCGTAAATGGGTGGCTGCATCAGAAGCCATAATTTATCGACATTACAATGTACACAGTCATAAAACTACCGCGATCCCGTGTTTCTTTATGTGCATATGTGTGTGTATATCTATATGTACATGTACATACACGCGTATAGGCGTGTATGTTTAGTATTTGTTCTCTTATTAATTTATTAATAAATTAAATATTAAGTATTATATTTATTTCTTTTATCTATTTATTTAAAGTTTCTATATTTTTATTTCATGTATTTATTTAAAGTTTATATTATATTTATTTTGTTTATATTTATTTGTAATTGGTGCTTAGAAGGTAAAGTAATTATTTATTTATATACATACATTTACCCATTATTTCATTTGTCTTGTTTAAGAGTTTGTTTTTTAAAACTAATTATTGCTAATTATTCCTGGAAGAATAAAATTTTTACTGTTAATAATGTATGGAGATGTTCTTTTTATAATTTCTCATTTAATTTTTTGGGGGATATTGTTTTCTTTTTGGCTCCATATGTATTTTGATAGGATTATATTGTTTTTGTATTTTTCTTTCGAATGACATTTTGTCGCTATAATATCTTTCTTTGAATTTTTTTTTCTTCGGCCACTATGTAAACTTTTTCATTTGTGTTAATGTTCTTATTTACGATAGGTTTGTATATGATGTTATAGGTTAAACATTTATTAAGTGTGCAATTTTCTTTATTAATTATTAAATTAAATATGTTTAAATATATCTTAATTTAAGTTTATTTACTTTTTATTCATAATAATTTGAAAAAAAATTTTTAATGAACATAGATAAATCGATTTGATCTGTTTGAAAACAACATTAATAGTATTCATGTTAGTATTTAATTCGAATAATAAAGTGTCTTTTTGAATAGAAATTAAAGGATGCTCAGCGACATAGACAGCGTGATATTAATGCTGTGTTTTTGGTAATGTGGTATTTCCTTAAATTTAGTTATTTTGTGACAAACCAAGTAACAATGAACTTTATTTTTAAAGATTGAATAAAAATTATTTTCCACAAGATGGCTGAAAAATGTAAGTAAATTGTCAATAATAAACTATTATTCAGAGTTCCTCCGATCTAATTGACAATAGGTAAACACTACTTAGCCCTTGAGCCACTTTTATTTTTTTTTTTTTGTTTGTTTTTCCAATAACTTACAACATTTGTTAATCATCACTTGCCTTGATAAAGTTGGATGACGTAACGCGTTGGCAAGGGCTAAGTACTTTTTGCCGATTGTCCTATATATATATATATATATATATATATATATATATATATATATGTGTGTGTGTGTGTGTGTGTGTGTGTGTGTGTGTGTGTGTGTGTATAGGACAATATATATATATATATATATATATATATATATATATATAATCAAATCATGCACAAACATTTTCAGATTTCCGGAGGATTTGAATCAAATCATAATCAACTAATCTAATTCCAATTCGTATTGGTCCGACTAATGACACTTATGCACTAATGATTTTAGAGGCCAACAATACTCGCTTTCTCTCTCATTGGCGGTCAATAGTATGCCATAATGATTGCCAAGTAATTACCAGTATTGGGCAATTCACTCCCACTTCCTTCAAGAAAAGCGAGTAAATGTGATGCGTTCGTATGTAAATAATAATCTGGAATTCTTAAATATCAACTTGTGAATATTTAAAATCTACTCTACAACATGCAACTTCTAAATATCTTTTTAGGTAGAAATGAAGAACATTTTTCGAAACATTCCAAAACTACTTATTTTGTATTCTTTTTGTCTTTTATTTGATTTCCTGATCATTGGAAGTTGAATACTCGCAATGTCTGTTCTCTTATTTGTTGTTCGGAACAGAAGAGATCCTACAAATAAAAAAAAATGAAATAGAATACTATAAAGACAGAAATCAATGAAGCGTTAAAACTGATTTGAACTTACCACGTTAATGCCATCGCTGATTGTAAAAACTACAATCAAAACCTGATTTCTCTGAAAGAAAGAAAAATGCTTAACTTTAGAATTGATGAACTAATTTTTTTTACGGCTTATCGGCCTTTTGCAGGTTATTTAAAGCCAGAAATTATTTTTAGATTATGAGAAATTTTCGAGATAATAATGATTTAGTGATACAAGTTCTACTAATTAACCCATAGCTGAGGTGGGGGGAAGAGGTTATTTCATAGCTTTCCCAAGGATATTTGAGCGTAGGTGAATATAACGAAACAGACTCTTTTGGAACTCAGTTCTTCGAGTTCCAATTCCAAGCCGGCTGAACGTTAGAAGAAAAAAATCTTTAAGGTGAGGCTAAAAATTCATTTATAAAATGTTCACTTGTTATTGAAACAATGAAGAATTGGGAGTAAAATAACATTAGGAAGATTGTGTACTGCTTTTTACTAAATGATGACGATCTACTTATTCGGAAGAAAAACTTCGATATTTTTTTTTTTAATAACAGGCAAAATGGAAATTGAAAAGACTCAACTATCTCAGCCACGAGACAAACTCGTGTTTCTACTATATATGTTCTTGTTTTATTAAAAACATTTATTTGTTTCCTTTTTTATATGCTATATGTTATATAGGAAGAAAATGAGTACCGACACCCTGGTTCGAGCCTGACACTCTGGACTTATGAATATATGTTTTCCACCAGATGTATAAATAGCGGTGTCAGGCTACTGACTGCAATGATTATTGAGTGAAACTATCCAGTCGAAATAATGTGTGAATTATTGTGCGTTGATCGTTTGGGTTTTAATTTAGGATTTACCGGTCGCGCTACTAACAAAGTATTAAATGGTTAATTATCTTTGGTTGACTTTTACTTCTTTATTCTTGGTAAGTATCCATTTGCGGTTGTAATTAAATACGGTTTTATCTTAACATTGAAGTCTTGAGTTATAATTAATTATTAACGGCCAGCGTACGTCACAAAAAGATCAGAGATACACGGTTTTCTTATTTTAATTTTCTGATGAATCTGAATTTGTCATTTAATGATTGAATAAGCTCATGGCGAATTCTACGTAAGGATGGAACATGTAGAATGATAAAGAGACGTTTGTAGGCTATCATTACTCTTCGTATCTTTTGCTTTAGTAAATTATTTTATGAAGCACATTTTGTCCTTCTTCAGTCATAGATTCACTCAAACTCGTTAACCTTTGACACTGTGCATAATTAATATTACTTCGCTTTTCACTGCATTCTTTTTCTAGGCCTGTCATTTGTAGTAACCTCATTGATAATTTCACTCCAAGGTGTGTTTTTTTTTTTTGCCATAGCAGGATATATATATATATATTTTTAAGCATTACGCCCCGAGCAAGGCGTGAAGCCACTAGGATGCAGGGGGTTGCAGAAGATTTGGAGCGAGAGCAGATAGGAGTGATAGAAGAAAGGATGAGGAGAAGGATAGTGAGTAGATCAAGGTAACTGAAGATGTCGATTGACATTACATTTGAATAGTTGGAGATTATAACTCTCAGGGAAACAGTAATTGGGAAGGGTGTTCCACAGGCGAGAGGTGCGAGGTATGAAGCTATTGGAGTAGAAGAGACGACTACATTTAAAAGTTTCTACAGTGTAAGGGTGAGAGCGGGATGCCAGCCTCGTAGGGCGCTTGAATTCATGGAGTCTGGGAACCAGTGAAAGCAGCTCATCGGAGCAATTACCATGTAAGTATTTGTAGAAAAGACAGAGAGAGGCGACGGCGCGTCTGTGAGAGAGTGTCTGCAGACGAGACGCCAGATCAGGGCCGATAACATTACATATCCGTCTCTAGATCTTGTCAAGAACTCCGAGGTAAACAGAAGGTGCCCCAGACCATATATGGCAGCAATACTCCATGCAAGGGCGAATGGTTGTTTTGTATATTTGAAGTATCGATTCCGGGGAGAAAAATTTACTGGCGCGGTACAGAGAGCCAACTTTCCTCGCGGTGGAAGAAGCAATTGACTCAATGTATTTGTTCCATCTCAGGTCAGCAGTCAACGTGCGACCGAGCAGACGCAGGGAGTTGCTCTCGGGAAGTTGGCTATCAGACATTTTAATGGGGGACAGGGAAGGATCTCTATGGTGGTTAATGGAGAGTAGTTTAGTTTTCGAGGCGTTAAAGTTGACCAGCCAATTCTTGCCCTAGTTAACAACCGATTGGAGGTCCATTTCAAGATGCACGGCCAGGTTAGTTTTGTCGCCGACACTAGATTTGTTTTTGCGGCAGGAGTAAATTGTAGTGTCGTCCGTGTAGATGCCAACTTGGGAATCTGACAACACATTTGTGAAAATCAAATTCATAGTCAACTTCAGTGTCACAACAAACTATTTGTAAAAACAAAATTGTTGTAGCATACCTACGGATACAGAGGATACCCAGACGAGGCTATGTCGATGGGCAGAGTCTCATCTCGGGAATCAGCTATGCGACACCGTTTTATACGGGGTCTACAGGGAATTTTTGTCCGAGACTACGGACTCGGATATCCCACATTAAATTCGGCCTTGTGTTACATCTGACCGCGTGGGGTGGTTGATAGATATCCTGCAGTAGAAGATTCGTCTCCAGCTGCGCTGGTCAAACTCTCTGCCCGGAGGCAGAGAGGATCCCCTGACGAGGTTAGAGTCTCGTCTCCGGAAACAGCTACCCGACCCCGTTCTATGCGGGGTCTACGGCGAATTTTTGGCCAAACATATGGGCTCGGATACCCCACATTAAATTCGGCCTTGTGCCAAATCTGACCACGTGTAGCAGTTGGTAGATATCCTGCAGATGGAGATTCATTGTGGAATTCACTTGACTCACTTCTAGCAGATGACTACTTCTTCTAAAGGGACAAGGCACATAAAAGAAGAAGAAGACGTACCTCAAAATCTAAACGTCGCTTCAATGTAACTTCACCAGTGTTTGGTTGGACGGAAAATACTTCTCCAAATACGCCAAACTTTACCCGGCGCCCCTCGGGATCGTAGCCTTTCAGTGTGTACACAATTTCACCTATTCATAACAAAATGTACGTATATTAAGTTAATATTATCTTGAAATAAAAATATTAATTGCATTTTTAGTCTATGGCATGAAATAAAAACTGGAAAAAAGTAAATATTTAGTAGCAGGGACTTTATATATTACGAGAAAAAAGTGCTAGTGATATACCATATATTTCCACGTATATGGCGACCTATAGATAAAACAAGACACAAAATCTAAGTAAATTTTCGTAATTTTATCTGATATCTCCAGCGATATTTAACAGTCCCCCCACAAGGAGTGTATGTGGCACAAGGTCGAGTTTAACATAGGTTTCTCCGGGTTCAGGATCGGTCTACCTCCTCGGACGAAACTTTGCCCTTCGGCAAAACTTCGTCCGGGTTCCTCTCTGCCAAAGCAAAGAGTTCGACAGAAGTCGTACATAGAAGACGTACACAGTCAGAGACCGCGGGTCAACTGTTCTCCAGCGACCTATATGACGAAACTGTAAATGACAATGCTTATGATGATCTCTTTACATCAGATGGTGATGATCACAGTAAATTTAAAGGGTTTTAATTTTGCATGTAAGTGTTTTAGGTTTTTTTTTATTCTGTAATGAGAAATAAAGATTTTTATGACATCATAAATGTTTTGTTGTTAAACACTGAAAAAACAAACAAACAGTATGTTATTAAAAAATAAAGTTTGTACACTACACTAAATGTTCTTATTATTTAACATCACAATGATAAGGCATTTTAATTAGAAGTATAGTTTGTATGTTATCCTAAATATTGTTATTTAACACAACTATGAGAAATAATGACTGGTGTGAACGCAGCCATAGCTCTACAAATCAAAGACAAAAGATTTGTTTACACTACTTGCTGCTCAACGGAACTTTTACAAATTGTTTTGTAATCGTCTCTTGAATATTTTAATGTGAAATCAAGAAGTAAAAGTAGTTTTATTGCATTTATAACGGTAGTACAGCATTACAATGTGAATTCTTTCAAATAATGTGAAATATTTACATCGGTTGTTACCATAACAAGGCAGTTGTTGGCAAATTCATGGCACAATCGTACTAGCATATTTACCAGTGCCGATACACCACAGGATTTAAAGGTAGCTTTTTGTAACTGTTGTATTAAATGACTCCTTATTGTGGGGGAAGGGTCAATTTTAAGATTTTAAAGGTCACCTACCCTATATATATATATATATATATATATATATATATGGGGAGGTCACTCCAGATTCACCACCAAATTTTGACCAACCAGGACGCTACCTTTATCTCGCGAGATAAACGGATGCCTAATGTGAGAAAATCTTAAAAGTAAATGCTTATTTCAGAAGACTTCTTTATTATTTTCCTGTTTTCAAATTTAATGAGTAATTTTTCCTTATTGAAATTTAAAGTACGCCCCAGATTTTAACTTATTCTTCAAGTACGCTATGAATTAAAAAAGGTTTGAGAAACACTGCCCTAGACAGACAATATAAATATAGCTAATTCAAAAGCTACATAGAAATGACAATAATGATAATTCTGTACGTCTCCTGCAGCTTACGAAACAGAGAAGGAAAGACAATCTGCCAACCCCTCGTCATTCTGAATTGAATGCACATTACTTTTAAGCATTTTAATATCTATACAATTTATTTAATTGAAGCATATTTTGACTTCATTGCCTTGATGAAACAAATACAAATCTTACCTGGTTTTGTGTCTTCTAACAATTCTTCATCGTTCATGTAATGAGTAAATACAGGCGGTTGATCGGCAAGTCCTAGCAAAGAATAACCAGACAAAACATTTTAATTGAAGGATTGAGAATACACGCACACATATATTCACACGCGCACACATACACACAAAAGTTGTGGCATTTACACAGTAGCACGTTAACACACAAAAACGTGCACAACCAAATAAAATATATTGTTAGGTGCCAAATACAAGCGGATGGGGTCGTAATAACTGGGGAACTGGAATTTTTCTCAATATGCAATAAACTGGTAGACTTAATAAAAATGAGTATCAGAAAATAAAACTGTCAAAACTGTTAATATATATATCAAGAATCGTTTTTATTTATACTTTTAAGTTTTTTTTTAGTTTATTAAGTTTTATCAATCTGGCAAATCTAGAAAGAATTAAAAAAACAATAGAACACTATTTTTTTTAAACAATGCGGTCATAAAAACACCCGACTAAAAATGTTGAACCAACTGTAATAAGTATTTTTTTTCTGATTGATCACTTGAGAAATGTGTGAATTTAATAAACGGTGTGCATACCCCCACCTCCACCCCGAAAAATAAATGTCCACTTTACTATGTCACATAAGAGTGTATATATATATATATATATATATATATATATATATATATATATATATATATATATATATATATGTGTGTGTGTGTGTGTGCGTATATATATATATATATATATATATATATATATATATATATATTGGTGAAATACATTTGTCCTAATACCCACAAGACTTTTTACGAGGCTGATCCAGAGGTAAACTATGTACTCGAGGGTCGAATATCATTATTTTGAACATAAAGGGCCTCAGAAGTTTCTCACAAAACAACAGATTTTTCAATTTAAATATTTCACTTGTGTGGATTGAGAAGTTTGTCACGCCCAAATTTATGCTGTCCATAACCTGTTTTGAGTTATATCTATCTATCTATCTATCTATCTATCTATCTATATATATATATATATATATATATATATATATATATATATATATATATTTTGTTGGATTGATGTGAGTTTGTGACTCTGGTTTTCACGCTTTTGTGATCGTCAGACAAACTGAGTATTTTTTTTTAATTTGGTTTCATGTACATTGCGTGTATTGGTGTTATTATGGAAGTGGGTGGAATCGTCGTCGTAATATCACTCATGCTAACGCAAACATAGATGGGTGTCCGTACACCCGTTGAGGTACGCAGACACACATACCCACTTGCTCGTCCGCCGGGGCTCATACAGATATAAACATATGTGGACAGTGTGTGATTTGACATATGTATGTATATGTGTGCTGTTGTCTATATACATACTCATTTGTATGTTGAAATTCAAAGATCGGAAGTGTAGCGAAAATTTCTCGTGAATGTCTTGTGAATGTATACATGTCAGCTATCAGAGCATTTTTCTATTTTTTCGCTGAATAATATTTCCTTGCATGCACGTATATACGTGTGGTGGGGTCTGTGTAAAATTATGATAGGTAAAAATTACTATTATTTTTAATTTTTTTAAAGCTTATTTGTTATTATTTTAAAGCTGGTTATTTGCTTGTTTTTGATGACTGTGTATATGTAACTGGTAGAAATTGCAATTTGTAATCCTTATTGGTTATTTTTATGGTGGTATTAAATATGCTGGGGAAGGGGGTAGTTTACGTTAATAATTATAGCAGGTTTATATGATAATAGTAGATGTGATGTGATAGTAATGTTGTAGAGGGATTGGTGGCAATGATTTATATAAGCAGCTAATAGTTATTGTAAATTAGCAGAAGTGATTAGCAATGATGGTGTGAGAATGATAAGAACAATAAATGTAATTATGTAATATTTATTTATTTTGGTATAAATCCTGATGATACCTATTACAACACACATATACATAGATATGTCAAGTCCCATACTGTCCACATATGTTTATGTCTGTATGAGTCCCGGCGGACGAGCGAGTGTGTATGTGTGTCAGCGTACCTCAACGGGTGTACGGACATGCATCTATGTTTGCGTTAGCATGAGTGACATCACGACGACAATTCCCCACCTCTACTTCCATAATAACACCAATACACGCAATCTATATAATCCAAAAATTTTTTAAAATTAATCAGTTTGTCTGACGATTGCAAAAGCGTGAAACCCAGAGTCACAAACTCACATCAATCCAAACAAATATGTTAGTTTTATCTCTGATATTGAGCGCTTTCTAATATGTACCGCGCATATAATATACAAATAATTATATATATATAAATATATATTTATATACACACACTTTTCACACACACACACACACACACACACACACACACACACACACACACACACGTATATGTATATATATATCTCTGTGTGTGTTTGTGTGTCTTCGTGTATTTAGGCACTAGTAATTTTTTAAAAACAAGATTTTTTTAGCAATGTTTATCCAATTTTTAATAAGTATTTTTTTCAAATTTCAAAGTAAGTTGTTTTGTAAAATCGGTAAACTTTCCAAGTTTCATTTTTGCTTTTGCAATTGAAGTACTTGCGAATTTGAATAGTTATTATCAAACATCAGTCGAAATTAGCTGGATTAAAACAAATTGGAACGTTTACCAATTATGAAAAATAATTTAATCGAAAATTGTTAAAACTTAATAAAAATTGGATAGCCAACTGTGTTGATATTGTTCAACAATAGTTGTTTATATATATATGTGTGTGTGTGTGTACGCGTGTGTGTTTGTGTGTGTCTGTGTGTGCGTGCGAGTGTGTGTGCGCACGAGAATATTTGTTTGGTTGTGCGTATCAGGTAAATGTGTATTCCAGCAAAAAACCGGTTTTTAACTATTTAGTCTATAAATTCCAAAAAGAACTCAACCGATATTTAAACGCACTAAACACATGCCCACGCACACATACACATACAATTTATTTTTACACATGTTCGTTATGGATGTTACCAGGTTGATAGATTAAAAATTTCATCTAAGATCAAATAATACGTAAAAAAAAAAGAAAAAAAAGCCAAATTAAATTTATTATATAAAGCCAGAAAAAAGCCAAATATATTATCGATTTAAAAAAAAAAGATCGAAAATGAGATTTTATTTATTTATATCGTGGGATTTAGGCATTTTATAATGAAACCACTTTATTATTTCTTCCAATTTTAAACATTTTTATAGTGTATTTTTAGCTGTAAATTCGAAAATTTAATTTATTTGGATAATAATAGTCAAACAAGTCTGATTTGCTGGAAAATCATGTTTTTTTTAGAATTTTAATAATACTTTATGATTAAAAAAAGTTTTTAGATAAATTTTATAAAAGGTAAATGATTTAATTGAAAAGTTTTATTTTTTCCTAACTTATTATTAACCATTTTATTAATTATTCATTTTTATAGTATGTGTATCAGTAAAACTGTATTTCATTTTGAAAGAACTTAATATTAACTTATGAAAGAAACATCGGAGAAGAGTGTCCAGCTTGTGAACGCCGAAGAAAAAAACGGTTATTTATTTATTTATATGATAAAGAATTATGAAAGAGAAATTTCTTCTTTTCGATTGGCTGCTAAAATTGGCATAGATTTGCAAAAGAATCATTATTCCTTTTTTTACAATAAATTATCGGGCGGCATTTAAGCTAGCTACCGCGGAGGGCTCTTTGTTCTGAAATGTTCCTTCCTTAATACTTTATTTTTGTGGGTGGCATGTTTTTCTATATTCATATAATTTACGCACAGGGCCTGTTCGGAACGAATATGAACATCGTGAAATGAATGAACACATGTATCGTCATTCAGGTACACTACGACGTGGTGTAATGGTCATCAAGATTGTCTCGCTAGAACAATTACGACTGAATAGTGAGATCGATCGTCACTGGGTGCCAAATACTATGTATGGTCATTTAATCGACATAGAATGTTTGTCAAGCCTCCTACAGAATTCAGGGCAAAATAGCAAAAGCCATTTTTTTCTATGTGACTCCTGGCTTTTCATTAAATCTGGTAATTTAAAGAGGACTAAAGTCTTTAACTCTGTCTAAGTTGTTTTTACGATTATTATAAATGGCTGGATACTTTCTGAATAGACCTTGTTGACGTTCAAAAATTGCCTCCGATTTACGTAAATATTTTTCAACGTCATTCTTGAATCGGAGAGAACAATTAAATTTGTCGATTGCCCTACCATGCTGGTTCAATTTAAAGTGTAACACGCGGGAGTATACATGGGAAGGTCTACTTCATTTGACATTCGCCTTCTGGCCTGCCACAGACATAGGAGAATGACTCTGCTAAGAATTCCATGGACTGACTCAGTAAGCAACGAGGAAGTCTTAAGGAATCTGGTAAGAAAAAGCACGCATACTCTGGATCAGAAAGAGGCAGATGAAATTACTTAAATATATAATGATGATGGAGAGCTTGGAGAACTTGAGCCTCACAGGGTATATCTAGGGCAATAGAGATAGGGGAAGTCAGTGGGTGACTTACTTAACTTGATTGTGTGCATCAATGACGGAACGGTCGGCAAGAGGCTTGGCAAGGGGATAAATACTGCTAAGATATACAAGGGTTAGAAGGCAAGTGGAGAACCACGATTGACCTCGTCTTAAATGGACCAGGTGCATAGAAAAAGAAGTATCTCTCTTATTGTAATATACAAGAACAACTTGGAAGTACGAACAGCCTGGTACTTTTTGTGTGTTGGGGTTCAAGATCATAGTGTACGATGATACATTTAAAGTGAATTTTTCTTTTTGAGTCGGCATATTATGGAGGGGAATTTTTTAATCATTTCCTTATAAGCAAGGCGAAAATGCCGGTAGGACATAAGCAGTTACTGCCAGTGAAAGAAAATGTGAAGGCATTAGTGACGAGAAGTGAGGAGAAAAGACAATAAAGGAACAGGTTTCAGGAAGACAGGGGATGGCGATTGACGTTGCATTTAATATTTTAAATTGTAGGTAGTAAGGAAGCAAGAAATCGGAAGGAAATTCCACAATCCCTAAGTGCGAGAAAATAAACTATTAGAAAAGAAAATATGTTTGTGTCTAGCTAGTTCGACAGTAAAACTGTGAGACCCTATTGCCAGTCTAGTAGCAAGATTTAATTCATGCAGTTGAGGCAGCAAGGAGAAAATTTCATCAGAATAATTGCCATAAAAATATTTGTAGAAAAGACAGAGAGAAACCACGTCACGTCGGTGAGGAAGTCACCAAAATCGAGATGCAAGGTCAGGATCGATTACATTTCTTTGAATTTTGCCAAGAATCTTGAGATATATATTAGAAACAACTGACCAAAAATGGCAGTAATTTTTTGGTATTTTTCACTCACAAATTCATACGCTCTGCTCCGGAAAACTTCCGTTTTTTCTTAGTTTTTTTTTTTTTTTTTTTCAACCGGTTTTCATCTTTTCATCTTCCTCTTTGCCTTTTCATTAGAAGTATAGAAAGATAAATTTAGAGAGAAAGAGAAAGAAAGTTATAAGGGTTCTAAAGGAAAGCGTAAATGCCTTATTTTAATTTCAAGTCTTTATTTTTGTTTAGATATTATTTTTTTATTGTGACTTACTACAAAATCTTCAATAATGGGATTGCGGTGGCCAAAATATCTTGCATGAAATTTTATAGCTACCTTTTCACAAAAGAAAATGTGATGATAGCAGGAAAAATGCAAAACAGAAACGTGTGCTTCCGGATAATGTTGAATTTTAATGGCTCCTCTCAAAGTTATAGACAACATATTTAGAGAATTATAAAATTAAATATATGCGTTTATTTTTGCTTGTCTAAGTTGTTTTTTGATTTTTATTTGTTTTTTTTTTCAATAGATTTTCATTTTTTATATTTATATTTTAGTTTTTTTTTTTTTTTGCTTACCTGTTTGTAGGACGGTCCCAAGGAAGAGGACCATTATATAAATATCCATTTCGTGTAGTTTTTCTATGTCATAAGTGATGTACAAATGAATCCTGCAAAAAAAAAAATTCGATTTAACTTGATATGATTAAAAATATAAGAAATCTCTCTCTCTCTCTCTCTCTCTCTCTCTCTCTCTCTCTCTCTCTAAATATATATATATATATATATTTGTGCAGAGACAAAGAGAGAGAGGGACAGTTACTCACAAACAATACCAAAATACATGCAAAATCAATTAGTAAAACTTATGATCATCGAAGCAATTTCATACTAAAAGTAACCTTGCCATCAGTGATGATAGAAAATAAGGTTATTTCATCATCCCTGAAATAAAGATAAAAATATCATCATCCTAAAACCAACTTTGCCACCAGTGATGAAAGATGAGAAAGATATTTCATCATTCTAAAATTTGATTATAAAACGACTCTTCAACAAAAGCGATGGCACTCAGTAGATTAGGGTAAGTAGAATAGAAAACGGTGGAGTAGCAAGTGGCAGTAGCAGTAGTAAAAAAAGGCCCAACATTTACGTATCCTCATCCTTCCTTGAAAATCGAAAACTGATGACCACAAAATTTATTTGAAATTCTCTGGACAAGTAAAAAAAAACAAGTAAGCAAAAAATTTAAAAAAACAAAAGAAACAGTCACAGTGAGAATATTTTTAACACACACCATACCAATATCTGTAATTCACATCACAAAAAAGAAAAATACAAATTCTTGTTATTAATGTCAACAGGTCTCAAGTAATATTGTTTATATTATTGTCGTACGTTTTAACTCACTTCGTTTTCAGTATAAATAAAAGTAAAATAGATTCCTCTATCAACTATAATATAATAACTATATATATATATATATATATATATATATATACGGGAGTGTGTGTGTATATATATATACATATATAAAAAAATTTATGTTGCAACCATGTTAAAAACACGAATTCATTCACTAGCTCATTCACTAAATCTACTTTCAAAATCTACCACGATTCTTACTGTAGAAGTCATAATATAATTTACCTCCTAGAATGCACACTATGCCAGAAACAATATGCAGGAAAATCTGAATGGCCCTTTCAATATAGAATTAATAATTATCGTAATCGAATTAAGTCGACTCCCCATGAAAAATTATTACTTGTAGAACATTTCCGCCTGGAAAAACACGATTTCAAAACCCATGCCAAATTCACTATAATTGAGAGAATAGAAAAGTTCAGAGCAGATAACATTAGAAAGATTTTAGAGTCCCATAAAAATAAGTGGATACAATGTCTAAAAACACAATATCCAGCCGGGATAAACCATAAATTAAACAATACAGATAGTACCAATACATAACTCAACAAACCAAAACCTACTCACATTTCTCACCCACACAAGACAGACGTGCTTACGGAGGTGTGGAGGCCTCACACTTATACACACACCCACACGAATATACACACTTACACACATCATACTCACTCACTCCCTAATGAGCCAAATGATAACACACACCCACAGCAATACACACGCTTACACATATCATACTCACTCACTCCCTAAGAACCAAATAACACACACACAAACACTAAACAGAGACACATCCCCTCACCAGGTCCAATAAAACTGTCAAACTGACCAGAGAATTCAGAGCAGCATGTATCTATTCAGCTCTTATCTCAAATAACAACTCAAAAGAGACTGTTTGACCAACACAAGGATTGTTAAAATATTCATGTTAAAAAGATAAAAAAATAAAAAGAACAAATGAAAACTACAGACAAAAGTTCATTTTCTCCAGCAAAACATTCATTTCTGTAGTTCACTGCTACCAGCAAGCAGAAATATTTCTCCTCCCGATGATGGTCATTTTGGTCGAAACTAATTTATATGGTACATGTTTTTCTGTCGGGGAAAAAAGAAAAGATTTAAGTTGAGAAATTATTAAGCATAAAGAGTATGCAATATGAATATAAAGTAGTGGGTAGGCGGCATGGATTGTATATTGTTTATAAATAATATCTGTTTCAAGGGAGTAGGACTGCACAGAATATAAAGATAACGTTTAATAATATTAGGATATAAATTTTTTAAAAATGAATAAAAAGTGTACATAAACAGAGAAGGTAAAAGAGTGAGAAATAATATAATAAAGAAAGAACACCGTGTAACCCGTGTAACTTTTCTAAGTCTGTCTGTTTGTTGTGAATTTGTTGGAGGATAAATCCGTCGTCTCTGTATAGGCCAGTGTTCATGCTATCGAAAGTATATGTAGGTCTCCACAATAGAAAAATGCCAAGCAATTCACAAGCTTCTGCAGAATCGAACGCTCCCATATAGAAAAATTTGGCTTGTCTTTTTTAGTCCACATAAAACCATCGTGGTATAGGATGGGTTTCTGTACTTAATGATGTTGATCTTTTGGTCAGTGGTGGTGCAATAATTCTTGACTAGGTTTATAGCTGCCATTAAGAGGTCTTTTGTGATCAACGGTTAAAAAACTGATATGTCGAATTACGTAAAGGAGCATTGTTTTTTTCCTTTTTATTTTAGAGAACCAATTGATGGCATCATTTATATTCTTTCATTGGTTGATCCCTTTAGAATTCTTAGCGTATTTACAAGTTCGTTCTAGTATAGCACGGCTGGTTTTGCATATATTATTCTTGGTAGGGTTAAGCAACGAAACTGCGGATTATATGGGAAAATATTGTGGTCCTTAACGAGGATGAAGGCCTAAGGCACTCTATCGTCGATCTTAAGTTTATTGATTGAAATTCGTGCCGCGTTGTTAATATCATTTTCTCATTCTACTGGGGCTTTCTTATATATTGTATTAACCTCTTTACAGATAGCTTTGTGGTAGTCATCGACAATGTAGTAATAGCGATTGCCAGTTTTATAAAAAACTTGATAATGATTTTACTGGTTTTGCCTAATTTGGGAATGTCTTTTTTTTTCATATTCCTCTTTAGATTGTTATATTTGGTGGTGTATTTAATTCTATTTCGTACAGAAAATAAAACGTTTTCAAATGCCAGGAGAAGGTTTTTGATGGGTGGCGTTTTCTGAGACTTAAATCCAAAGGAAGCGAAAGATTCATAGTCCTTGCAATGTTCCTTTTTGGCGAAAAATAGCTTTGATATATATATATATATATATATATATAAATTTTTGAAAGGTTTTTTTTTTTTATCTGACTGTATTTCTTGGTATTATAAACATTATTTTTAGTGTGTTTATTTTTCATTTTATTTTCACTGTTTAAGAAAATAAAAAACGGGGGTAGCAACTTAAAGACGTGTACTATGACATTTATAGTAATATATATATATATATATATATATATATATATATATATATATAAACGAATTACTTGCTTCGTGTCACATACTTTTTTGTAAGAAAATGTGGAGAAAAATGATGCATTTCAATATTACTCAATGATCTTGCCGATGTGACCTCCATCTTCTGTCTGTCTTCTTTATTTTGGATAGGACTCATTCTCTAGTCCAAAGTTAAATTTAATTTAAATCATAGGAAAAATTTCTGTCAGGGAATTAATGCAAAAATAGCTTGATCTGACCCCTTTGATATATATTTGATGCATTACTTTATTGAATGAATTGATGTGTAGATTTCAACATTGATATGACAGTTGAATTGTCGCAACAAATATGTAAATATGTGGCCTCCATCTTCTGACTTTCTCCTTTATATTTTGGATAGGAGTCATTCTCTTGTTCAAATTTAAATTTAATTTAAATCAAAGAGGAAAAAAATTCAGTGCGAGGTTTATGCCCCGATGAGCCCCTTTGATCAAAATGAAATATACTTATCCAAGTACCCTGGTGTTATACCGGAACACACCTATTCTATTGTTAATAGACTCTCTCACATATAATAAGTAGTAGTATTAGCAGTCGCCAGTGAGCTCAGTGAGTTGGTGAGTCAGTCGATGTCGGACATTAAAGTATCAACCACCACAACTAGACTGCTGCGTCATTAACTATTATTTCAAGTTCCTAACGTTTTTTACGTCGAACCTTTTTAGGATCGACTCAGTGAAATACAAGCCTTTACTGTGAAAACTACTCTACAACACATTGGCGACGAGGGATTCGTTCTCATACGGAGGAAGAAAATTTTTCGTTCACTCTATAACAACTTTGGCGACCAGGATTCGAAACTCATACGGAGGAAACAAAAAGAAAAAAATTCGTTTCGCCATATACAACACTTAGCGACGAACGTATTTTGGATTCATACGGAAAAAAAAACTTTTCGTTCACTCTATAACAACACTTGACGACGTGGATTCGTAACTCATACGAAAGAAAAAAAAATCACCGGCAATAGCAAACTTGGTGTACGAGGGATTCGGATTCATACAGTAAAAGAAAAAAAAATTCGCTCGCCACATTATTTAGTGACGAAATTCGTTTTCATACGTAGGGAAAAATAACTTGCTCGGATTCACATTTTAAAAAAAAATGGCAGTTTTTCGAAAGACAAGATTAAAAAAAAAACTTGGCAAAGTTTTCGAAAGACAAGACGTCAACTTAGTGACGAAAAAAAATCCGTCGTATTCTCAACTGAGAAAAGAATTTTTTTTCTCAATAAGACAGTTTGCTCAAATAGGTCACGAATTGCAAATTCGCTTTGGACCCCCCTCTACAATATTTAAGCATTGTGTAAACATTTTGCGAAGATGGAGGAATGCAAAAATATATTCCAGGAATTTTTAAGTTCCAGATGGAACAACAGATGATAATATTAGAGCAACAGAGAACATTCCAGATACAACTACAGGAGGAAACTTTTAATAGACAGATGCAGTTTCAACGAGAAATGGAACAAATGCATAAGGAGTTTCAAAAAAAAATTCTGGAAATAACTGAGAAGAGGAAAGAGAAAAATCTACAAATTTTTTTTTCCCAGAGAATACAATATGGAATTCGATTGAAATATTCACGTATAGTCCAGACGAAGAGATAA